GCGCGCTGCCGCGCTTGCTGGTGCGCAAGGCCGCAGCAAGGGCATCAGGAGTGATGCGTGGCAAAGCGTCGGGGGTGAACGCCATCACGCCGCTGGGCATGTGGTCTCGCGGCTCAGGGGGCCGACGCTTGGGTGGGCTTAGGGTTTTTAAGGGTATGTTGTTCGTTTGTTTTGGGTTGGATGTAGGTTGGTTCGGGTGGGGTTTGCGGTGGCTTGGATGTGGATTGGCTTTGCGGTTGGGCAGGGCTGGCTTCACTGGATTTAGGGTGGGGTCAAGCTCAGCTTAGAGTCTCAGGGTGCGCTGAGAGTTGGATCAGGGTGGATTCATGGTTGGTACAGGGTGGGCTTATGGTTGGTTTAAGGTTGGTTCAGACAGGTTTGCTTTTGAGTTTAGTGTGGGTTGCTTTTGGGTGAGTTTGGGCTGGGGGCAAGGTTGGTTCAGAGTTGGTTTTTTTGCTGGGCTTAAGGAATGGGTTTAGGATTGCTTTGTTTTTTCAATGCGCCTTTTTCCTGCGCAGCAAGTCTTGTCCCAAAGCCCCCATTAGATGCCTCCGGGCACAGGAGGGCTTGCTGACGCTGCGTGGCAACGAGCGCGCTGTGTTGCGTAAGGGGACAAAAGGGCTGGCGTTAAAAGATCGCCCTGTTCTCCGCCTTCCGCTTGGAAGATGGAGGCATAGAATTGCCGGACAAAGAGAAGCATAGCATTGGCCCCTGGCACGTGACTCAAAGCGTGCAACCAAAAGCCCCAATGCCATCGACTGACAACACAGTGGCCTCGGGACCCAACTCAGTAGCGAAAAACAGCGCATGGGCGACAGCTTCGGCGCCAGCACGCGTGGACAAGCCAAATTGGAAAGGAGCACAAGCCTCCTGGAGGGTAGACGCACAAAGTGCTGCGAAGGACCGTGCGACCAAACGTCGCAGAAAGTCACCGACAACAATTCCACGAACCCGACCGTTGGGCTTCTGAAGCAACCATGCGGCCAAGGCCGAAAGTTGCTGCATCGGGCAAGGGTACTTGGGCTTGCGACAGGGCCTGGGCGGCTTTGACAAACAGCTTGCGACAGGGCCTGGGCGGCTTTGACAAACAGCTGGCTGGTGCGTTCGTCGTCGAGAACTACACGGCAACACTCGGCAGTAAGGCCAGTTGGACCGGCCCCAGCACCCTTGCGGGCGCGCCGAAGGTTGACAAGCCGCAGCCCGGCGGCAGGCGGACATGAGACGGCCGGCGCTCAGGATCGCGAGGCTCAGCAAGGGAATGCTGCTGTAAGCGGGGCAAGCGGGCCGGCCACGGCAGCTGACAGCCCGCCCAAGTGGACAAGGGTAGTCGCCCGCTTGTGGCAACACCAAAACCGCTTCGAAAAATGGTTTGCGAAGTCGCTTAAATTAAAGCACGTGGAGCAAAAGGCCTGTACTTTCAATGAAGGAGGAGCCAGGCCAACATCCTTAGCATCCCCTGTCAGTAAATGTGTGTTTTCAGGCCCTGGGCTGCGGCAAGGCGATGGCGATATGGTACGAGTTGCCGTTACGGGAAGACTAACCAACCAAGGGGATTGCCGGGCAAGACTGCTTACAGAAAATTGCCGGGTTTGTCGAGAACTTGCTCTGTACATTTTGGAGGCGTTTCTGACGTTCGCGGATCTGGCCAAAGGTTCCCGCAATCCTTGCCGCACGTGTTTGCAGCATTTCCCGGCAAATCTCGGCAATCCCTTCTGCAGTTAAACTGGCCACGCTTTTGCCGGCTCCTGTCATGTCCGACAAATATGCGACAATCTCCTTTATATGAGTGGTTTAGGGTTGGTTTAGGATGGATTTCGGGTTGGCCCGGGTGGGTTTAGAATGGGTTGGGTGACCGGTGAGGGGCGCACCCCTTGTGCGCATCGTGCCCGGAGGCTGTCCAGCTCCTGCTAGTGGCTCCTTGCTTTCATGGACGACATCTGCGCCGAGACCGAGCGCGCCCTGTTTTTGACATGTTTTCGACACCTTGTCTGTCCAACTTCAAACGCATTGCCAGATCCGATTGAAAGCCGGCAGGACTGTGTTTGGAATGCCTCCGCCTGCATGTGAGCCTCCCGACATCTGGGCGCTGGGCAATGGCGGGCTGGGCGACTTGTGCCTGCCGCTGGGTGACCCAGAGTTTGTTGCGGCTCAGTTGCTGCAGCTCCGCGTCAAGCAGGACGCCTTGTTGCAAGCCATCCGCACCATCCCCGATCTTCAGTGTGTTGTTTTGTGCCTTGCCCCGCTGCGGCCACGTCCTTCGCATCCTCGCATGATGAGGCTGTGTTAGGTTGCCTGTCCGATCTCCTTGGTGCACCGCCTTTGCTTGACACCGCTGCTGCCGCTGCTCGTGTGGCGCAGCTGCTTTTCCACGTTGGTGGCCTCGGCTTGCGCAGCGCTGTGTCTCTCGCCCCTACAGCGTTCTGGGGCTCTTGGGCTGATGTGTTGCCACTCCTGCACAGCCACTTGCCCGACTTGGCGGCCGCCGTCCTTCGCTCGCTGCGAGCCCCCAGCCCGGCGCCTCCGCGGAGCTGTCATGCCCTCGTGGGAGGCGCTGCAGCAGCCTGAAGCCGATCCCCTCACCTTCCGTGCGTGCTTCGGAGATCTTCGGACCACGCCGGTCCCACCCTTCAAGGGAGGGTGGCAGTCCTCCGCTGCCGAGGCTGTTTCGCAGCTTCAGAGCGAAATCCTTAGCGCAAGTTGACTCAGCTTCTCAAGCTGTTGCATTTGCAAACCGGCCAGAGCGTTCACCAGCGTGCCGAGCTGCCCAGAGCTTGCCTACTCTCCTGCACTGCTCCGCGCGCTTTTTTTGCGGCGCTTGCGCCTGCCTTTGCCCTTTTCCGCCCGCAGCTGCCGATGCGATCGCCTTCTCGACCCCCTTTGCGACCACCGAGCAGCCTGCCCCCGGTCAGGCGCACTGCGCAGTCGCGCTGCTGCCCGGATTGCCGCGGCGCCCGAGTCACGACCAACTCTTGGTTCTTGTGTGCGACTTGAACGCCCCTGTTGGTCGCCTTGATGACAGGCGAATTGAACGTAGGCCGAGCTCCTACGGTCCCCTCGTTGTCGCTTAGTCGGGCGAGCAAGTCAAGAGAAGGACCACCGCTGGCCGCAAGGACATCGCTGAGATCCGGGATGGGGCTATCAACGCGCGACAAGCCGGCGGAAGGCATAGCGCGCAAACTAGAGGCAAAAAGGTGAAAAAACCCAGACCACCGATGGACCAGAGCAGCCTGATAATCAACCCGGCTGGGCGCTGGAGTGTCCCTGGCCCTGGCCGTAGCAAGCTGCCGCAAGAAGTCGGCGGGCTCGGAGCTCCCCAGCGCCCGCCGACCTCAATGGTGCCTGGAGGCGAACCCCTCCACCTAAGGCAACGCCCTCTGTTGCCCGGAGGCAAATGCCATTAACCTGGTCCAGACAAACAATTGCTGCGGAAAAAGGCGCGCGAAAGGAAGAGCCACAAAAAAGAAGAAGTTCATCCGCTTCAACACGCGCAACTGCCCGCTCCACAGGCCTTGTCTGCAGCACGCCGGACGTTGGGCAAGCAGTGACCGCCGCCCCCCTGCAGCGGCAGGCGTCCGCATATGCGGGGAGCGGCAAGCGCAGGCGGCACAGCAGGATGCGGAACAGCTTGCCCGGCAGCTGCAGCTCCAAAACACGCACGGCGTGTCTAGGTCTGAAAATAGTCACTTACCGTTTCGCGCGAGCCGGGCCAAGCTGCGCCGCTCAGGCATGCCAACCCATAGGTCAGGCCCCCTCAGCCCCTTCGCCAGCCGCATTCCAGATCCGCGTTTTTGTCAAGGTGCACCTCATGCCCGCATGCTCCTGCTCCCGAAAAAGCGAGGTGGAGGGCGAAGCAGCGCTGGGTGCTGCCCGAGCTCATAGAGAGCTGGCATGAGATGCGCATTAAAACGGCGCACGCAGCCAGGCACGCGCAAAGGACTAACACTTTGTCTCCAAACACTAACAACTGTCGCAGCAAACCCTGTGACACAGGCGCTGCACATGGGCAGGGGAACGCGCCAGCCACAAAGCATGGTACGAACGCCCGCGCAGCGGCGTGCGGTTGCTGGTCCGGTCCCTTCTGAGAAAACCGGGTGAAGGCAGACGGGCCGCGTCACAACTTTAGCCGGTTTGTAGTTGGTTTGGCAACTTTATTCCCTTGTTCCCCAGAAACAGCGACCCCGTTGTGATGCGAGCGTGGCGTACTGGCCGGCACTTTCTTCACTTGTTGGCATTGGCAACACTTGTTATTGCAGCTACTTGCTCAAGCATAGGCCATGTCGAGGGCACGGGCAGCAGGCCTGTGTAGACAAAAGAGGCCCGGCATGGCGAATTTCGCGCACGGAGGTTTGCAAAAGCCTTGAGGGCCATAAGGGCTATGAGTCTTGTAGCGTTAATCCTTTCTTGCCATGAATAAACACCCCCGTAGTACTGACCACCACAAAATCGCCAATACTTATTTTGTTTTTTTCAATACTAAACCAGTACTAAACACTTCCGAACCCAGATCCACTCAGAGAAACTTTGCGGATGCGCTTATGAGGGGCCAACGGTTGTGTGACAAGGGTTTTGGCACCACGGTCTCCATCGAGTTTCCTGCCTTGCCTTACTCGGAAATTGCATTTTAAACACTTGTTCAGCAAATCAAAAGGGTACCCCTTTCCTATTTGATGCCAGCACTAAGCAACGCAGTCTGAAACAGTTCTGGCCCAAAACCCGGGTGGTTCAGTATTGGGGCGAAAGGCTTCCGACTTGTTCTAGCTTTGGGACCATGTTTGTCTCATGTTAATTGTGGCTCACCCCCAGACAGGAGGTGGTTTGTGAAAAGAAGAACCCCCTTGAAAGCTCGGGGGTCAGCACCTGCAAGTGTTTTTTTCCCGGACCTTTCTTCAAGGAATGTAAGTTATTGCATGTCGTGAGAGGGTCATCTTTGCCGCTTCGCAGCCTGACATTCTGAATGAGCGCAGGCGGTTACTCTGAGTGTGGTGCCCTTGCGCACAGACATGCAGATCGGTTATGTCGGCGGCGCTGCGGGGGACCCGAGTTTGCCAATGCGTGTCAGAGCCAAAGTAACTTCAAAGCCATGCTTTGCTGGTTGCAGACGGCATTGTTTCAAGCCGGCACCACAATCAGCGGATGCTGGAAGGCGTGCTGCAACAGTTCAGCCGAGGTTGCCGGGGCAGCGGCGGGGGCCACCGTGCTGCAAAAAGATTGCAGGTGAGTTATACGGAGTTAAACGTCCTGAGTTCCTGGACTTTGACCTTAAGACAATTCAATGGAAGACAATTTCCATCGTTTGAATACATTGTTGGCCAGTTCAGTCAGGAAGTAAGGAGTGGTTTCTCCATGACGAGTCAGCATAGGCAGGGGGCAAGCGCTGAGGTTCAAGCTCTCTTTGATTACAACCAGAAGAACTTCAAATATGACCGGGAGATGCGGCAGGCGGTTGCACGGTATCTATCGCGTGGCGGTTGCATGCCATAGCGGCACTTGCTTGCCGGATGCCATTTGCAGTCTTGTCCACATCTGCGCATGGGTCAAAATTAAACTACCTGGACACCGCAGATTGTATTCATCAGGGTTCCATTTTGGGGTTACCCTATTTTTGGCCCTCAGCATTCGCCATCTTTCACGCCAGAAAACGGAGTTCAAGACCCGGGAGTGGCGGAACGCTCAATGTGACTTGTGGCGTCCGGACCTTGGAGCTCCAAGGAACGAGCAGCGGGGCCGTACCTTTTCCCCAGTTGCAACCTGTGGTGCCCTTGTTGGTTCCCCTGTAAAGCCAACCAACCAAAAAAGGATGCCGATTCTTCTTTGCCCGTGGAAATTGACTGGGCATCTGGTTTTGAGATGCTGTTGAGCCAAGAACCGGGAAGCGAAGGTCAGGATCGGGTACCTTTGCGTGATGGCTTTCATGAGTCATGAAAGCTTTTGTTTTGAACCATGTTCAACTGTTCAACTGTTGACCGTAGGTGATGACATCCGGGAGATTATCGGATTGACGGAGCGCAAGATGGACAGCTACCTGGTGGCCAGCGCCTAAGAACTGCCTGTCGGAGTTTGAGTGCTTTGCGAGCGCATGCTGCTTTCCAGTGGCCTTCCAGCAAAAATCAAGCCAGAACTTTGTGGCTGACGTCCGGGAATGCGCTCGCAAACCCTGACTTGGTATGGAATTCTGAGAGGTATGAATGGTTGCGATCAATTTTAAGGAGCCAGTTTGGCGCGGCTTGCCGAACTGGCGCTCGCTTCTGTTCCTCCATGACCCAGCATTTCTCCCTCGCGCTGACGTTAAACAGTCTGCTTGAGGGCGAGTTTAGGAAATCACAATTATGAAGCTTGATGGTTTCACGCCCCCATTCACATGCTTTCTGTTATGTCACTTATGGAGCCCTTGCCCCTGAAGGGATGGGGCCAACCAGTGCTGTGGAAAAGTAGAACTGCTTGCTGGGCGGACGCAAGAAGAGAAAAACATCGCACACGTGTTTTATCACTTCTGGTTTTCCCTTTGCTTGTTTTCTTTTGCATTTCGAGCTAAAGGGGGGCCAGGGCAACGTCTGGAACCAGCATGCCTATTGGCTCCAGGTGGGGACCCTGCAGCTGGGTATGACAGTGGTCCTCTTCTGCGAGGGCCGGCTAGAGCCAGGCGCAGCGGCCAGCCCCGGCGGGTTCCAACGTCGGCTTTAATCCAGGTCCAACCACCTTGTTGTTGTGGGGCAACATGTTTCCCATTTTTGCCTATTATGGTTTAGTGCTTGAAATCCAACCACTTAACTGAACATGTCCAACAAAAACGGTGATTGGTGGGGTGGGGGGGGCTAGTGGTTTTTGATATGTTGCACCAGGTTGCACCTTGCTGGGTCTAGCCCATTCGGCGCTAGTAAGGAGAAAACAATTTTGAAAATGGCCCATGCAGCCTTCAGCGTGTCTCATTTTTAGGTTTTGAACTGGCGTGGGATGAAGGTACGCCTCCTTGGCTGCTGCACATGTACATGATGACCATCGGGGGCTCCTTCATGCTGCTTGCCACAAATGGAAGTGCGTGTGATGGTTGCCTTCGGTCAAGCCGGAAGGACCCATGGTTCCTTTGTGGGTGCAAAAGACACATCGTTCATGGGGAGGTGCCAAGCTATTCGCAGGGGATCCTTGCGACCTAGGTACCTGCTGATGGCAGTGTGGCACCGCGCCTCAGTAGCTTCCCCTCAACATTCAAATGAAAATTCACGAACGGCTTGAAGCACTGCTTGAGCGAGTTATGGGCAGAGCAGCTTTGAGCAGCCTCGAGCAGTTGCTGGCGTAGGCAGTTCCCATCCGCTTCAGGCTTGCGATGCACGTCCGGAGCTTGGCGCAAGCGGATGCTATACCAGCAAAACTCCTCTGCTGGCTACATGGCGCAGTAACTTTTTCATGCGCCACCCCACGCCCAACATGGGATTTTGCATGCAGCCGCGAAAGCCGTGACGTATCTGCAGGGACAGACTCGCCGATTTTACTTTTTCTCGAGAGCTTTGGACCCTTGGGGTTCGAACCGCCATTTCCTCAAAGCGGTTTGTCTCACGACCATACTTTACCCTGTAAAAGATTGCACTTTTCATGGGTTCCCAGGAACCCTAGGCTTTGAGTCAAGCGACTCTTCAGTCATCAGGCTTCCATTGTGGCGCAGTGCTCGGAAGTGCGGCTGCTGACCCAGTTCGTTCGCCGGTCCGAAGCTCAGCTTCGACAGGGCCACTTAGTTTCTCGCAAACCGGGCAACCAAAAAGGGCAAAAACGAGAAAACCAAACCCAAACCCAAACCCAAACCCCAACCAACCAACCAACCAACCAACCAACCAACCAACCAACTTGTCTTCCTTGGCATCTGGGACCGTCTCCAGGTATTCCTGTTGAAAGGATTCGCACATGACGCCGCCGAGGCCGGTTCCAACCTGGGAAGAGCTGCAGGCATGGTACGGGAAGCATGCTGAACACAGGTGTGCACTTACCAACAGCTTGCAAGCACTAGTATGCAGTAGTAAGATCGGTAATTTTAGCAAATACTCCTCTTCCTGGCTGGTGTTGAACAAGCCATTACGGCATTCCTGGAACCAGTTATGCATGCCTTGCTGTACTGCAAGGCCGTGTCCGGCCTTGTGAGGGCAAATGCTTGCATCGCAGGACATGCGCACCTTTGCGCAGACATACGAGCACTTGGACGCCGGCCAAGTCATGCCGTACTCTTGAGGTGAAGCCAAGGGGCCGAAGAGGAGTCTTTTTTAACCCCCACTCCCCTTATGATGGACACTCAGGGTCTATGTTGCAACCTCCTTCATACAGGGTATTGTTTTTGAAGGGTTCTAGGCTGCAACGAGTCTGGGTGTCCATGGCGCCCCTCCCTTGCATACAGTGGGCCCTCTCGAGTTTGTGGCCTGGCCATTCTGTTGATCACTTTCCTTGAATCGGAAGCGGAACGGTTGACACAAGGAATTGAGCAATTTTGGAAGTGAATGGCCTGAAGAAAGTCGACTCCTGAAGAAAGTTGACTCGCCCCAAGAAAGTATACAAGGTTGACCCAAACACCCAAGAGGGATGAAGGATTTGGATTTGGCTCAGTTGCAGAGTTTCCCGGGATCCGTCGCAGAGAAAGACTCACTTGCGCAAGGCCGAGCTTTTCACCTTTTGAACCTTTCGACTCTTTGGGTTCCCCGTGTTTGTTCACCCATTGTTTGATAGCCCCAAACGTTTGACCTTGTATTTCTTGGGCGCTTTTCTTTGGCAATACGCCAAAGGAGCGCATGGTCCTTCGAGCAACTGAGCCACAATCGAAACCCGGGTAGATGAAGGTTAGTACGGGACACTCCCAGCCAGAAACAGCTGCGGCCGCCTTTGTATTTCCTCACATGGTTCTGCATCAACAATTTTAATACCGGGTTCTGATTGTGACTCACCCAGAGGGTCCAAGTACCTTATATTTGCGGATTTGAGGAATCTGTAAATGATAAATCCCCTTGAACCAAACCCAACACCTCAAATATGGGGTACTTGATCCCTCTGGGTCAACTGACGACGACTGCCCCCCCCCCAAACCCGAGCCACGAATCCGAGGCGTGTGCCCTTCACCGGGCGGGCCAAGCCAGACTCCCGAGGCGCAGCTTGGTCAGCTGAGTAGCTCGGGGGACGTGGACGCACGGGACAATGCACACGCTGTTTTTTCACCTGTGTTGTGTTTGAAGGCTGGCTTCGTGTGGGTATAAATGTTAAACAGACCAGAATCATCAACACAGACATGCTTACATGTATTTGTTTTTCTCTTGGCAAATCTGAATTAGATAGATGTTGGGGTGGATATCGAAAGCTTCCAAACCAATCAAACACTCCCACTCGGGAAGTGTTTGCCCAAGATTAAGACACCAACACGTTTGCAGTTTGGGAACTAGGCACATGGGAGTGCTGAATGTCCAGGACGGCCGGGTTTTGCCTTGACCATCTTGACCAAATCATTGACGGGGGCTGACACCCTGATCTGGGGTTCGGCAGCCCGCAGAGTTACGCCACCGGCCGAACTTTGGAAATGCGAGAGGCTCCGAACGCAAACTCAACAAGTATTCTTTGTCTGGTGGTGGGTTGGCAAATCCGGCGGTTGTCCATAATGTTTGCGCGGACCCCACCGCATCAAATGTCATCAAACATGACGGAGGGGGGGATTCACAACCCTGTAATCAAGGATTTGAGCCAAGACCAAGGACCCCCCTACAGGGTCACTTTGTAGGTGCAAGGGGCGTAAGTCTGGACTGGTGCTCCCGCGCATTTTGCGCAGGCGAGGCATCCACAAACTTCGGCGCCCCCTTCGGCTCTGCCAAGCCGAGCCCCACTGTAGGACGGGTGGGGGGATTCGCCAGCGCGTGTTTTTAACAGCTTACATTGATTTAAATGGACACCAACAGAAAGCCAATCATTTTTGGCGGTCCCCCTATTTTGACGACATTCGCACCTGGGGGATAAGGGGGGCAGGGCTTTGACCCTGCTGAGCCTTGAATCGTGGGAAGCAAGGGTCGTCTCAGTTGATGCATCTGAGAAAAACAAAGGAATGATAAAGTATTAGTCCATGCGGGTTCTGATTTCCGGCTTTAATTTGGTGCCACCATGTTGTATATGTTTCAAGCTATATTTACCACATTCTGCAGTACAGTACCTGGCAGATTCAGTTCTGTTGCTTCCACCGGGGGCGGATTTTCTTCTCATTGCATAGAGGGTGACGCATACAACGTGAAAAAGAAAGACGCTATGTGGAATGCCGCAATTGCCCAGCACAGGTTGTCACCGCGATAAGCCATTGTTCTGACTCCCCCGCTCAAGCAAATAAACGTGCCCAAGAAGAAAGTCCAGACTCAAGACCGTACCCCGTATCCTTCCCAAAGTCATGGATGGTGCAAGTGCGTGAAACACAGAGAGATAGAGAGGGTCAGCCAAGCATGTCGGCATGCACCTGCTGTTTGAGCATGCCAACCTTCCTGATGATAGAATTGAGACCTTTGGTTCATTTGCCCACAGCAGGCGCCCTGCCAAGTTCAAAGGCGGCGGCTCCTTCCTCAGCTCCAGAGAAAGCGCAGCGCCAGCGCCGCGTTTTTTTTTTTTTTTTTTGGTGGGGGGGGAGCCAAGGTTTGCGACGGTACAACTGTTTGACGACCCTAAGATGGACTTTTTTCCCCCGACCTTCTCCTTTTGGGGGAGGAATGATCTTTTAAACTTTTGGGTTTAAGTCTACCCTGTAGTTCAAAAGTGGGTTAGCTTGCAGTTGGTGTCTCCGGATTTTGGGGCGGGGCAAATTTGGACTGGGGAGCTCCAGCTTTGTCCGAGCCACAGATTGCTCGCTGAGGAGCGCGCCATCGACCCCTGGTCAAAGGAGGCATGCTGTGGCCTAGAGGGGGAGGAAGAGAGAAGCAAAACAGAGAGAGCACGGCCGCGTGAGCGGCTGTTAGGAGCCTTTTTGGATGTGTTCGGGCGGGGGGCAGAAAGAGGAAGGGAGATTTGAGCTTTTGACTTTGGCATTGCAGGCGCATGCTGAAGATCGGCAAGGATTGTGCCCTGTGTATCATCTCATAGCGTTGCTTTGGTCAAGAGAGAGAGGACAGGGCAGGTTGATTTGTGAGGACAGCTTTAAGTTGTCTTGCGTGTTGATTGCACAAGAAACAAAAAAACAAGCAGGTTTTTTACATCTGCCGACCCAGGCCTAAGCCTCCAGCCATGAGCGATATGGTGACCGTCTCAGAACGCCGGGATTTCTGAGGTACGAGCTACAGAGGATTCCGATCGAGAGGAGGCATGGCTCCAATGGCACGGGTGAAGCAGGGCTCCTTAAAAGATACACGTTGCCCACCTGAAACATGGCTTTTTCCACCAAAATAAAGGGAACCACAATTTGCAAGGCAATGTTCAGGTGTATAATGTAAGGATCCCTGTGAAGACATTTGTTTTTGTTTTTTTTTGGCGGGCGTTTGCATGAGTGATGGTAGTGCAAGTAGCAGGTTGGAATGAACGCGGGTGGCAACGGGCTTGGTCATAGTTCCTTGGGTGGAGGATCCAATTAGAAGTTTCTGAGTCACAGCTGGTCCGAGCAGATTTGACCGTCAGTAGCAAGGAGGGAAATATGCCCAAGCAAGCTTCACCTGGGATGGCTCTGAGATAACTATGTTGCTGCCAGGTATGTTTTGGTTGACGCCTGACCATGGGTCAGCCAAGGCTCGCTCCCAAAGGCTAACCGAGGGGCTGATACCATTGATCTTGACAGTTCATCCGTTTCATGGATAAACCTGCTGCCCACACTCAATCCCCCCCCCCCTCCCCACTCGCCCCCAAGCCCCCCCACCCAACCCGCCCCCCCCCCCCTCCCGCAGCTGGCCCCCACTCGCCGCTAAGCCCCGCAGGCGCCACATCTACCTGGCGCGCCGCGCGGCGGCGCAGTACCAGGCCTTTGACGCCTTCACGCGCACGGCCCGGCGCCGAGTTTCCGCGTGGCTTCGAGTTGCTTCGAATGGATCCACCGTGGGAAGACTTTGGACGCGCCAAGACTTCTTTGGTGCATTTTGCCAAGGGATGTTAGGACTTTAACTTTTTGCCAACTAATGGGTTTTCCATTAAACCACTAAAAGTTAAACCTTTAGCAGGGAAGCAAAAAGCCACCGAGACTAGGTGGCAAGCCCAGTCCGGTTATTTAGGCGTTTTAGACTTAGATCTGTTTCGTGTTTAGTGGTGGGATGTCCATTTAACCCGCTCATAGTTAAACTGTTTGGCGAATCTGAGGACAGCCCAGAAAAGAGAGACAATGCGCTGCGCGCCGTTCGGCCAAATACTGATAACTCGCTTCCCCATAACAATAAAGGGCGTCCCCCTAGTATGACTGGAGGAGAGATCGGTGGGAGAAATCGTTCATTTAGTATTGGTTTGGAATTCGTCTATTCTCTTTTTGTAATTGTTAGGAGGCTGGGATGTTTTACAAAAAAAGTCAAGGGGAACCTGTGCTGTTGGCGGGTGGGGGTCAATCCTGCGCGCTGCTTTGTGGAATCCACGGCGGACGGACACTAGACTGCTTAAGTGATGTCTTGTTTTTTGCCGGCCTGCGTTGGCAACTCGCATGTGTTGGCATGCATTGCTTTGCTGCAGCTGCTCGCTTTCCAACAAATGTGCTCAACAATTGAGGCAAGCAGACAAGAAGACTGGCCCACACCTCACTCTCGCAGTTGAAGATCGTCGCCCTTTCCACTTTCTCGGCTAACGGTTTGGCCACTTTTCCCGCCTTCCAGCGCCCAAAAAGTGGACCCCTGGAGTCTGAGTCCAGCACCCCCTGCTTTCGTCTCAGCCTCCCCCGGCCTTGGCCGATTGGAGCCGAGCCATGACGTCCTTCGACGAGCTGGACGCTGAGATGCAGCGGCTGAAGGACATGTCTGGCGGCATGTCCAGCTTGGAGCCGATCCTGCCACTGGCTTGCACGTGGGGGCTGATCAAAATGTCAGTGACACATGAAATGACAATTGGGGAAAACCAGCAAAAGATGATGCTTCCCATTAGAACAGTTACCCATGGCATAACCCATGTAAATTTGGGGGGGCCAGGACCCTCCACACGTTGTGTTCGCACCGGAAAAGGCTCTGGACACCTCTGGACGGAGGGGGGGGGGGGGCAAAAAGATGCAAAAATGCTCACGTTGGTCCTTTTGGCAATGCAATTGGTTTGCAGATGTTTTTTCCTCCTTAAATTGCGTTTCCGACTTGGGAATTCGATTAGGGATTCCAGGCCAGTGTCAAGATGTTGTTGCGGCAAATCCGCTGCAGGCAATGCAAGAGTGGTCCTTTGCACTAGGTGCCACGCTTGCTGCAATCACCCATGTGGAAACACACATTTTTACTTGCAAAAGAGAAAATGCGCGGAAAGCGGGAATTGTTTGCCGCGGAGCCTGGAGCGGACTAGCTTGGGTTTGTATTCACCGCTCTGACCTCAAGACGTGGCAGCTTTGGGCCGTGACGCGTCCAGCGATCTTAAGGCACAAGCTTGACGTTAAACGCCGGTTCCGAATCAATGTGGCAGCAAAAGATGTCCGGATCCGGGATGATTGAATTCCAGCATGGCAAGTCAGTTATGTTTAGAGACCTTTTCACTGATTGGCGGAGACTGCATCCTCGTGCAACCATGGAACGCTAGTTTGCCTCTTGTGCCGCTTTGCTGAGCGGCTCCAAGCAATCCTTTTTGGATATCCGTGTTTGTTCCATCAATAGTCATCATATCAGTACTGTTGCGTGACTCCGATTGAAAAGGCACAGAGCAGGTGAAGTGCGCATGACCACCGCCAACAGTCGGACATGCAAAATGGCCAGGGAACCGTCAATTTGCTTAAGAATACGTTTTATGCTTCCCGGTTGGTTTTAAAGGGAGTCGATTTCACTATTGACATAGTTAATAAAATGTCTATCTTTTCCGGGGGGGCGAGAAAGCACGGGCTTCCCCCGGTTTTTTCTTCCCCGCCTGAGGCGTGGATTGCATGAGGCTGGCTTCCAGGCCCATGTCCAGCCCCTCGGCGGGCCGGATTTGAGAACCAGGTGCTTCTCGGCGGAGGGCACGCGCCATGTACCCGCCCACCTTTCTTCTTTTTTTTTGGGTGCATGGAGCCTGACATTCGGGGGGTCCTGGCTTGGACCATTCTCCGGTTCCATGCGAATGGGTGGGAGGCTAGTAGGTGTGTCTGTTTGAGAGTGTACCCCTTGTGGGTGGGTTTTCAAAGGGAAACCGAAAGGAACACATTGTTGGGTCCCCGTTTTTGCACCCCTATGATGCTCCATGGTATCGTCTCCTGGATTGTTTTTACTGGCCAAGGTTGATTGCAATCCATGAATGCCTGCCGCTTTACATTGGCTTTGGACGGGGTGCCAAGTACCTCCCCCTGCATTAGATTAAGGTACCGGCCACATCTGTGCAAAGGCAATTTGCACAATCCTTAATCCAGAGCTCCCCTTTCGTATTTGTCCAACAGTTGTGGGAATTCGGATTGGCCAACACAAGTCTTTTTCAGAACGGCCCAGTGGATGCCGCCGGTTGCACATTGCTCGCGAGGCAATTCGCTGCGCAGCGGGCCGCGGAGTTCCAGTCGGCTTGCCCGGACGGCTCCCAGCCGCTGATTTGGACGCAGCCTGGGTGCCTAGAGTCCCATTGCTGGGGCGGAATGTGGTGGAATGCCGCGGAGAACATGCACACTATGTACTTTACACATTTAGTCAATCGATATACCATATCGGCATATGTGTGTTTGTGTGTGATTCGCGTGTATGTGCTATGTATTGATTTGTTTGTTTACCAAACCATTAGTTCTCAATTGATATAATGATGCGTGTGTCATTTGGGTGGCCGTGTAAGTGTTCGATTCCAATTCCTGCTGTCTATTCATTTGCGTGTTCGATTATTTCTGGCTTTGGGGCAGACGAGCAGCTCCTTGTTATCCTGGATGGAGCTGCTGAGGTACCATAACGAGTACCGGGAAATGTTCGAGAATCAGCTGCGGGGCATCTTGCATTCTCTGAACATGACGGAGGATAGCTTTCATGAGCTCTGCGGTTACATCCAGGACGGCCAGCGGATCACTTCTTACCACTGCAAATCATTGGAACCAAGGGTGAGTAATGGCTGGGGGCGGAAACGGCGCGGAAATCATGCTAGAGATAAGGGTCCTTTATCGCCATGAATCTTCGCCGCCTGCAGAATTTCCGGCAGGAGATTGAGGAGAATCTTGGAGATGAGTCCGAGAATTTGTACGGCTACATCAAGGACGGGTGCACGGCTGGCTGGGCTGCAGTGGCCTGGAACGTCAGGGGCCCGCGCCATGAAGATTAAGATCCGTATGATCCATGAGGCAGTTGTTTCCTTGGTTTGTGGGGGAAGGCTTTCTCAACCCCACGCCCAAAACACGGTGAACTAGGGCAAGCGTGCGCTTTCTCTGACATGCTGCGCGCTGCCATGTGTGTAAACTACAGCAATGCAACGCAGAGAGTTTTTGACGCTTCCTGCAGCTATAAAACGTGGGGTGGAGACCAAAGATTGGGCGTCACGCACCGATTTCTACAGGGCGCAGCGTGGCTTCCACAGGGTGTTGCTTGTGTTCCGCGTGAGTGTTGGACAGCCCCTGGATCCGGCTGTCCGAAGATGGAGGTTGAGCCGCTCGGCCACGAAGGAGTTGGTGGGAAGCCTTCCGGCTCACTTGATAAAATCACCTGGGTCAGGATCAGCAACATGGAAAGCTCAAGGGAACCAGGGCCACACTTCAAAATCCCAAACGAGTGAGCAAGGCTTCCCGGCGTGTGCAGGGGACGGGGGAGGGGGAGGGAGTTTGGGAGGTCGCGCGCTGGACAGGCCATTACCTCCTCGGAGAACTACGAGGCGTTCTTGCAACTCATGTTTGCCGAGGCGGGCGGACAAGTATGTGTGCCGTGGTGAACGCATGATAGTACAGAGTAAGCATGATTTACAGGCTTCAAGTGGCACTTCACAGATGACCCTACTGTCCACTAACATGAGGTGGGTTCCTCGTTTTGGCCGACAAATGTGCGTGTGGCTGGTGCCTGGATGAGCTTGGCTTTGTCGAGCGCTGGTGGGAATAGGCTCCGGGGCCTTCGGGTTTGTCTCCAGGTTAAGCAAGGCAGCCAAAACTGACCATTATCATGCAACTTCAAGCAACCCATGCCTAGCATTGCCCTGTAGACTTGGAACCCTCTTTAGCTGGCTGGCTCCGGGTGACTCTGGTCGAGCTCGGCGCAAGAGCATGCCATAGAGCCAGCCGTTGCCTGCCAAGAGATTCGTCCAACAGGCCTTCCTTTTATAGATTTCCTCTTCCGCATGCGCTGGGCTCTTTGCACTTTGAGCGTGACACCAAGGGCTGCCCCGTAGGGGCGCGCAAGCGCGTGCCAAGCCTCAGGTGCAGCGCCAGATGGGAGCCGCTCGGCAGGGGCAACGTTTGGGCGCCCGTGGGGCCAGTCGAGCCACGTCCTCACCACCCGGGTAGAAGAAGGTTAAGGGAGAACCCCCTTGCCATAAATGGGGCAGCCGTCTTTTTGATTCTTCAAGAAGTCTTTGCATGTTTCTGGGTAGTTTATCTTATTGCATGGTTTGATTATGATTCAGTTGCAGTTTGCTGGAGAGTCAGCGGCGCTGGCTGTTGTTTGGTTATCATGTTCGAAAGGTGCTGCCCGCTGTTCAAAAAGGGACACCTGGGGTTGAAGTTCCGGAAGAGCAAGTGGGAAAATCAGCATGCTCCAGCCGTCTCAATGGTTTTGTTTGCCTTTCTCTGCGCAGCCCCCGTTTGGTCACTGTGGCTTAAAGGTTGTGGCTGCAACTTGTTTGTGTGTAATAACCGGACGGAGGACCATCCATAAGTCCTCATAGCGAAGTCGTAGCATCCAACTCAAACCCCAGCTTGATCTTATGTTGGACGGAGGGGCATCCAGTTCTAGGCTTCCATAGTCATAACATCTGCAAATTTCATTTTTAATCTGGGTGGCGTGGTGGGTAAGGACAGGTCGTGGTCGGGCGGGGGGAGCGTGACGATGTTTGGTTCCAACTTGGATGAGGGACCAAGACTTGGCTTTCGCTGATCTGTTGGGCATCCCCTCTCCAACAACCATGTAGATGGTTGGACCAATGCATTGTGTTAAGGGTTGTTGTGCTGTTGAAAGTAGGGCGCTCTTCAATCCATCCCAGTTATCCCCCCCCCACCCACCGCCGCCTCCACCGGCAAATGTCATCCGCTTCCATTTGTGTGTGTGTGTGCATCTCAGGGAGGGCATTCTGCCGGAGGATATGGCGGGTAGGTGCATGCGCAGGCGCGTGCTGGCTTCCAGCCCAGGGAAGCAGACATAGACTGGCGCTAGTTGAATGTGTTGACCAGGTTTGAATGAGTGCAGCCGCAAAGTTTTGTATTGCCTGCCCTTGGGTTGCTGCCTTTTAGCAGCAAGCTCCCGAAACACTGCTGGTGAAATCCTGCAGCGTCTCTTGAAGCCAAGTTTCTCCGTGTTTCTTTTTTTGTCCGCAGGTTGCTGGACATGGCCGCTGAAGGGTGGCTTCATTTGTAGCCTGCCTGGTGCGGGATCGGAGTTTCACCACAACCTCGGCAATTCGACCTGCAAAAGGCCGCCAGGAAAAAAAAACACGGGCATGCGGCGTGCTCCACGAAAGCACGGCTGAATCAGCCGGGTTGATGAAACAGGGTCGGGCCACAGGAGCCCCTCGCCTTGGCGAGCCAAGTTCGCATGGCAACTCTAGCAACCCTGGATGATCCACTGGATGTGTGCTGATTTTGCCTGGGCAAAAGGGATGGCGCATGAGGCGAGCTGCAAGCAAGACTCGGTAGATACGGGCTCCCGCCTGAGGCATTGTCCTGCGGGACGCATCAAATGCTGGGCGCAGTCGTTCTGGCCTCAACCGATTTGCCAAGCCTTGTGCGCCTTTAAGAAGGGCGCGTTCCGATTCGGGCAAAACGGAGGCGGTCTCAGTGCGGCCAGCTGGGAGAAGAGTACTTGGGTGGAAAGCGCCACAAGGGAACCAAGCCACACATGACTGGGTTAGCTTCATGATAAGCGGGTTACAACCCACAAATGACGTGGGTTATGACCCAGGTGGCGCTTTCCACTTACAAACTCGGCAAGGAAATTCAGGCCGGTCGCCCGGAGACCGAGGCTTACTACTGCATCGGCTACTGCAGCATCCAGGATGGCGCCCCATGGCCTGCGTTTTGTGCCCGGAGCTCTGGAGCTCGGGAAGCGGTTTCTCAAGGTTAGAACTACCCCCTAAAGCCCCGAATTTGTAGTTCCAGCATGTTCCAGCTTCATGTTCGGAGCTAACAAATGGAATTGGAAGAGTCAACACCCCTCCCCCTTCAATTGGGAGTGGGAGGGATTTGCCATCCGCAGTCAGCACCAAGGTCTCGGCGGTCATGGCTGCGTCCTCAGTTGATGTCAGAGACAACTCGGCCACAGACTCAAAAGACAGACACAATATACAGAGAAAACACAAAGGACAACTCAAAAAACAGAACAAACTCAGCCTTCAACTCAGGAGTCGATGAAACTCAGAAACAACTGTTGCTTGAACTGGATCCCCCCACTTGAGTTTCACGCTGAGTCTGGAGCTGAGTATTTGTTAAGTCGTCTTGTTGAATGGTTTTCCTGCGACGGTTAGTGGTTTGGGTGGGGAGGACACCTGAAGGCTTCCGCAAGAAACAAGAAAACTAGAGACCCTTGAGAACACACCTCACTTTGGGAGAGCAAACAAGTTTGCATTCCCAATTTTGGTTTGTTGAGTTGTTCTTGTTTTTGTTGAGGGGTAACTGCAGCTTTCCTCCCCAACCAAACCCCTGCCGGACAGCTCAGAAAAGCCAAACTCAGAGCAACGTTTGATAACACTCAGCCTGAAACTCAAGCGGGGGAGTGCGAGATGTCCAAGTTGAGTTGTTTGGACTCGTCGTGACAGTGCGTGATTTCCTCGTCAGAGATCGCTGCCCAAAAGCCTGTGAGAGTCAAATGTCAAGATTTGGTGCAAGAACTTTGAACTTCGACTCCAAATGTGTCCCTTGAATCTTCTGCGCGTTTTAGAACGAGCCCAGCCGCGCTCACTACATTTTTTTTTTTTGGGGGGGGGGGGGGGTAAATAACGAGGTGAGCAACGAGGTGATTTAGTAGAACTAACGAGGTTATACGAGGTTAGTAGAAACAGAGGAGTGCCCAGTATTTTGGTGGGGTTCCCTTTAATCTCTTCCAAAAGCACTTACCTGGCCCGACAAGTTGTTTTTAGGACTTCAATTCTTTTGCCCTTGAAACGATGCCCCGGGCTTGGACAAGCAACTTTTGGAGCCGGAATGAGTCTTTCCTCCCCATCACTTGTGTCGAAGCCCGAAAAGGCTCGAGACCGGGCTTTCAACGTCTCGAGCCCCCAAAAGTGCCTTCAGCCCCGCTTTGGGAGTCTCTAAGGAGCGGCGGCTCACAAGAATTGCTTTTGGAATCGCATTTTCCGGGCGGTCGAACAATTCAGAAAGCTCAAATGTGTCAGAACCCTAGATTGGCAAGAGGCTATGGTGTGGTCAGCATGCCCCTCGGGCAGGACAGACATTTCTGCAGGTTGGATTCTTGGAGCACCGGCCCTTTGTTTAGGGCTGCTTCTGCTCCAGCTTTCGGGGATACAAAGTCAACTTTTCCAGTTGTGTTTGGGACTTCAATTCTTTTGCCCTTGGAACAGCCCGGGCTTGACTGTTTGACGCTTTCGGAACGCTTCGAACCCCCGGCCAGGCTACGTCCGCGCTGAGGGTTTTTTCCTTTCCCTTTTGCTGCGTTGTTGTAAGGCTAGAGAAGCTAGGTCCTAATTCCAAAGCAGACATTTAGCGAGGCCTAAAACCCAAGCCAGATGTAACGAGGCGAGGCACTAAACCTGAAAAAGAAATGAAGAAACGAGGTGACGAGGTAAGACTTATTTTAAAACGCCCAGAATCTTGCCAGCCGCAGCCCAGGGCCCCAACCCATTGGCTGCACACGCAGTGCCCAAACCTCACAGGCGCAATTTGTGTCAAGGGCCCAGCCAATTTTGACCATCCCCGAGCTAGGTTTTTTCGGGGCCCCCAAACAACGGCCAGTTTCTGCTTGGTTTGCTTTTGAAGCCAACAAAAAATGGTGCCCTAAAAGATGATAGACCCATAGCTGCCCATCCCCTGAATTCCGGTGGAGTCGTGGTTCGAGGTGTCGGCATCCGTGGCCATTGCCACCTTGGATTTCTCCATGACGCGGAGGGAGCAGGCGGTGACTCGCGGTGACGGTGCTGCGCCGGCGCTTTCTTTTGTTTCTGGCCGGGCACAAAAAACGCAAGGGCGTCTCATGTTTGTTGCACAGATGGGGTGGGTGCCCATTTAGAGGGCAAGTTTGAGAATGTCACTTTCATGCACCCGATCTTGGCGCAAGCATCAGAAGCCCAGGGTGCTATGATTGGTTGAACCTCCACCCACTTTTCCCAGGCTCTTGCTACCGGCGGTTTTTCATGGCAGGTGTTGGCGCGTGTGCTGCTGGTGACGGGGCCAATGCTCGCAGCGACCATGGCCTGGGCCTGCGCCTGCCAGCTGCCCTTCGCCAACTTCTTGGTGGGGGGCCTTGGGGGAAGCTGGGGAAGGGATGCGGGGGTTCGAACGGTCCCCCAGCTACGTGCCCTTTCTCGCCCGTTTCCTACTAAAATGAACTACAGAAAAAGTTGGTGCCCTTAGTCTAACCTCTACTGGATGACCTAGTTGATCAAAAGGTCCGAAATACATGGGGTAGCCAGTAGGTGAACCCCCAAGAAAGATGCGTTGCGCCGCGAAATGGGAAAGTTACCCGGTTAGTGTGGGGCCATGAGGCCGGAGAGGCCGAATGGGCGTTGCATGTGTGCGTGTGCACGCATTCCTGCCTGTTGTATTTGATTGTTGCTTGTATGTGTTTGTGTTTGTGTTTGTTAGGGATTGGCGGGGGCAAACGGACGTTGGTCTTTGCATGTCGTTTTTCCTTTTTAGAGAGCTTTTGATCTAGTCTCCCTCAATGCCAAGACTCTTGGCATGCTTGGGTGAGTTTCGCTGAGGTTTACGTCGCCTTCCCGCTGGCGACCCTGTCGCACACGTCCGGGGCCCAGTCAAAGTCGAACCGCGCATTCCACTTTTGGCCACTTTCCACTTGAGCGCTACTTGAGTTCGTTTGTGTTTTGAGGGTACCCTTTTCGGGTTGGCTTGAAGGGAAGCAAACATCAACTAGGCTGACACCCTCATTTCCTGTTGATATTTTGTACACCCATCGGGTTTAACATTCAGCCCAGAAGCTCCCCCCTCCACGAGGTGCTGGCTGCTGTTCTCCCTCAGGGCGCGCCGGAGAGCTGTTTCTTGGGACAGGGGCCTGCCCACCATTTGGCGCTTGAAGGGGAGCGTTTGATTGTTAGCAACCAGTCTGCACTCAAGAGATGCGGTTGTTTGAGTGTGGGTCAACCATGGTTTTGTAGAAACCAGGACCAGGGCCTACAGATGGAGTTGTTCAGTCTCCTCAAGAGCAGGTAGCAGCCCGACCCTTTGGTTTTGGTTTGTCTAAACCTTTCCAGCAGCCTTGTTTCAAAGCACACCTCTTATTGTGAGGTGCGGTGATCATGATCAGGACTCGTGGCCGAAACTGGATGCCAGGCCTTGGACGTGCAAAAGCAGCAGAACGGTGCCCGGCCTTTTTCTGGCATGGGCCGATGGGCCCAGGGTTGAGAAAGAAAGTGCCCAGCAACTTGTAGAATTCACGGACTGGTTTACGCCGCCATCCCAAGAAACCCTCCTCATGGTTAGAGGCAGCCGTAGGCGCTTTCTTCAGGTAAAATGCGTGTCTCAAAAATTTGCGTGCCTTTCAAGCCATCCAGCAAGAGATCCCTCTATCTTGAGACATCCCCCATTGAATAGTCATACCCCTGTTTCTCAAGGAGGCCCGAGTATGCAGCAACTCCAGACCAAGATGTTGTGATGCTTTCCGCGCGGCCCAAAGATTTGAAAGCGTGACGTGTGCACTTTGCATGAATTATGCGGGTCTTGTTTGCGTTTGGCTTCAAGGATGTGTTTTGCCCGACCGCGGGGCTGGACCTACTTGGAAGGGGCTGCTTCAAGCCCTGTCCATTATGTCCGTGTTTGTTGATGTGTTTTCCCTCAGCCGAGTTTCACGAGCAACCTGGTCGTGCTATTCATGTTGACGTCGGATTAGTCAGAACGCTCACTGGTATTTGTTTCAAAAAGGGTATCTCTCCGAAAGTCGAGCCGCCTGTAGTCAAGCCAGAAGGGTTTCAAATGTGGATTAAATATGTGTTGCAGGTAAGTAGGAGTGCCGTTTCCCAACAGAAAAGCGTTCCCTCTAAAAATTGGACCCCGACTGTATCTGCGAGGGGTTTATTACTCCTGGGCTTTATTCGGCGCGTTGCTCATGTGCACGTCGCAGGGCCATCAGGTTCCCTTTGAGCAATTTGCACGATCTTCGATTTTGGTTGGTTTTCGCTGGAATCGGCTGGACTGAAACCTGCTTAGAACCATTCTGTTTGGAACTCTCGCGGGATTCAGTGTGACTGTGCAAAGCGGCCCTGTTTGAGGTAGGGCAGGTTACCCTATCTTGTTGTTCGCGTGCCCCTTGCCCACCTTCCATTTGCTTAAGAATATGTGTAAATTTCCCCTGTTGGTTTTGAAAGGAATCTATCACTACTGGATATTTCCAGGGGTCGAAAAACCAAATGGCTTCCGGGCAGGTACGTACTTGCCCATGAAGTTCCGGGCGGTGCTGTGCGGGAGCTCAGGTTTTTTTACCCCTCGAGGGGAGGCTCACTTGACTGCTATTAGGTTGGATCTTTAGACTTTAACTTGTTGGGAATTCAAGGGGTTTTCCACTAAACCCACACAAAAGTCAAACTTTTTGCAGGGGGCTCAACAGCAACCAAGCTCAAAGGCGGTAGCCAGATGCCGTTCGACCCCCATGATCTCACGACGGACTTTGCATTTCCCGACTGAGCTTGCTTTTGCTTTAACCTCAACCTTTCAGGGTTTCCTCAGTTCCCCATTAAAGGAAAAGGGATGCAGGGGCCCCAACACCTGGCATTTCACTGGCCCCTGGAAGGTTTGCGGTTGCCTGTTTCTCGGGGGAAACCTTATAAAGATGTGGACTTGGAGGCCGCTGTGTCCCTACTTTGGCCCCAGCCATTGCAAGTAATCAGCCAAACTCTCCACATGCTGAGCATTTGCGCAAAGTGGGTGGATCATTTCCCCGGACATGAGGTAGTGCGTGTGCAAATGGGTGTGTCTTCCGTTTTTAGTCTCTAGGGTACCCTCTCTGGCTTGAGAGAACAAACTGCCGTCAACTCAAGGGAAAGCCGTCAGGTAAATTGATTGCTAGTGGGTTACGGATCTTTACACTTTAACTTCTTGTTGAAACAGAGGATTCTCCGAATTGGACCCACAAAGGGTTGAACACATTTTGCAGACGGGTCGTTACAGCAACCAAATTTAGTTGTAGTAGCCTGCACCAGTGCAGGTACCTGGATGTCTTCGGCTGGCTGAAGGGGAACAAGGGGAAGTCTTTTCAATCTGAAGCAGAATCGCCAGCCACTGCCTCAGTATCCAGCTCCAAGTTGCGAGGGGTAGGCTGACGGCTGAGGGATTTTTGTGGCATTCACCGGCCAGGTTCCTTGAACTTGGACAGCCCCAAGGCAATTAGGTGTAAACCAGCCCCAGAAAGAGGTTCACTACTTATTGCTTGATTGACTGATTGATTTGATGGATGGATGGATTGATTAATTGATTGAGTGATTGTTTGGTTGGTTGGTTGATTGGATCGATAAGTTGTTTCGTTTGTTTGTTTATGCATTCATTCATGAATTAACAATTCATGCATGCATGCATGCATGCATTCATTCATGCATGCATTCATGCATTCATTCATTCATTCATTCATTCATTCATTCATTCATTCAGTCATTCATTCATTCATTCATTCATTCATTCATTCATTCAGTCATCCCTTCCTTCCTTCCTTCCTTCCTTCCTTCCTTCCTTCCTTCCTTCCTTCCTTCCTTCCTTCCTTCCTTCCTTCCTTCCTTCCTTCCTTCCTTCCTTCCTTCCTTCCTTCCTTCCTTCATATATTTAGTCATTCATTTGTTTGTTTGTTTGTTTCTTCGTTTGTTTGTTTGTTCGTTCGTTTGTTTGTTGGTTTGTTCATTCATTCATTAATTAATGCATGCATTCATTCATTCATTCATTCATTCATTCATTCATTCATTCATTCATTCTTTCATTCTTTCATTACCTTTAGTATTTCATTCATTTAGTAATTGATTCATTTGTTTGCTTACTTATTTAGTTCTTGCTGCGTGGCCACCTGCTGCCTCAGGCCAGTAAAAGGGACTACGTGCAGCTTTCCCACGACTCGGCGCAAAGGCTCCCGAGCTCGTGGCCAGGATCCGTTCGGGCCGGGTGTCCCGCGCAGGTACAACACCATGCGCACGGAGTTCGAGATTGTTCCACAAGCGCGGGCCTTGAAAAAAAACAACTCGGGATCTGGGTGGCAAGCCGCTAAGCTAAGCCCCCCAGCCATCCGGGCCCTTAGCTTTGTAGGTGTTTAGTGAGTTTTAAGTGTTCGGCGGGGGTGTCCATTGAACCTACTAAGAGTTAGTGGATTTGAGGACAACCGGCCCCCTGTCTGCAGCCAGCCCCCCTTCAGATTCAGCCCAGCGCAGGAATGTGTTCCGAAGTTGCAGCTGCAAAAAGGGAACTCTTTAGCTTTGCCAAGCGGCTCCTCTGGAAAGCGACTTGGACATCAGTCTGCCGGACTCTCTCTGCACATGCTGCGCCTGGCTTATTTTGGTGGGCTGAATTGACATGCACTTTCTAATGTCTTTGGGTTCCACTGTTTGACTAATTGTCCAAGGATGTGGTTGAGTTCCCCAAAAAGGGAACCCCTGGGTTTAAGTCTACCTTAGGGTAGTCAAAAGTGGAACCCTGTCTTTGGTCACTGCGCGGTCCTGCTGGCATGAGACATGTCCGGACAGAGGCATGACCAGTCGAGATCTCTGATTGAGGACCTTCCTTTCCTTTTTGTTTGCGCAAGACAAGGGCGTCTGACTTGCCGGCCCCCAGCAACACATGCCATGTACTCACCAGATGGCTGACGATGGCTTTGACATAAACTACAGTTTGTTAACCTTAACATGTAGATGCACCATCTGCAAGTTGTATGTGCCCATCACAGGTGTTGAAGGTCCTGGCTCCAAGTAATCCCACGTTGGCCTAGCGATGTTCAACGCTTCAAAACAACGAAAACGACTTGGCAGGATCGTCAACTCAAGCAGTTCAGTCTTGGTTGCTCCCTGCAGGGCCGTCACAAAAGAAAAACACATAACAAACACACATGGTCCGATTTCACTAGCCTTTTTGCCCTTTTGCCATGTTGCCCTTCTTGCTTCCTGGCGTAAGCAACACAACGTCGGTTCCTGATTAGATTATTGAGTTAACTTTGCCGTCGGGCCTAAGTCTTTTCGCAAGTTTTGACTCAGCAAGTCGTGGCAGGCCAGGACAACCCTCTTCGTTTTATTCGGGTCGAAAGCGATAAGCCAAGTGGGAGTTTTCTCCAAGCGGTGGACCGCCTTGATTGGCACCAAAAGGAAACCAACCATTCCAGGTCCCCCAGCTATCAAGTGGTCTGCGTGATGTTCATTGGGCTTGGGGCCTAAATTGGCAACCATTCTCCAAAAATTGAGTAGCTTCCTTTTTCAAGGGCCCATGAGGCATCCAAATGGGGTCCAGGGGTTTCTCCGATGTTCCGACCATCGAGGCGGAGCAGAGCAGCGACTCGGAGTCCGAGGATTTGGATCTGCGGCGCGTGGCGAGTTTCTTTGAACGAGCGATGAGTCGTATATAAGGTGGATGGTTGCGAAATGAACTTAGGCACCACCTAATTATGGGCAGATTGTTTGTCTAGGTCCCCACAGGAAAAAAGGGTACCCTTATTGTATCCTCTCTACTGGAGGACCTAGTTGTTGGTTTTTGCGGAGGGGTCATATCATTCCAGATGCAGGGTTTGTCCATCCACAGTAGGATCCCCCTGCCAACGAAAGCGTTTGGCTTCCCTTCAAATAAGCTCTGGCCATCTCGGGTCTTCTGGCATGTGATAGGTGGTGTGCGGGGTCCTATTTTTACTCGTTTTCGGACCTCCACAACTATTGAACATTCGATGTGGGGGAACCCAGACACCTACTCGATTCTCGAGTTACCCCAAGTTAGCCATATATTGGCATGGCCGTTTTTTTTCGGGGGGGTTTTGTGCCAAGTGTTTTAGATATTCCTAAATACCAGACAAAAAAGACAACATATTCTAACCTCTCTACTGGAGGGCCTAGGCGAGTGTGGTTGGGTCGTGCAAGTTTTCATAACAAGCTTCACTCTAGCGGCGCGCCAGGTCGGAGCTGCGCGGCGCCCGGCGCAAGGGGCATGGCACTCGAAACACGCCTCCTGCCTTCCGTAACCGGGGTGCTTTTTGGCTTTCACCGGGGGGGGGCCCAAGGCGGGGGGAGCAGGGGGAGGGTGATTTCAAGTGTAGTTTTTTCTTGTTCGCACGTTTTGCGAAGCAACCAGGCAACACGGCATCCGGGAGCAGATCAGCATGTGGTATGATGACAAGGCCCGGACTGCATTTCAAGAAGCTGAAGCCCCAGCCCAGACATTTTCGCGTGTGGGTGCAAAGACGGCCCCCGTGTTTTCCAGTTGGAGTTGGTGATTTGTCTCATCCATGCTGCAATGCTGGACCCTTTGTCATTGCTTCTTCAAGCAGAAATGTTTGCAGGAATTTGGCCGTGGGCGTGAATCCCAAACTTGTAGGAATCAAGCCATATGCCGTGTTCAGTGTGCGCATTCTGCGTGGGTCAGCGCCAGGTCTGGCCACATTTGGACGAGGAGGAGCGCAAACGGGTGAATCAGCGGGAGCCCTGGATCTTTTCAGCTCAGGTCGCACGAGAGAGCACTGGCAAGCTGTTTGAGCCGCCTTCGTACAGCTTTCGTTACGTAGGGTTTGCCCTGTTGTCTTGGGGCCTTCGCTGCCCCAACCTGACTTGCAGGTTCGCCCAACGCTACCGCAGTATCACTGGCGAGGCCAGGCAGCAGTTATTCGGCTTCATGGGAACCAACCTTGCCTATCAAAGAATTCCTGGCAATGGACTTATAACTAGGAACACCCAAAGGGCCCTTTTACTCTTGTCTTGGGGAGGGTTCCCCGACCAAAATAGACTACAGAAAAAAAGGGTACCCTTATTCTATCCTCCCTACTGGAGGGCAGTATAAATTGCTTTGCGGTTGGCCTTCTAAGCTAGTGTCCGCAAAGGAAAGGGGGGACTGCTTCAAGGCGGAAGTCAGATCGTCCATTGCTTGTTTGGGATCATCTGAGGGCTCAGCCATGTCTGTACCACACATAGATGATCAGGTAATGGGCATGTAGGGGTGAATATGGGTACTTATTCCAGGGGCCCGTGTTTTAGCCTTAGGGGGATACTCCGTTTTTGGGTGGCTTCCCTTAGGCATCCAAGAGGAAAACGACGGCTTCCGCGTAGACTGCTCGCACAGGAGGCTCAGCGCAGTCTGCCGGCGGGGTCGTCGAGGCGCGGTGCTTCCCGACTCATTGGCCCTGACGGTTTTGACCTGTTGGGTAGGAGACTTTCTTTTGACTTCGGCCCAATTTTGGGATGTTGGGGGGAGGGGGGGGGCGGGGGCGGAGGTTGTTTGAAGAAAAATATGTCAGGGGCGGAACAACATCAACCACCGTTGACAAGGAACGCGTCAGATGCCGGAGATCTCGGCTGGCTGGCTTTCAGGGATGAGCAGGGGACGGCGACTTTGTGTCAACCTAAGTTAAGCTCCAACATGCCCTTGCGTTTTGTGCTTTTGTTTGGGGAGTGGGGGGTTGGGAACTTGCACATTCATGAATGCTCAGAACTCCAGGCACGGAAATTGGTGTGTTGTGAAAATGGGACAGACCTAGAAAGAGAGAGAGAGAGAGAGAAGCAAAAGAGAAGGAACCCGACCAGCTAGCTCACTGTCCTGAACACTTTGCAGCTGTTCCGGTAGTTGTTTGTAGGGAAACTGAGTGTTTGCCAGGCCCTGGCTGAAGCTATCCGGGTACGCGGACACTGGCACCGAGGTGAGAATCGGGGTGTTGGATTGAAAATAGATGGGCTCCACTGGCTTGGATTAGTTTCATTCCCTTGACTTCTATTGGGTTGGATCTTTAGACTTTAACTTTTTGGGAATTCAAGGGGTTGTTCACTAAACCCACAAAAGTTAAACTTTTTGCAGAGGGGTCAACAGCAACAAAGTCCCTTTTTAATTCCAGGGGCTATCTATTTTGTCCAAAAGGCCACCCATGTTCAGCCCCCTGTTGTAGCCGCTCACGTGTCCAAGCAGAAGGCGAGGGGGGGGGGGGGCAAAGTGCCTGCAACACGGACCTCTCCAAATCCGTGGCAGTCTCCATTCGAAACAAGGAGCATCGTGGAGCGAGGATCCAGCGTGTTTTTCTCAGGGGATCCCTGACTCAACAAACCCAACTTCTTTCCAAAGTGTTTGCTTTGGGGATATCAAGGTGCTGCATGCAGAGCTGTAGTAGGGTGGGGCCCCCAAAAGTCCGAAGGTGTGCGCCTAGTCCGGCGCACGCTGAGCAAGCTTGCGCTTTTGCCACGGACATGGAGCCGGCGGTTCTGCTTTTCTGGGCTCTTGGCCTGTAATCTTCGAAGTCCACCAAGAAGCTTTACTTAGAGGGGGCTTACTTCGACCTGAATCACGGGTCAAGCAAAGGGGCTCCAGCAACAGTTGCCTGTTGCTGGTCTATGGAGGGCTTATTGTTGAAGCATCCGCCTTGCACATACGTTCAACGCAGAGCCACACAGTAAGTTCAAACCCGGGACATAACAAAATTGACGTGCCTGTGCCCGCCATCTCACCGCTTTGTGGAAAGGGTTCCTGTGCACAAAAACCATGGTGGCGGGAGGACCTACATCACCTGGTCAAGTGGGTGAAAACTACCTACATACCTTTTGGGGCTATTCAGTGGGTTCCAACATTTTTTTTTGAGGGTATCTGGGCTCGAGCGCGTACAACCATGATTGCAAGCCCGCACGGAGCCTTCAGGCACCATACCTGTTCCAGCCGGACACAGGCGAAGTGCTCCACCTGCCGCAGGCCCGCCAGCCTGGGGGTCACGAGCTTGCGCGCCCCTCTCTTTGGATGCTGGGAGTTGCTCCAAGCGCCGGATGGCCAGCACGCTGGCCCGGCCAACACCTCCAACTCAGCGAGCAAACAATAGAAATGAGAAGACCATCCACGAACTTTGTCAACGTTGTTGTAAGTTGATACTTTCTGTGATGCCAATACTCGCGTAGAGCCCCAAAAGCGAAGACCCTGTATCAAAAAGGCAGGGTGTGCCAACACTCTGTAAACACACAGCCACCCCTCTCCCTCCCCCTCCCCCCCCCTTAAAAAACCGAAAGGAAGCTGTGTCAACAATAGTGACTTCATTCAGCATGTTGAAAGGGGTTGAATGGGCCAATTTGGTCTTTTTCTCCAGGTCGGCGGCGCAGCATCCAGCAAGGCCCAGGCATGGCGCCCAGCGGCATTTTGTGCCAAGTGATGCCGTTTTAGTCTGGGGATTTCCCAGCGGATCACAACCCATGATCTTGTGTGTTTGGTTTGGGGGGTGACGCTGAGGCCGATGACGAGTCTGCTCAATCTGATGACTTTTGGGGGTCTGCGGCTCAGCCCTCTTGCGATTTTCGCGCATGGCCTCGCACGCAAGAAGCGCAAGAGCGCCGCGCTGAGGGAGCAGCCATCGGACGTCCGCTCCATTTCCATGATGGAGCAGGACTTGGAGGCATTCATGGCGCGGGCCCTAGGAGGATGATAATGATGATGATGTTGATGATGATGATGATGATGATGCAGGTGGTCGTGGTTATGGTCATGGCCATGGTCATGGCCATGGTCATGGTCATGGCCATGGCATGTCATGGCCATGATGAATTTCCTGGTCAGTGTCACTTCCACGCTTGCTGCACTTGTGTGGTCATTCCCTACCTACATTTTTGCAACTTAGCTTGCCCCACTACGTTTCATGGCATTCCCACTGGATTCACGCCCTTTCGGCCCGCAGCTAAGCAAATTCGATGGCCTGCACTGCTGAGGAGCGCTGCCGGGAGGAGCCTGGCTGGAGGCGTGTGGGCTGGTGGGTTGGGGTGCAGCGTATGGACAAAACTTGGACAACCTGAGCTCTCAGCACCTCGCACACCAAGATGGAATCTGAGCAGGCTCAACACAATCAATAATACTTGGGCCTCTTCCAGCATAGTGAAGTGAAGACATACCCGCACATTGACTCATTGCCAGATTACATGATGCAGGGAGCGGGGGCACGGGTGGTAGGCGCACGAGGGTTTGCCATCAAAAGGGGAGGTGGAGAATCAACTCATGGTCACCTTTTCAGTACCTGCGCGAGGCCGGGAGCATTTGCGACGTGAACCAACAGCATTTTATTGTCTATTTACATTGTTAAATATATATATATATATATGTATATATATATATACATGCGTATGCGTGCGCCTTTGTCAACTTGCTGACACCCAGTTCTATTGACCAACATTCTTCCATAGACTGGGCCGAGGGCTCGCGAGCGCGCGCGACTGGGACGAGTGCGTTGGCGCCTGCCCAGGCCAAACCTGCGGAAGCGCCGAGAGGCGTGTGCTGCGGCCAAGGGTTCCCAACGAATTCGCAATCTTGCTCCTGTATTGAACCTGAGCTGTTCAAAGGCAATCCGCAAGATCCTTCCCTTGGGATACGCAAGGGGCCTCCTTTGTGGGCTTTGCAATATGGATTGTGGAAAATCGGATGGGCCAATACTCCGTTTTAAACAGCCCACGGAACCGGGCAGTTGATGGCGCGACAAGCTAAACTCCCTGTTTACAGGGGTGCCAGAACGGCATGGGTAGCTGATTTGATTTGTCCAGACCCTATCCATCGCTTTGTGAAGGTGCAACGTGGTGCGACAACACAAAGCAATCTGCAGCAACAACAGGGGATGACAAGCAACAACGAGATGCAACGAACGGCCATAGCGGCGACAAGAATGACAGCAGTGGCAGCAGAAACAGCAGCTGCAACAACAGTATGTGGCAGCAACATTGACAGCAAATAAGAACAGAGTTCTTTAAGTGTTTTATTGGTTGTTCGGGCATGTGTGCACTGGGTGAAAGTAGATGGCGTGAAGGGGATGCCTGAAAGGAAATGGGAGTGGGATTTGTGCCATTTGATTTCACCTTGCTGGCCTATCGCCACCGGTTCTTTCCCGACCGCAGGCTGGGACGACGGACGGAGCCAACCAGGTGCGCGCACTCTGGCCACACGAGGCACTTAGGAAGCTGCATTGAAGGCTACTGACCCCAGGCCCTGAGTGGGGACTCAGACTTTTGGAGGGGAAGACCCTAGTCATTTTCTGCGGTTGATGTTCATGGAGTCAACACCATGGAAGCCGGTTCACCATCCAAGGCAGCTCCGTCAGAGTCAGAAACTGGGGTCCTTCCCAATCAACCCGCTTGCGTGGTGAGACGCTTTCATCCAACCCCCCCTGTTTTGTGGTACACTTGGGTATAGGCATCGCCTGGGCGAAGTTACTGGTATTTGTTCCTTGGGGTGATGACATTGACATGGGAACGCTCAGCATTTTGTCCGCATCAAACGAGAAGCCTTCTGCCAGGTCATGGAGTTTTTGACCGGCGGCTCGGACTCAGACAAGGAGTTTTGCGAGGAGAGATGGCCTTGGCGGTGTGTGTCCGTGTTTCTCGGAGGCTCGGTTCCCTCTGACAGGTTTGGAAACGCCATCAATTTGGGTCCCCTTGTTTGGCCATGATATGATAATTGTACCCGTTTTTGCTACTTGGGCTTGGGAGGGTCAAAGGGACTTGCTGAACAATGTGATCTGATGGATTTCGGCTTCATCGACCTCACGGAATATTTGGGAGGGATCCTTCCTTGGCATGGCCCGCGGTTCTAGTCATTCCCGCTCATTCATGTTCGTAACACGCAATGGCCATCCAATCTTTCAAGAAAAATTGCCATTGGCGCAGCCTACGCTTGTGGTTTCCCTGGGCGCAAGCCATGCTAGACGTGACCGCTGTGAACATTTTCACATGAGACTGTGATCTTCCCAGGCGAGACTGACACATGCGACTGGCTGGGTTCTCATGTGGGTATGGGTCAAAACTAAGCCGCCAGGGGACCGCAGGTTTGATATTTTTAGTCCGTGTTTCCATGTGCCAGGGATTTTGGGGTACCTGTCATTGACCCACACCCATGTCAACAGCAAGCCTTCAGCCGATTCGAAGCGCAGCTGGGCAGGACCCAGCTGTGGTCGGAGAGATCAAGCAGAGGCTTGGCCGTGAAGCTGGAGCCACAAGTTGTTTTTCAAGTCCCAGACAAGTAGATTATGGGCTTGTCTTGTTTTGATTGCACTTCTTAGGGGGGTGGGGGTCGTTTTCAAAGTAACCAAAGGATGACCACACGTTTTGTTGAGGGGGGCCTAAGCTTGCGACAAACACAGGTACTTTCTGTACTTTCTGCTGTCCGCTAGTTAGTACATTCTGGCGCGTGGGCTCATGGTGTGTGGCAAGGTTCTTGAGTTGCAGGTTAAGCTTTGCACGGGCCCTTCAATCTAATTTTTGTCGACGGGCTGCAAAAAGGGTGGGCAGTTCATGTCCCGCTAAGAGAGCAACGGTGAGAGGGCCCGGGCAGACTTATGGGCTTGGAGGCTGTTGCCCATCAGGATGTGATTTTTGCAACCCTCATCAACGTTTGAGCCAGGCAAGTCCCGTTTGCAAAGCATCAAACCACATTGTCTCGTGGGCCGGGCGTTGAGAGTTCAATTCTTGGCTTACCTAGCGATCTCTCGCGCAAGGGGTCTTGTCTGGAACTGTCCTAAGCTTCCAAGAGCCACTCCCTTTCAACCCACTGAGCCACTTAGCCACTCCCTGGCAACTGTCCTTTTGGCCACTTAGCCAGCACCCCCTTCAAGTCCCACACTTTGCCATGGCCCATCCAAGCCGCGCAGGCGCGTTGGCATGGAGTCGTATTGCCTTCAGCTTAGCCGTTAGCCGTGGTGGCCGTTGCTGCGCCCAGGGGAAGCAGGCCATAAGTCGTAATCCTTGGTGATGCCTGCAGCCTGCAAGATCTGCAAGCTTCACTCGTAGGTAAGTAGGGTGGGGCCACCCATTGGCTTAAACATGCTTAAACCACAGGGTGTGATGATTCTTCCCTTGTAAAGGTGGTGTTTAAACCATATTTTGCCCCACCCGGGTCGTAAGGCTGGGGATTGGGAAAGCTTGGCCTTCCTTATTGCATCCGCTCGGCTTCCAGTGGCACACAGCTCAGGCCCTCTAGGGAGGCGGTCGCTGCATCCTGAGTGCCAGAAGCCTAGATGCATCCTGAATCCTGGGTGCAGGAAGCCTAGGTGCGCAAAATGGGTGGCTCGTGATTGTTTGGAGTTGGTAGCGGCTGCCTGGTAGCCTCTTCTTTGATGGTTTCAAAGGGAAGCTTGGGCGTCCAATTCCTAATCGACACCCAATCAAATGGTAGACCTCCTTTTCCGGCTGGCAAAAGGGGAACCGCGAACCACCTACTTGTAGGGCCCCCATTCTGAGAAACCTTGCAAGCACGCCAAGCAACGTGCATGCCATTACAAGGGCATCGGTTTGTAGGTTGACTATCGGTTCCTGTGGTGGTAGTATTGTCAGGGAGTCATACCAGTTGTTACTCCCTTGGTCAAACAAAGGGCCACGCGTAGAATCTAATTAGACTTACACTTGTGGTTGTATGAGGACGTCGTTTTCAGCTGACCTCTAGCGGGTCTAGTCTTTCTTTTTTTTTCAGTGTGCATGTATTGTTTTACACTGTATACTGGGTTCAACGTCGCACATCGCAACCGTTTGGTGCAAATGCCGCAAGCTCGGCGAACAATGCGCACTTTGGCAGCTCTAGCTCGACAACGGCAACGTTTCAGCCGTTGTCTTCAGAGCACATGCGGATGTGAGGAATGGTGTGCACAGGGCTATTTGTGTGAAAACGGTCGTTGTGTTGTCGTTTGCTCAGCTAGCAAGTTTAGCTAGTTTGCTACCCAACATGATCATACCAGCAATCACTGCCAAGCTTTGGACCATTGGACCATTGGAGGCTCTGAGGCTCAAGGGCCTGTTTTCAAGGGGGCCCCTTTTGAGAACCGACGGAAGCCAACTTCACTCTGTGCACGCAAGAGGTTCAAAGACTTGAAGCTCAAATGTGCGGACCAGTAGAGCTTGAGTCACTGGATGGCACACTTTAGCCTAGGCAGCAAGCTGCACGGCGAGCCTGATGAGGCATCGGCAGTTTGCGGTTTGCGTGCTCAGATGCAGGGCGGTGTATCGCATTTCAACCCTGCAAGGCTGGTGCACTCAACAAAGAGACTTTATCATCCATATATGTTCCATTTGCGGGCGCCAAGGAACGACCGTATGGAGGTTGGGCGGGGGGTCCTTTTTTGATGCTTCTTGTTTTGCAATTTTGCAGGTCGTTCAAAGGTAAACCAAGGGAAACCTGAAAAACTGATCAGGACGCCATTTTTTCAGGTTCCTTACCCAGACCAGCGCCAGGATGTGGTGATGGGCTACGGCGATTTAAAGCCAGGAACCCTGGCAGTCGATTGGAGATCCGCAGCTGGCGAGTGGGTTGGGTGAGTTGAGGCCAATCGTTTGAGCCCCCTACGCCCCGAAAAGATCTCCCCCCGAAAAGATCTCTCCCCTACCCCCCGATAGGTTCTCGAAGGAGCGCCTAGGAAGGTTCCAAAAGTCTTTGGGTTGACGGGCTTTTGGTTCCTCCCTTGATTTGTTCAGGGAGGGGGGGTGCGAAACAAAACCTCGCATGGTTCGTCCACATGATTGAAGCAAGCACGCCGTGCTTTTTGACTGCTGGCAACGACGAGGGCCCTCAAAGCTTGGATTGCTGCCACAACCCGCTTGTCCAAAGCCACCTTTCACCCTTTTGGTTTTCCAATGTTGGGTTCCCATGTTTAGTCATGGCCCCAAACATTTTATGTCTGGTTCCCTAAAGGGCAACTATGGGGCAACTGAGACAAATCTCAGCAACCTCGATCATCACCTCTGCATCCAGCCCGTGCTGCTTTGCTTGGCTTACTTTGCCAAGCGTAGCTCTCACGGATGGCTGCGTTTAAAAAAACATGGTGTCACCTCTGTTTGGAGTTCCAAATGCTGGGCTCGGGCCGTGGAACCTCGCTTTCACGTGGGAAGTCGGTTGGATGTTGAAGGGGCTAGGCCCCAAATCTTGGGAAATCTGCAGTTCGAGAACATCTGTTACTTCAGCGGGAGCGTGCAATCGCATTTGCAAGCAACGGTTGAAATTCTCTCTTCAGAAGGGTGCTCCAAGAAAGTGATTCCCCAAGCCCCTACTGTCTGCGTCGTGAGGCTTCAATGCAACGATGCTTTGCTTTACACCTGCCAGTTTCAAAACAAGCAATAAACTAGTTTGCGCATATTCCTGTCGCATATGTTGAATGAATGAAATGATATAGCCTTATTGTGCCGGGCGCGTTGGCCATATTTGCCATTACCCTGCTCATGGGTAAAGCGCAAACATGTTTTGTGCATGTTTGTTGTCGAACTCTTGGGACTGTCTTAGAGGTTTCCACCGAAAAGGAACTGCGGCCATTCATGGGGTGCCCCTCACCTGTTGGGCAGTTCTATCACGAGGTTCCTGCCATGTTAATTATGTTCAAACTTGACACTAAACAAATCTGTTCGAATGATGTTGCATTGCTTTTAGGAGGAACACATATGCAGATAATGTGAGGGTATCGTTTTTGGGTTGGTTTGAAAGGAAAGGTCCTGGCCGCCATCAATGGAGGCTTCAACGGTGCTTGGGGTAGTAAGAATTGTTTAAGAGAACCCACAATGTTTGGGGTTACCTTATTTTGACACATCTTGATATATCTATATATCTACATATATATATAAACATGTAGCATCTATTTATATATATATATATATACATAATATCATGTCTATGTATACATTTGTATATGCGCATATATTCGCTACATGGGTTGGTTGGTATGGCCTCTCTCCCAAGCATCCCGCGGCACTATGCGAGGCCCGGAGTGGTGCCGTGGCAGATCTTCCGGCAGGCCACGGTGGTCCTGGCACTGCTTTGGGCCTGGTGACTCAGTGGGGTCCCTTCGGTGGGGCCACGAGGAAACGGGTCCCCCGGCCCAAACTGCTCCAAGAGTTCAGGTGCCTTCTGACAGAAGTCTGAAACATGCCAAATGAGCGCGCGCGCACACACACGTCGTGGCTTGCCAGGGTGGGGGTGCTGCAAGGGACCAACACGTCACCCAGCATTTGATTCCTCAGGGGGGAACAAGGCGAGCATGTTTCCTCGCCTTTTTGAGGGTTTCTGAGCCTTTCCCTTCTCGGAACCTCCAAAAATTTGCGAGCGTTTCAATGGACACTGCCAGTCAATTGATCAACACTTGGCTTGGGGAAATCCTAGTGGCTCTTTCTTGCAGAAGGGTCAGCGGCAACCAAGTGGAGTCGTCCCCAAAATGGGTTGGGACGCATATTCCGGGACATCAGGTTGTGCCCAAATGAAACAGCAGGAAATACAGGGTTGTGGGATGCTGGCCTGCTCAACAGACAGTTCTGTTTTCCATTGGATCGTCCCTGTGCAGGACTATTTTTGACACGCTGCCGTTTACGCACTTTCCCAAAGTGCATGCTTTGCCGGTTTGTTCGAACCGGATTTTTCGACGTTCCTGGTTTGTTTGGGCTGGACTCGTTTTCTGCCTGCTGTCGTTGCGCATTCTTTTCCACCAGCTTAGGCTTAGATTACCAGTCCCGGTCCACAGGAAAAGAGGGAACGATACCTACAACGAGGATTTGCAGAGTAGGGGAAAGGCAGCTTGGCCGCTTCCGGCCACCGGCGCCAGCTTTTGGTCTGCCCTCTGTCCATGTCGCAGCCCTCCCGAAGGCGGCGGAGTTTTCAAGGCCAGCCGATTTGTGCACACTGGCCACGAACCAAATCACAAGGCTTCACAAAGTGTCTCTTCTTCTTTTTTTGCATAGGCTGTTTCTCAATGTCGGCGGCCCATAGCGGCCGCCCTAAAAGAAAAAATCAAAAGAGGCTTCCTTCTAGGGGTAGCTTCCCCATTCTTTCCAGGGATCCTTCTTTCTAGAAAACCAATGGCTGGTTTTTGAAAAGAACGATGGCTGAAAGGAATGGTTGGAGTCAACCCCTAGATTCCTCTCAACTTTCCCAAGCCATCCAGTTCAGAGCTCCAGCTAGACCACTGGGCGTTGAACCTCAGGTCCTGGCCTCCTGCCTTGGGCTGAGAGCCGGGTGGTCGAAACCGAGAAGCAACATGTGCCTGAGATCCTTTTTTTAGGGTTACATGTCATTTCCGCCTGTTTTTGTTGTTTTTTTTTTGGGGGGGAAGCTGTTTGTTTTATAAAGGGAAGCTACAGTCAAGATCCCGGCCGGCTGATTGACCTGTGTTCTCAGGCGAGGACGCGCCAAGGTAGAGACACTCCAAAGAGATGACTTTTGAATGTGCGAACATTGCGCGAACTCTAGGCTGAATACGGCAGCAAATGCTCCAAATACACGCACGGCCAAACATGAGCCATGTGTTTCTTCCATACCCTGTGCTTCCTCGACTATTCTTTAAATAGCCTCGACCATTTAAAAAACGAAAGGCTATAAAAGTAATGTCCCTCGACCATTAAAAGTAGGTCTAGACAAACTTGGCCAACTCGAGACGGCTGGCTCCTGACATCCCCGCGCGCTTCTGTGCAGTGAAAGGTTGAAGAACTTGATTGCTGCCTTTTATGAAATCGGCTAAGTATGTTTTACTGTCGCTTCATCCCGTTGTAATCACACGCCGTGACCATGCTGTGTCAATTTGGCTTGTCCCTCACATGCCCGTGCGTGCTTTTCCACTTCTTGTCCACAGCTCCACAGAGTCTGACCGCGTGTTGTGCGTTGATTGTTTAATCAATTTCGAAAGAAAATGAGGCGTGGACAAACCATGGACAAACCGTGGAAAGTACGTTTTTTAGCGTGGAAAGTACATTTAAAAGTGTGGAAAGTACGTTTAAAAGCGTGGACAACCATACCCCCAGAAGCCCACAACGCATGCCTGATCGGCAGCGATGCCCCGAAGCCACTAAGTTTGCAGCATTTTCAAACAAGCCGGACTTCAGTACCAACATGCGAAGAATCTATGCACGCCTCTACAGTAGGCGGGGCACCTGGCGATTTTAAACAGTGATGCGACCATACATTTGGCAAGCCGGGGAATGAGTGGCTTGGGTGCAGTCATTTGCAGCTGGGAGGATGAGGCGGCGTGACTTTCAGCGACCTGACCCTAAGCAATTGTTGGGCAACAAAAAACCTGATTTTTTGGATATTCAGGGCCAGGCGCAAAAAACGGTCTTTCGGCAAAAAACAGTCTAGCGACCTCGACCATTCTTTGAATGGCCTTTGGAAGCCTAGGGCATAAGCAGAGCCTTAAAAGTATATACACCCTCCAAGCGGAAATCCATTAATTTTAAAGGGTCAAATGGACAACAAGGGTTTTCTGTGGGAAAAAACACCTAGGATTTCGACTTGCATCTTTTATTTTGGTGCTTTTCGCAAGCGGAATGTCGGAATTCGAAGAACAGAGCAAAGGTCCCGGATCTCAAGCAGGTGTTGAAAGGAGCCGCGAGGTTCCGTCCACTGCCAAATTGCATAGGGGGTTCCTAGATGTTCTTTGAAGCTCTTGTTGTGGTTTCCTCTTGTACGGCCAAGTGTGCGAAGCCCCCTGCTCCTCACATTGGGGCTCAAAAGGCAAGGGTAGACGTGAGGGCCTGGTCAGCCAAAACTCAAGAACAAAGCGGTAAAACCAACTTGAATGTACAAGCGTGCGGTTCACTACATGACAGTAGCTCTGCGTGATTGACACATCTTGCTTAAGCAATCTTAAGCATGCCTTCTTGCATTGCTTAAAGCGTCAGGCAGTATCCCAAAGTGGCACTTGCGTTCGTTACTCGGCGGACAAGCCAATTGCCAACGAAGCTGGCCTCCGCCTAAGTCACAGCACCCACAAATTCCTCGCACTCTTCGTTTTGATGGGAAACACAGTCCCAGCCAAACCGTGTTGCATAGTACGTATTTGTGCCCGAGAACCTTCGGACATTCTACCGTAATGTCATACAAAGCCAGTTCGTTGCTCGCGCGCAATCTACCTGTATGCCCAGTTTTTGTTTGCTGGAAGGCTTCTGGAGGTGGAAAAAAAGGGAACCCATAAAAAGCCATACAAATGCCACACAAATCCCATACAATCCCATTCATATGTTTCCGAATACCAGGTTTTTCCCACCCGTCTAAAAACCGCACAAGTCTCATAAAAAATCCGTACAAATCCCGTGCGCAATTTATGGGATTTGGAGTCTTTGCTCAAGCAGCTTTCCAGGCCAGAGTTGCCCGAAACAAACTGGCAAAGTAACCCTGCGAAAAGCAGTCATGTCGAGTGTTCAAAGTGGGTTAGGTTCTTTTCGGCTCACTCCAAAACAGTCCTTTCGACGTTTTAGACAAGCTTGTTTGTAGAAGCTCCACGATCAATGCAATAGCACGGGACCTAGTTGGCGAAAGCATTTGCAGGACGCCCCTCCAGATTTACCTATCGTATGAGCTTTCGGTAGCCTGGTAAACAATCCCTAGCAGATTGCTTATTGTCATAAGGAATTATTTATACACATGCAGCTACCGCTTGCGGTAAACTGGGACTACTGTGTTGCCCTTTTCAGAAAGTTCATACTCTATTGTGTTATCCCCGAGCCACGATCTGGGAAGCCTTCCCGAAAACTTGCGGATTGACCCATGTTTCGAGCAGGTGATTTGTAACAAGTGCCACGGTCGTGGGGCGTTCGACTGGGTGTAAGAGAGCCAACGATAGGATTCTATAGAGGGAACCACAATGCAAGACCATCCTGATTACAACGCAAATAGCAAAACCCGGTATATCCTGGAAAAACCTGGATGTTTTGCCATACCTTAAAATAAGCGGATATTTGCTTAGAGGGTATGCATATATAAATACACCCCATCCGAGGGCTTCCGCTGTTCCTGGACAAGGGCGGCTTGCTGCGGGGCGTGAATCTCCTACCCAGCTGCGCCCTCAGCTCGCTCTGCGAGTTTGCATTTCGTGCACGTGGAAGCCGTGGGTCACAGGCTGTAGTCACAGGACCCCCTTTGGACCTGACTCACTTGTTCCAAGCCTACCTTTTCCGTTTCCAACTTTGGCCCGTTGTTAGTCATGGCCCCAAAAGGTGATCCTTTTGTTTCTGGGCTCTTTGGGCAACTGAGCTTATGGTGCTGACCGCGTTTGACCTGGTTCAACTGTTCAATCATGGCCTTGCCATTGCCTTAGCCAGCCCCTCGGGCAGCATGAGACGTGAGGAGAGATGGGCGTGGGGGGCGACCTGGAGGATGAAGTCCAAAACCAGGCAGTGGTTTGCACTTGGAGATGCCGGTTTCAAAGCCACTCTTCTCCGAACCCCTCTACTCATGGCACCAACTAGGCAAGCGTGTTCCTTTTTTCCCGTGGCTGCCCTTACTTCCTAGTTGCTCAGTGGCACTCCCTTTAATTCATAAACCCCGAAAGGGGGCTTTTTTTGTCTACAGGGGACGCTCGTCAAGTGGGGACGTCACAGGAAATCCGGCAGAAGCAGAAGGAACACCTCGCCAAGTTGGACATGCTGCCGGGAGGCTGGACAGTAGCCCGCTCATGAGCGCGTGCTCCGCTCGGGCGGGCAGGGGGGTGCCTTCTGTCAAGTTGGCGATCGCATAGCGGGAGTGGGCTATGCCATGGTCCATTTCTTATTTCAGGATGGTGTTGCTTTAGTCGTCCAGGCTCCCAGACAAACCGAGAATATCTAGTATATGTGTCAGGCAACCTAGTTCTTGTGTGGTTTGGATTGGCTTGGGGGTTTGATGTAATATCGAGTATACGTCCCGTTTGGTGGTTTGGATTGGCTTCGGGATTTGATGTCCTGGTTCTTGTGGGTCAATGGGAGGTTACCCCCCCCCCCCAAACCTTTGCAAGGCACAAAGAGGCAAGCTGACGTAAGCCGCAGGTGAGCTGGTGAATGCCATTTGGCCCAGCCATTCAGGCCGCGGGCTTAATGATTTTTTTTTGTTGGACCCCGCGGATTTGAACCCCTGTTGCCACCAATTCGAACCAACTAGAGGGAAACCGAGAGCAGGGTACCCTTGCAGAGATTGTTACCAAAAGGAAAGCAACCGTTTTTGGGGTCCCTCCATTTGACACATGCCCATGTGGCTGTGTTGCTTACATGCACAAACACCGTCGAAACAACATTGATGTCCGCCAACGGCCTAAAGGTGTGACCGTGATCGCGTGATGAGCTTTTGAATAATTTACCCTGACTGCTGTGAATCACACGTTGGCATTGGCCATTTGGGCTTCAATCCAAGACCAAACAGAAATAGGATCTGCTTAGCTTACGTTGCTTGGATGTTTAAAGGACTTAGTAGGTTGCAACCATCGTTCCAGGGGAACAAAGTTTCCGCTCTCACGGGTGGATTGACCTCCCTCGCCTGATGCATTCAGATCATGAATCATCGTATTCATGGTTGATCGATGTTCCGTTCGGCCCTCAAATGCCATGGAACAATTGTTAACATTGCGAAATTCACCTATTTTTGTAGTTTCCCGAATGGTCATCCCACGGAAAGGACCTTTTGGTCAACCCCCGGATGATGTGGTTTGGGCATCCCTTAATGGAATTGGGGAGGGGGATTTCGACCCCTGGAGATCTCCATTTATGACGGAAAACATTACGTAAGTTGAATTGGCGGACCCCCCCACGGATGTTTGGGCGCATATGGCTTCTTAGAGCTCCTCTTTTTTGCATGGCAGCTAGCACATGTTCTGATTTTCAAAAGCCACAGACTACGCTTGCCCGAAGAGGGAACCCATTCAGATCAAGCCACCCAGCTAGAGGGAGATAGCAAAACCAACTTGTAGCATCATAGTTTTGGCCACTTGCAATTTGCAAACTTTTTTTTGCATTAACCTAATGCAACCTGGTGCTGATGACCCAGAATAAAACAGTTTTGCGGATGAATCGTCAGTGTTCCCCTGGGACCACCTTGGAGTAATGCCAAAGTCGAACCCTTTGGAGTTATTTGAGCTGATCATCTTTGTGTAGGGTCTCTTATTTACAGCATGGGAGTAAGCCTGCACAGTTGGTGCACCCTCCCCCCCTCCGCGCGGAAAATCCTCAAATTTACATGCCTGCTGGCTGGAGGCTTCTGAGACAATTTTCCTTGAAGAGCATCCTGGTAGTAGACGATTCCTGCATTCCCATCATGGCCCAGTCAGCTTCCCTGGCAGTGGGTGGGATGGCATTAGGTGTCCACAAGCAACGCCCGAACGCCTGTTGGCCATTGGATATGGCGGGCTATGGGGGAAGGACCCCTTAAGCAAATACTAACCATGTCTTGCTGCTTCCTAGCAGGGCATGAGGAAATGCTCCCAAGAAACCATCCATCCATATGGTTTCCTTTATTTGGGAATTTCCTCTCGGTTTATTCCAGCACCTAAGGTTTCCCTCATTTGAGAATTTCCGGCCGGTTTATTCCCAAAACCCGAGCACCAGCATGTTGGTAGCGCCATTCGTTTCGAGCACCGCTTCATTTCGGCCGAAGCCGACCGTCGGATACCGAGGCTTTGAGCCCCGAGCTCTAAGCTGTGATCCCCTGGGCGCGCCCAGCGAGGTTTTTGATCAGGGCCAGATGGGCGGCTCGTCGTTCTTTTTTTTGGGGGGGGGGGGGCCCTCCCACAACTGTGGTTTTCCTAGTGGACAAACTGTTTTTTCGAGTTTTCGAGGTTTTAGGGGATACCCTTTTGGATACCTCTTCTTTTTTGGGGCTTGGTTTTCAGTTTTTCTGGCTTGGCTTTCCTGACAGTCAAGCCAAACAAAAGAGGTATCCAACAGGAAAGACACCCAGATGGCGCGCCCGGAAGCGGAAAGGGGCTGGAAAAAGGCCAACAGCCGCCGGCCCCCCTCCAAAAACTGTCAATCAGGGGCTGCCCCCAGCTTTGGCGACTGTAGCGGCATCTTGGCAGCGTAAGATGCTGGATTTGGTCGAAGACGCCGCATGGAATTTCAGCAGGGACACGGGTTCAAAGTAATGTGTCTCCTCTTGGGGATTGGCCTCCCTTTAGAACCATGGCTTCGGAACTTGTCCTGCATACTTATTTTGTATTCTTCTTGAACATGCACCGAATTCTGGTTGTGCTGTTTTTGCCCAAGTTCTGTCGCCAAATCGCGAGAGAAAGCTCCTTTGCCGAATCCTGGATTTTAGGTCTCTCATGGTCTCTCCTCAATTTGTTCTTGTTGGAATTGCCAAGCTTGAATCCTTTTTTCAAGTGACAACTTCCTCAACAGCGGCTTTGTTTGACAGCTTGTGACGAATGTGTTTGCTCCAAGGTGTCAGGCGGCACCTCCAGTGCCAGCTTTTTCCGCAGCAACAAGGCTCCGTTCCAGCTGGTTAGAACCAACAACGCTCTTTTCCAACTGTTTCCGCTTCAGGCCTGCCTTTGCAACGGCTGGGCTTCCTGCGTTCCCGTGGCCAATTCCCCTGCGGAGAGAGTGAAGTTCCTCGAGAGCGGCCAGGCAAGCGCATTGTGGTGGCCGACGACTTTGGAATCTATGCACCTGCCTGAGGGAGGATGTCAGACCGACCCACTGGGCTCGCATGTCCGATCCCGTGGCCGTCGCTTCCTTGGTTGTTTCCCCGTTTTTTTTGCGACCGGGGTAGGGAAAAAGAGGGTTGTTTGGAACTTTGAGGTGGCCCCTTTGATTTCCAACATGAGGTCAAACGCCCAGCTCTGGGTGAATTAGTGGATTTGGGAAGGAGGATGCATGGCAAGCCTTTGGCTTTTCGTCTGGAAAGGAGCATTAAATGGCCCTTGGAGGGAGGCATTTCTCAGGAGGCCATTTGCACAAAGCATGGTAAGTCGCCTAGGCTTTGGAAGAATCACAGCATCGGGTCCAGGAATGGCTACCATCTTTTCAACTGAAGTAGCATGAGAGCACCTCTGAAGTTGGGCAAGCCTTTCAATCCACTCGAAGGTGATTATGGCCGGGAGATTCCGTAGGAGCCCAGTGTTTCCCTTTTGGGCGGAAAGGCGCCTTTTGGTTCCGACAATGTCGTAAATACCTTGGTGGTTCCGAGCAGGGATCCGAGGGCAGCACAGGGACATCATCCCCAGGCAACAAACGGTCAGGTGGCATAGCGAGCGATTTCTCCGGGCGCCCCACGCCTTGCCCTCAGGCAGCAGAGCTGCGCACGGAAACCGACGGGGCCCCAGAGTCGCACAAATGTCGCTGTGGTCTTTGGCAACTAAAAAGCTTTGGTTTACTGGGATCTCAGGCTCCTATCTTTTTGTCTATCCTTCCCCCCTTTGGTCACCCTGGAATTCCATTTGTGGATCCAAATCCCCACCTTGAGTTGAGTGGTGGAAGGAAAAGGAGGGGTCCCATGAGTTTTCCCTGCCATAAAGGTGTTTAGGGGGCTCCCCGTTCTTTCCACGCGGTGGGAATGGTTCCGCTTGAAGGGAAGGCTAGGCAAATAAAACTGGGGGGGACCTTCACCCCACTTCCGCCCCGGCAAAAAAACAAAGTGGATGTCACAAGCAGGAACCGCTCGGCTCGAGGTCGAGTTGCCAGGGAAGCTGCGAGGCTGGCCGCAGATCATCGAGTTCTCTCGAGGGCGCTCCTTTTCGCAGGGCATTCCATGTCTACCTGTTGCACCAGCTCTTGTTGTTTCACTGACCCCAACTATCCCTTCACCCCGGATGCTCATCCCCTATGGTTTCCTGTAAGGGAGTCCTTCTGCGCCATGAGGTCCAAGGCATTTCTCAAGAAGAAAGGAGTTGGTGACGGTCATCGCTTTTGGGATGGTTTGGTCATCCCATGTAAAGGACCTGCTGATCAACCCCCATGTTTCAAGGAATGGATGCCCCTTATCTTATCTCTTTGCGGAGCCGCTGGGTCATCATGTTTGGCCAGGAGGTGCCAGTGATGGCCGCACAAAGACGCCGCGAGCTCAGTGGAACTCCTTTTTTTAAACAAGCTTTGGCGTTTTTTTTTTTTTTTTGTTGGTGGTTCCCAGCCATCCCCTTAGCTTTTTAGCTGTTTGGAGTTTGGCGGTTGGATTTCCATTGAACCCACTAAAAGTTGAGCTTTCAGCGCGGGATCTGGGGACAGCCCAGGTTGAACATGGTCGGTTTTTCTTGGTTTTCCGTTCGGTTCCACCAAAGGTCTTTTCCTCTTGCCAGATCCATATCTTGCCGGCTGCCGGGCCAGTCAAGCCTTCCTCGGTTAGGTGTTCATTCCTACCCTCAACTTATCTAAGGGACCAGCCACAGACAACTCTACAACTCTAAAGGTCATGACCCCTCCGATGCAGACCCCCGAACCCCCAATTTTTTGGGGGCCCTCAACGACCATCTATTTGGAGGACAAGAGCTTATACTTTTTTCTTGTGTTTTTTTTTTTGGGGGGGGGGTGGAGTGGCCAATGTCCTGTCGAATTCCCGAGCTCGATAACCCCCCCCCCCCTGCGCGTGAGTTGCCCGAGTGGCCAACATCCCGAGGCAACTCACGGCGACCTTCTTCCATCAGCCGCGGGGCGCCCGGGGCAACACGGAGAAGTTGGGGGGGTAGGAGTAGTAATTAGGGCGCCAGGGCCCGTTTTTCTGGACCTCATCGCCACTGTTTTGGGACGACAATTTCAGTGGCAAGCAAAAAGTTTGGACCTTTTTTGGCCACTCCACTCAGGCAGTACGTTGCTGATGTTCAAGGGGTCCAAAACTGGGTGGTGAATCGCCCCACTGGAAGCACGTGCCGCCAGGTGACATGCGCCTAGACGAATTGGACCCTTCGGAAGGGGGGGATACCCCAATCGGCTATAGAAAAGGTCAGGTGACATTCGTATAGAATCGGAGAAAGGGCAAGAGGTGTTGCTGGCGTTCATGCAACGCCGCCATGTGTTTTCCTGTCGCCAAGTTTCATGCCAAGACTGTCTTGCGCCTGGATGTTTGCCGTCCAAATTGTTATGTTTCCGTTTTGAGTTGGCATTGGTGATGGCTCTAGTTTTTATTCGACATAGCTTGGCTACCTTTATTGTCCGCCGAATCCATGAGCTTTCATCATTCTCGGCGGTCCAAGATGGCGCAGGGGAAATCTGTCCCGGATTTGTCCACCGGACGGTGCCACGTTCAGCAACCACCTCCCTCACATCGACTGGAGCCCTTGGCAGGCGGCAACCAGCGGCTGCAAAAAGCAAACTGCACAACGCACGGTGCGTCGGTGCCATGGCAGAGTTCCAGGAGTTCGATGAGGAGGCGACAGGGGCTGTGTCTGGGCCAGACAGGAGGCAACAAGCGGCGCGCCTCGGCGGCACTTTTTGGTCTTTGGCGTGTTTTGTGCTTGCTGCTTTTTCGTTTTACGGGTGGGGGGGTGGGGGGAGCTTTTGATCGTTTATCGTTTGCATGTTGTGGCCGTGGGTGGGTTCCATTCCGAATTTCTGAAACGTAACACAAGCCGTAATAAAGAGAGTGTCCACAAAAGCCGAAACCAAAAGGCTGTGAGGAGCTTGATGGTTTGCTACGCTAGGGAGATTGAAAGATTCCGTATCAGTCCAAAGCTCGCAAGGAACTGACCTGGAGCTCCCAATGAAGCAGCTCTGAAGCTCTAAAAAAGAGCCTCCCTGTTGCCCAAAGCCCACCTTTTGACCTTTTGGTTTCTCCTTTTTGGTCTAGTTTTAGTCATGGCCCCAAAAGGTTAACCTTTTGTTTCTGGGTCCTTTGGGCAAGTACTTGACACGCCGAGCAAGGTGCCATGGCAAGGCTCGGAAGTAAAGCCCTGCACTGGAAGCCCGTGCAAGCACTTTTTCAGGAAGCATCTTGGGTAGGCGCCCAGGCAAGCTCTGCGTCGTGAACTGCTTGCAAAAGGAAGGCTTAGCAGGCTTGGCCGGTAGATTTCCAAAGCATAAAGGTTACTCCAGGCTTGAATTGGAACAGGATTTCCACATTTACAAGGTGTTTGTTTTTTTCAAAATTCTCCAGCGTTGAGAGTGAAAAAGGCGGCCCCTCTTGGCGCGAAAGTTCCCGCCTGCCAGGCTCCCACGCCCAATGTGCCCCTTTTCAAGGTGGCCGAAGTCCAGTTGCTCGTGGGATTCCCTTTCTCCGTTGACGAAGGGCATCTCCCCCCCCCTCCCTCCCCGGCACCCCGGCATCCGCAAAAAATATATAGGTCTTGAATGGTCTTGACAAAGAATTTGCTGGAACATGCCACTTGTGGCCTCCCTCGTTGCTTTTGGCGAGAGGCTGAAACTGGTTTCCCCTTGATACATCGTCCCGTGACTTTCTGATCCCGTGGGGTTGGTGTTGGTGGCATTCCCTTGGGCTCCAAGAAAGCTGGGGGGCAGGCAAAAGGGGGGGGGCACGGGGCACGGGGGGCGAGCTGAGACTGAAGAAACCGGGCCTGACCTCCAAACCGGCCCTAACCGCTCAGAGAATCTAAAGGGGAAGGCGGGCTTCTTAAGACCTGCCTTCTGGAATCACGGAAAAAACGGAAGCTGGGGAGGCGGGGAAGGGGGCCAGCTCATTAAAGCCTTCCAAGAAGATTAAAAAAAGAAAACAGCTGAGGCAGGGGGGGGGGGGAGCTTACTAAAAACTTGGATCTTTTCAGGGGAATTGAGCACCTCTCAAAAAATCCCAGGGGAAGCTGAGGCTGAAAAGTAAAAGCTTATTAAAACCTCTCCATTGGAATCCCAACAAATCAAAGAGGCTGAAGCTGAAGACAGCTGAGTTACCTCTCATGAAAAACACCTCTCAAAGCTCTTTCAACAAATGCATTTGTCTCTTTTCCATTAAACTTCAGGACACCCCTTCATTAAAATCTCAGGTTCTAGAAACGGAAGCTGAGGCTGAAGCTGAAGAAAGCTGAGGCACCTCTCATCAAGACCTCTCAAAACATTGTTTTGAGGAAAAAAAACATCCCTTTTCCATCAAACTCCCAGGCTCGGGAAACGGAAGCTGAGGCTGAAGCTGAAGATGGTGGACGACGTGAACGTGGCCGCCTTGCAACATCTGGGCACCGACTTCTTCGCCGCCGCCCGGGCGCGGCTCCTGGCGCCCAGGGCGGCGCCTCGGAAGCCTCGGGTCGGAGCGGCCGCGTGACGTGACGCGCCACGTGTGGTCCGCGTGACGTGGCGAGCCACGTGTGGTGGGTACTTAAAGGGGGTAGTTGTTTGTGTTTTTTTTGTTTTTGTTTTTTTGTTTTTTTGTTTTTTTTGTTTTGCGTGTTTTGTTTTTTGCTCTTAACAGGTAGTTGTTTTATTTTGTTTGGGGGGATGCGTGTTTTGGTAGGTGCTGTTTAAAAAAAAAAAAAAAAAAAAAAAAAAAAAAAAAAAATGTTTTTTTTTTTTTTTATGTTACATCCTTTTTGTGTAGAGGTGTTTTGATTGGTGTTGATGTTTTTTGTTACATCCTTTTGGCACTGAACATGTTATGTTGCATCAATTTGATTTGGGTGGGTGGGCTTTTGGTGGGTACTTTTTTAATGGGTGCTTAAGATGTATGCCGTTTTCTGGTGGGTGCTTAAGGGCTAGGTGTGTCAGTGTTTCCTGGTTGCATTTATAGGGTTGTCTTGCTGGCTTTTAAGGTTTGTGGAAAGGGGAAGTTACCAAAGCAAGCTTCGGGCGGCTCTCTTATGTTGAGACGACCTTACTTAGGAAGGCTCCAACCAGGGTTGTTACTGGGGCAACTGGGGTGCTATATTGAATGCTATATTGAGTTGGTTGGATGGATATCCCAGCAAGGAAGTAGGCCGAGGTGATTAGCAGGGTGGGGGAAGGTTTTCAGGGCCATTGAAGCGGTGGGATGACAAACCAACCTGGAGTTAGGAGAGACCTTCTTCCCCGATCCCTGCTATCCTTGCTTACTTCCTCGGCCCTTGCTTCTTTTGTGCCAATTGGCGGGAGGGGCATGGGGCGGCGCTGTGGCCCCTGCCCCCGGCCGTCCTTTACGCATCCCTTTGGGAGAGATTTGTTGGCGCTCCGTATGCAGGGGAATTATTTTTTCGGTATGGCGTCGCTTCAACACAGATGGTGCCCAGATGGCCTTTTGTTTTGGATGGATGATTGTTCCCTACAAGAAGGCAATAAGGATCAATATATGGGTATAGAGATGGATGGAGAGATGACCTTTCAGTAGTTGTCATTTCTTTCCAGATCCCTTGGCCAGTTTGGGCTGTTGATGGGATGGTTGATGCATTCAGATCATGCAGCATGCTGTTTTGCCAAAGGCCGGCCCGCCATAAAGAAATCGACGCGCGCCCCATACCGTCAGTTCTGTAGATGCGGGAAGACGTGCCAGTTCAGAGAGGATGGCCAACTCTTGATGTGTTCGGCTCTTGATGTTGAAAAGTGGGCCCGGCAGGCATGCCACAAGCACTTCTGAAGCTTAGTTGGGGCTTCACGATGTCAATGCCACCAGTTGCGCCCCTAGGACCAGCTAGAGTCGACAGAGGCGGTACGAGCGAGGCATCGGGCACTGGTTCATGGCGCCCAGGGGGCGCAGCATGGACTCAGGCCGGTGGTTGGGTTGAGTCGTTGAGCTTTGAGGCGCCACGGGCGGTTCGAAGCTAGTGGCCTGTTTGGGGACAGCTTGCAATGAAAACCGATGCAATCAGAGGGCCCCAGCCGATGTTGATACGAGGAAGCCTGCAAAGGCCCCCCCCCCTCCGCGCAGGTTCGTTGCAGAAGACGTCTCTTTAGGATTGATTTATGGCTCCTGTCGGTGAGCCACGTTCCAGGACGGAGCCTTGCAGCCCCGGTGAGCACCTCGCAAGGAAAGTCGGGAGCATGTCTGAGCTGATGAGTTCGTATCTTTGTGGCGTGTTCCGGGCTGACTTCCAAATCCCTGTCGGCTTCTGTGAATCTGCGGTGATTTCCCTTCAGCCTTTTCTCTTGGGCGGTGCTATTAGCATATGGGCCAGAACGAGAGTTGGGACGAAAGTGGGCCGCTATCAGATATGCTTCGGGGAGGACGTGTAACTTCGGGTGCCAGAGTCTCAGAGAAAGGCGACCAGCGGTCGAAGTGCCAGGGGCGAAGGTCTGGGTTTAGATGGTTTCACTTCTGCCGCAGCGCAAAGATTGTGAGGCAACCGCCTTGAGAACCGCTTCCAATGAGATCCAGTGTAAAACAAATGGTGGTCCTACCATGTCTGCAGAGGCAGTCAGCAGCTTAGGCCCAACTCCATTCGCACTTGCTAACTCGTTGCTGGACACCAGCAAGGCCACCAGAAAGCCATTACCCAGTAAGCATTGGCAACCCTGCGTACTCTTTCCCCCTAATAGTAAACCCGGACACCCCCCCCTCTTAATAAATCAGGTCTGGGGTAATACGGTCCTTTGGGGTCGACCGGATTTCCTCTTCGGTCCTTGTCCAAATGACAAGAAAAAACGTCAAAACCGCAATTGTCCGAGTAACGAGTTTAAATAACACCGTTCAAGGTTTTTTGCGTTTTTGCGGTTCAAAAATAAGGGGCGCAGAATTACAATTCAAGATGCGAAAATAAATGTACATTAGTTGGGTCCTGGACTAATTTCCCCCCTAATAAGGCTGGGGCTGGACTGGGCGAGTAATCTGGAAGTTTAGCATTGGTGTTGAATTGGCCTATTCTAAAAGTAGTATTGCGGACCCGGCGGTCTGGGAAAAGCATATGAATTAGTTGGGTCCGTTTATAAAAAGGGGGAAGAGAATACCTTGTCTCAGCTTGAACTTGTTTTGCATGTTATGATTTGGTGCAGATAAGTTGGGTCAAACAGAAACAAAGCACGGAAAGCTTTAGGGGGGGTATTTGCAACAAAGACCCTAAAGTTGTAAACAGATTTGACTGGCGGTTGCGGCCGGGACTGGCTTTCCTCGCATTTTGCTCCCCCCCCCCCCCGCCAGCTGTGCAAGGAAAGGCGAAGAGGAAGATTTGGCAGAGGGCGCGGCACGGCGGTTGGCCGCGAAGCGGAAGCATCAAGAAGACTCGGAGAAGGCCAGGTGCTTGTCCTTCCCCTCCACAAAGCGCAAGGGGCTCCTGTTGAAAGGAAGAGTTGTATTCCACAATGTTGGTGGGAGGGTAGTTGCAGCACGTACTCTCCGACAAGAAAGACCAACAGCGATCCCTTTGGAAGGCTTGCCAGTGGTGAACATTGACCAAGGCTTGGGAACTCAGGGCTTGGGTGCTAGTTTGCCTCGTTAGTCAGTTTGTGCCAAAATGCGGGCTAGGCGGTGCCCTTCTATTTTGTCAATGTGAGCAGGAATTTGGGGGGGGGGGGGCAGGGGGCAACTTGGGGAAGTGGGTCGGAGGCATCGGTCTGCAAACCTACGGCTTGGGCCCGAGGAATAACACAAGTTCTCTACACGCGGCGAAGGGAGGTATGGAAGCTCAGAAGTCAGAAGGGGAAATTATTCACTTCCAATTCTGTGTTTATGTTGCTGGTGCTTGGGATGAACCTAGGGGTCCCCTTACAGGGACGAACTTGGATGATGCCACAGCACAATGGGCAGTGTTCCGGAGCTCGAAGGGAAGCAGGGAACTTGCCAGACCGCAGGTGAGCAGCCGTTGCAAGCGGCTCTCCTTCGCCGGCAACGAGGACGATGACTTCTGAGCTCTCTGGCTTGCCGGTTCCCAGTAGGAAGTTTCAATGGTGTTGGGAATCAACCCAGGGATCCCCTGAATGAAACTACCATAAGGATCATTCCCTCATTCCCTCCTGAAAGCAAGTTGGGCGGGTTGGCCGCCCATCGGAGGGTCCGAGCCCGGTGTACAGACCTCACATGGGTTGCTCGATGCCTCGAAGTGGCCTGGGGTTGAAGCACAGGTTAGACTTGGAGATGTTTGGAGCCACAGAGTCGTGGCCACTGAAGAGGTCCCACAGCAGGTGGGCGCATTGGACAAGTCGACTTGTCCCGGGCAAATGCCACCGACAACATCCATCGATGGGCATTGCCAAAAACGATCGCAGCATGCCGCTCAAAACGTCGGACATGAGGCGGGGATCTCAGTCAGTGAGGCACCATTCTTAGCTGGCATGTGCAAGCAGAAGCATCATTCCAGGGTTTCTTAGATGGTGCGAAATGGATTGCATCCATCCGCAGCAAGTATCCAAAATTGCCTTTCATTGAGGAGCTAAGGAGCACTACCAGGAGTTCTGTAAGGACATGCTAGGGCCCTGCTAGGGGAATTCGGGTTTAGGGAAATCAAGGGGGCTCCAACCAAGCTGCAAAACTTCGGCCAGGAGCCGGGATAGTTTGGTTTGGCCCCCTTGGTTTATTTGAGGCCTGGGTAAAGGTTGTCGCAGTCAATCCTCAAAGGATATACTTCGGCCATGCAAGACATTACCTTCTCCACAGGACCAACAGGAAACCATTAACAATCCCTTTCTATTGTGGGGGTGGGGGGTGGACATTAGGCAGGACATATACAAGAACCTCACAGTACACCATATATATATATATATACATATATATATATATATGTATACGGTGATATATGGTGATAATGTTCACATATATATATATATATATATACATATAAACATATTTGTGTGTGTGTCTGTATATGTATAAGAACCTCACAGGTTACGTGCACTTCGGCTTGCGCCCCAGGCACTGCAAGGCCATTGAAGGTCACGGCCTGCAGGTCGGGACGCGTAATAAGACGCCGCGGTCGACCGGGACGGACGGGTTCCCTGGATGTCCCCGAAGTCAAAAGTTGAGCAATGTACCCGCCCCCCCTTCTCACACGGAACCTGACGTTCGGGGTCCCTTTAAACGAAGTTGTTTGTCGCCAGTTGACTGATACTTTCCATTGGGATGATCGCACGTTTGGAGGGAAGCCACGGTTTGAAGGAGACCCCGCATTTGTACCCTCCCACCCCTTTTCGCATGGAACCGTTCGACGAATTCAGGAAATGCCTCCTGAAAAGGAAAAGCATGCCTGAGCCAGGATGCCCCGAACGTCAGGCTCCATGTGTAATTGGCGGGAGCGCACTGGTGGTTTGCATTACGATGACAACTTTTGGAGGTTCCAACGATGGAGGAAGCCACGGGTTTGAGCACCAAAAAGAAGTGGTTAGGGCGGGTGCTGGAAGGACACGCGTTTTCTTCAATTGGGTCCTAAATCATTGTCTGGTTGTGGGATATGCTATGAAGCCTTCGTCAAAATAAATGCTCAATCCTAATGCCAGATGGTTTAACCTTGGCTGCAAGGCTGGAGAGAGCGCAAGCAAAACACATGCCAGATGGTTGTGGTTTCGCTTGTTGTAGGGGTGTCCCAGAATGTGGTCGGGCACTCAATCCCAGACCTCCACCTAGACCTTCACTGGGGTGTTCACGTTTTGAATTGTTTGCGTCTGAATGCACAATTTGTCAGTTCGGAGCATGATCTTTTCCACAACTTGCAACCGGACCTTGCCATGTCGGGGGCAATATTCAGGCAAGTAATGTTGACCCCACATTAATCAACTGTCCCTGGGTTTAGTGGGCAATCATCACTTTTGGAGGGCAACACCTCCCTATGAATAAACGGGTGGATTAATATGGCATGGAACAGTCGTTGTGGCGTTGCCACCGGAGGCAGATGCGTGGACTCGTTCATTTGCCAAGCGTAGCTTGGCCAATCCCCGCAGGACGTGAGCGTGGCCTGCGCCGACCAGGCGAATGGCGAGTCGCACCACTGCAGGGCCAACGCCTTAGGCGTAGGCCGAGAGTCGGTTGTCACCCCAGGCTGGGGATGTGAGGGCTCCTAGTGTTGCACGTATTTTTTGGCACGGGTATGTATGGTTTGGAATGTAGCATGTGCGTTGGAAGCTACCGGTGTTTGCTTCTTGCGAACTTGATTGCGTGTCTCATGAGCACACAGGATTGGTCAGCGGCTTGGGGCGAGTGATCAACCCTTCAACAGCCTTTTCAGCAAGTATGGCAAACGCAAGCAGTGAGAGAGCAACCCAATGGTGTGCAAGCGTTTGAGCTTGTTGGCTCTTGGCCCGTTTGTGCTGGGAAAAGGCTTCATGCCGACCTGCTCGGGGCTTCGCCTGGTCGGCGTGCGACGGTGACTCCACTTCTGGTTGAGCCCGCCCAAGAGTTGTAGGCGATCCAAGTCCAAGTTTGTCACCTTTCGGCGGCCCTACAATGAGAGACTCCCTTGAACCTCCATGGCATAAGGGAAGCCGAAATAGGACCAACTTCTTAGAGGTCCGATTCCATTGGCTGGAACATCCGTCTCTCCATGGCGTGAGGGCTGTGGGCTGAGGCCCTGGTCCTCCACGAGGAAGGCCGCACGCTCTCAGCGCCTCGGCCGCGCAAACCTTGGACCGCATGAGTCTGGACAAGGCTCACCGATTGCCAATTGGCTTCCACTACCCCCCAGAACCGAAGCTACCCAAGAGAAACACGGGGGTATACAACCACACTATAACCACTATGTAAAGGGTATAGACCTTTGGGGGTAGTGGCTCTCAGCAGGGAATGAGAACTGGAATCCCTAAACCGGTTCATGCCCAACACTCGGATGGTCATTCCCTACCTATGGCACCAGCAAGTTCCTGAAGCAACACCAGCAAACACCAATGAAGGCCCCTTACTTGTGGATTCCTTGCCTCCGATTTGTGATTTGCCTAGATGGATCCGGGATGGATGGGGCTGGGCGTCAATAGAACAGCCGCAGCCCCGTTTGCTTTAGGTCCTGCGCTTTTGTTCAGACCAGTATGGTGGACCTCCCCAAGCTTTCGCCCCAGTAGATTTTCTGAAAATGGGCTATTCCGCAAGACCTTCCCAGGTTTTTCCACGATATGACATGCACGGAACTGTCTGAAGCTTGGGTAGAGCTAAGAAGGGCCTAAGTTGAGCTTGCAAGCAGGGCTTGTCCTGGTCCCATGCTTGCAAAATATACTCAAACGTGGAACGATATTGCGCGGCCTGATTGTTCGCAGCTTTCTTGTGGTCTTGGGGTGGCTATGCGCCCGTGCTTTTTTGGTTTCTGAACGTGTGAGCATTGGACATGGTTTGTTTTCGCCGGACCCCAGCAAGGGTTTTATATCACTGAGCATTTCTGAACGCCTGTTCTATTTCTGGAATTGACGGCAGGGGGGGCCTTCCCCTTTTCGAACTTGCCCTTTGTCCCGTTGTGTGGCCGCTGGATTTTACCTTCCCAGTTGCTTAATTATATGATGCCATATATGTGATTTCTTCCCTTGTTGCTTTGAAAGGGAAACTGTCACTGGAAATACTTTCGCATTTTTCCCGGGGGCGAAAAGGCAAACGGATTTTACCCTATCACTGTTGGAGATATGTTGTGTTTTTTCCAGGGGGCTTAAACCAATGGAAGTCCCCCATGGACCAAAAGGCTTTCTGAGGAGCAAGGGTTCTCCTGGCTCAGGAGTGTGACCTCAAGCTGCAGAGCCCCCTGCACGATGCGGCCAAGGCGGTGCTCGGGTGCTCGTCGCCGGTCTGCGGTCGGGCGTTTGCCTCCATGTGTGTCGCAATGCAGCTGGATGGGGATCTGCGATTCTCACCCCCTGACTTCTTCAACTTTTGGAAAGACCAACTCAGTGGTAAACAAGAAAGTTCAGCCTTTGTTTTGGCCAATCCACTCAGGAAAGTGAGTCTGGGATTGGTGGCCATTTTTGGATAAAAGGCATGGAGAGAGCCCGTGTGTTGGGAGGAATCTGAGTTCTTCAAAGCGAATCGACCGGATCTGACCTTTTGGTTTTCAAATTTTGGTCCATATTTGGTCATGGCCCCAAAAGGACCTTTTAGTTCCAGGTCCCATAGGGGCAGCTGAGTGCACCACCTAAGAAATCCAGGAAAGATATGATCCCCTGTAAATACCAACAAATTCTGGTTTCCCATGGTTTTAAAGTGGTGCAGGATTTCGTCCATCCACAGTAGTAAATGTTACATTCAACATAGCCGAGCCCGGCATCCTTGAAGCAAACCTTCAGGACGAATCTCCAGTAGCGGCCTCAGCGAGAAGCTTCGGAGCGCTGCATTGGGCCGTCGCGAGGCTGGCCATGTTACATGTTGTGTCTTTGGTGAAGGCTGCCAAGAGGCGCTCTAACATGGCAAGTGGATTTAGGGGCTTTTTTTTTGAGCTCTTTTGGGAACGAGTTTCGTAAAGATTTCCTGTGTAGGGTTTAGGGTTCCAATGGCTGCAAAAAACACTTGGGACCTTTCCAGGAGCAGCATCAAAAGGTAACAAAACACCACAGACTTGAACTTCTCACGCAAACCGAGGCCGGCTTGCCGTCCTGGGACGTCACCACCACGTGGCTCCGTAGCCAAGGCCTCAGCAACAATGGCTCGCCGCATGCCGCAAGAGCAGACCAGCAGATGGGTGATGGCAGTGAAGCTGAGGTGGGCATGCCGATGGTAGGTTCAAACTTCCTTCCCTTCGCCGCGGCCAATGTTCTGAGAAGTTTCAAAGGTCTCAACAAAAGGGGGAACTCAAGAGGGGGAACTCAAGAAGGGAACCCAAAAGGAGACTTCGGCAACCTATTCCCTTTTTTAACGGGGTGGAGATGCTTCAATTACCTGCGCCCGAGGTGATGACAGCGAGTGCCCCGTCAAAACCGTGTCAGGTTCCAGAGGTTGCCGCCTGACACTCCCTCCACTCCCCTCACCTCCCCTCCCTGCGAGTTGTTGATTTAAGGTCGCCCTGTTTGGCAACTGGACACATCTGTTGACAGATCACGCAGGTGGCCTAAGCTCAATGAGACAGACATCTCATGTGGACCAAAAGGGGAAAAGCGTGCTTGATTTTGATTCTCAGTGTGGCCAGAACTGCATGTGGCAGCCAAGCGTTCTTGATCCCTGGATGTCGGCTCTTCCTATCATGGAGCCGCAGAAGTCCCAAAGTGTCGGATTGTTCACCCGCCAATAGGGAACGCTTCCCTTCCCTCCCCTCCTCCCTCAATCCCGCAATCCCTCCCCCAATCCCCACCCCTCTCGCCCCGCTCCTCTCCCGTTCCCTCTCCTCCCCTCCCCTCCCCTCCAAGCACAAGCAGAGTGGGGCACTGCGCAAGCGGTGTCAGAGGTACGTGGACTCAGCAGCGGTGAACAGCAACTGCCTCACCCACCAGAGCCCCCACCTGGAAGTGGGCGTCCGGGCCCAAAAAGCGAGGACAAAGGCAGCTCGCTGAAGAGCCAGGGTTGGTCCCCGATCAATGCAGCCTTCATAGGAAGCAGAGGTTGAGGGAACCCCCCCCGCCAAACCCATCAAGGCCCTGGATTGCAGCTCCCCCTGATTCTGACCATACTTAGTGTCATTCCTTTGGTGGCTCCCAGCCATCCCCTTAGCTTTTTAGCCTTTTAGTGTTTAGTGGGGGTTTCCATTTAACCCACTAAAAGTTAAACTTTTAGCCAGGGATCTGAGGGCAGCCCAGATTCGTGCTGGCATGGTGCAAATCTCAATTGTGCTAAAGCCCTGTCTGTTGAAAATGCTTGTCCAATGCTTACGCGGGTGCTCATGTTTTTGGAGGGATGGACGATGGACGTTAAGTGGGTGGCTTTGTACTTGACATGTGTCATTCTTTCTGCGAAGTGCCATTTCGGGTGGTTTCCCCCAGGAGTAATGTCAGTCACAGGTGCAGGCTACCTCTACAACAGCTCCAGGATCGAGAACTTTACCCGAGACATCCGCGCAAAAAGTTTGCCTTCAGCTTGAGAATGTGTTCCTGTTTTTGATCAACTGGCGCGCCCTGAGCTTTCTTTAATATGGCCCCCATCCGCCAAAAGGACCAGAGACTCCGAAACATGCTGCACCACGTCGGCTGGAGAAGACACGTTTTATGGGGAGTGCTGACTGCTGTTACAGGCCAAGAAGTAGTTCGCTATTGCGGTGTGCTCTAAGTTGAAAGCTAAGTACCAAAGTGGACCGAAACTAGGGGACGCTGGGTTTTGGCACGGACTACCGGACCCTGAAGGGGTAACGAGCATCGCTGGTTTAGTACAGGTTGATCCAAGGGGGACGTTTACCAGGAAGGGGTAGGATCATAGCGCACGTAGTGCCAGCTGACGAGCCAAGAATTCCTTTGACGAAGCTCCGCGTTCCAGGGTTGCAGCAGCAAAAGCATAGTGGTAGAGTTGAACATAGTCTTGAGTGCAGACTTTGCTGTCCGTTTCATCGCTTGCCAGCTCCTCTCAATTGGCGACCGGGCGATCAGGTGGGGCCAACGGCATGATTTGACCTTCCATGAAAAGCCCGCAACATCATTCACAGCGCGTACCAACGCGAATTTTCACTGTGGCTGTCTATGGCTCTTTGCATTCTCTAGCAGGTGCATGTTTTCCGGGGTTCATGTTTCCGGCGGGGACGTCATTTGCACCATCCCTCGGGCTATTTGTGTGAGCGACACTGGCCTTAGGTCTCCCCAAGCTCCAGGATGTTCCTCACCCTCAGTCGCAAAGGGGCTCTCAAAATTGATGGCCTTTGGCTTGGTGTTTATGGGAACGCCAAGAGGGACCAACCATTTTAGGAAATGGACCGATTTCTATTTTACAAGCCCCCGTATGAAAAAGCCGCCAGCGCTACTACGCGCTCGCTGTTTTGAGGCCTCTGCTGGGGAATTCCGGCCTCAGGTGATGGCAGGGCGCTCAGAAGGGGCGCAACGGCAACGAGAGGGTGTTTGTGTTTGGGTTCGTTGCAAGGTGGGTTTGGAGCCCACCCCAAACCCATACTAAACACACGCGAAACCCACCCAACAATGCTGCAAACCCACCTCAAACACACCCTAAACCCACTCCAGGCCAAAACAACCAGAAGCCAACCCGCCGAAAAGCCAGCCCTGTAGCTCAAAGCTGACAAGCCTTGGAGGAATTGCCTCCTTGTGAAGGGAGGGGTATGTGTGGCTTGCATTCGCTTACCTTATTCTTTGTTTCTTGCATGCAAACATGCAGCATGTTTCAGTCATTTTGACCGCAATGCATCCCTTGGGGACGGGAGCGTGAACAGAAGTTCACCGTATTTTGACAACCTTAAACTTTTCTCGCAAGTGTTCTTGCAAGTGGTTGGGCAACCCCCCCCCAATTTATAGTGCCTTTGTCCACTGCCAAAGGCATAGGCGGCATGCTGTTGCCAGGCTTCTGTAGAAGCGAGGGCGAGTGAGCCAGTGGTAGCCTCTCAGTGGTAGCCAAACAAGGAGCTTGTTGTTTGAGCCCACCATGCCTTTGAGTTAACGAATGGCTGCAATACCACTTTGACACGCCCATCCGAGAGTGCTGATGGAGAATAGGTTCGGTTGCTGTTTTTAGGATCAGGTGCCTGGACCCTGACTTGCTGTAGGCATGTGGTACTGACATCAGAGCCCGCATGAGACGATTGAGTAGGTTGGAATAAGGGTTTGCGCTATTTCGAGCTTTTGGCGCATCAGGACGGAGGCTGTGTGGTTGCTGGCACGTCGACCGGCACTCAGTGTAAATTGGCCAAGCTGAAGGCATTGCTATCGACCCTAGCGCTTTGCTTGGAACCAACTGGGCGATGACGACATATATCGCATCTTGTGGATTGGTAGTATTCCAACGGCTGCCAGCATGCAAAGCACAAGTTTCCTAATGCATCGGGTTCTTGTTGCGACGGCAGGAAGCAAGCGCTTGGAAGGACAACTTTCTCAACGAGTTTCCACCTGATGTGAGGGGCAGCGCAGCAGTTGTCTGAGAGCACGGTTTCCATTGAGAGGAGGCGCTACTCTAGAATTGCTACTTTTTTCTGACCAGGTGGCGTCTCCCCCTGTCACTTGACCACCGAGGGTTCCCTCGAGGTCTTGAGGTGATTTATTTGCAGTCTTGCATCCTTGACATCAACGGCTTGATTCGATGGCCAGACATCATGTGTGTACCGGAAAGGCAGGAAACTAGGGTCAAGCAACACCCTTTGGCCACCCCGCGTGGCACCCTTTTGCGAGGAGGGCCCATCTTTTGGTGCTTCTCGACTCGCCCAGGATGGGCCGAATCGTCAAGATGAGGTCAGCAGCTCAGGGGGTGGAGGGTCGTTCGGGCTGGCGCTCGATCTCTAAGCAGAAAAAATGAAAGGCGAGGGGGATGGAGAGCCCGAACGCCGAACGCCTGCGACATGACACATGCAACGGCTCCCATACTCGCAACTGGCCAACATGCGTCGGAACGTTCAGGGTTGCGGCCCTGCATGAGCCCAAATTTGCCACAGAGCTCTGAATCCTTCTTGCGGGATTGATTTGCCTCAGGCCGAAGTATCGAGGTGAGGTTTGAAAGTTGGGATTCAAAGGCCTACCCCCTCTCAGGCTAAAATGGAACCCCAAAAGCTACGGACGAAATCCTGCACCACTTAAATCAACGAGTTAAACAAGGGTATAGAAGGACACCGCGCTCCCCATATTCAATGTTGCTTTGATGGGCTGTAAATGTGGTGCAGGATTTCGTCCATTCAACTTCTTTTCCTTCAGCGTGTTTTCAGCTCCCAATATTAAAAAGGGAGCGCGAGGGCGTGCAACCCAATGCTGAGATGGTGGTGCAGGATTCTGTCCACCCACCGTATCATTTGTATAAGGATCTCCTTTTTGGGGATCCCTTTTTGTTGGGTTCCATGTTAATCTGGGGGAATCGCCCTGGTCCCAACGCGAGGACTCACTACTTCAACCACTCACAGCTGGTCCCGGAGTCTGCTGGGCACCCTGGACACTCACACCCTGGGCACTCGTTTAGCTTACCCGTTCCCTCTTTCTCGGCAAGCCCAGGCATCTGTTACGTAGCCTTGGGCAAGCCCTGGTTTCTAGTTGGGTTGGTGCGTGCTGTTTGGGCGTCCATTTCATCCTTTTAGCAGGGGAGTTGAGGACAGCCCGACTTGGTTGGGATTTTCAGCAACTGTTAGAGGTTTCCCCTCCCAGTCAGGGAGCCATGATCATGACCTACATGACGGAGGTTGACCATGGCCCATTTTTTGACCCTAAACATCACCCCGCGAAACTTGAAAGCACTTCCATGTGCCTCCTCCCCCATCAGGGGAGCCTCCCGTCATGGGGAGCTGTTTGGCCAACCTTGGTCCATGAGACAACCTCGAGCCGAGCAGCGTAGGCATTCCTACAGTTCGCGGGTTCATCGCTAGTGTTTCCTTTTGTCTGGCGAAGGCATTGGCGGCTACAACGGATTGGACAAAATCCGGAAATTCCCACATTATGGGTAAAGAGCTATTACGCAGGTTTTTGTCCGTGGTTCCACTTCACAAGGTGGCATTCACACACACATACTATATATATATATATATATCTGTATATTTGAGCCACGGCTATATCGGGTCCAACATGACCATCACTCAGGCCGTCCGGAACTGGGAGTGCCCCATCTCCCAGGGGGCGCTGCACGTGCTCAACACTGGCCTGGGCGCTCTGGGTGGGAGGGGAGAAGTAGGTCGCCCAACCTGGGGCAACCGACGGATGCAGCTGATCGACGGCTGTGCGTTCCAAGCTCATGTTCGATTCTGATATGCGCCCCAAGGCGTGCCAAGCTCGCCATACAGTTGAAATATGTTTTTTCCCCTGGATGAGTTGTTTGTTTGTTTTATGGCTTACATTGCTGGCCTGCGCATGCGTTGTGCCCCTGTTTTCTTAAGCCAGAAGCTGCATTGAGCGATTTTCCTTAGGCTCCACTTCATCCAATAAACAAGGCTGGCCGTGGAGTGGCCTCGCAGATGGATCATGATCAGCTGACTGAGCCGGACGCTCTCGGTTGATTGAAGAGGGACCAAAAGGAAACCGAAGCCAATTTTGCAAGGTTTCCCGATTCTTAGACAAGCCCAAGGTAGCGTGCAAGAAAATGGAGAGCAAGATAGAGCAAGTATCCCATTGGCCAAGCGCACTGGGTCGGACGATTTGGCCTTCGGGCCAGCGTTCACGCTTGCTGAGGTATAGTTCTGGGGCTCCATGACGGAACAGCAGCTCCGGACTTAGCCGGAAGCGGCAGCGGAAGCATAGGCAAGACATCCGGGTGCTGAAGCGAGCCACATAAGTGGTGAGAAGCTTGTTGTTTTCCGCCAAGTGTTCAAGTGACTCCACTTATCCCGGCTTCTACTGGCTGGGTTGACCATCAAGAGAGGCGGTATGCTGACTAAAAAAACCATTCGGCACGGGGATGCCCAGCATCGTGACACTCTCTCCGTCCACTGCCGTCTCAATGTCTCACTTCCTGAGTTCCTAAACTTAGTCACTTTTGAGGACACCCAAACTTTAGTGGTAGATATGAAAAGGACCATTTTGGTGGTAGATACAAAGAAGTTTGGTTACTTGTTTGGCCCAGCCACTCAATCCGAAGCGAGACATGTTCCCCCCAGAAGCAGCATTCAGAGTGTCACTCCCTCGACAAGGTCCGTGCCTTCGATTCGGAGTCTGGCGCCAGCATGGGCGACTGGTGCCATGCTCAGCGAGCCGACGCGGGCGTCTGTTGGCAAGAAAACTCGGCTGGGCACGTCTCATGAATCAAGCACATGTTCGGGGGTTCATGCACCGACCTCCCGCCCTCATTCACAAGTTTGGCTTGTTGGACCTCCCGCTCTTCACAAGTTTTTGGCTTGTTCAAAAAGTTGGACGCGGCAGCGGCGAACAAATGTGGCCCTTTGAGCCGAGCTTTGCGCATGCAGGCGCCTGCCTTCAGACGCCAAAGACCTGCCGGAAGACGATAACCAGATCAGATGGTCTCATCTTTGTGGCGGCGGCGCGGGCACCCTGCGAATTGCGAATGGGTCGGGGGACAAACGAGGGCGGTTGGTGAATTGTACGAGTGGTGGTGGGTCTTTGCCAAACTGGGAAGTTCCCCCCAACAGATCAACATGGAACCGGAAAAGAACCCTTTTCAACGGGGAAATCCCCCTTTTTGGGTCCCATGTCAATTTGTAAGGGAGTAATTCTGGTTGCCGATGTCATGCAGAATCCCGTTGAAAGCGAGCCCGAGTTGGGCCCAGGCTTGAATCAAAATTCAGGCTTTGCCTTGCATCGGTCTACACTTGGTCTTCAGGCGGTATAGTTGCAGTGATTTTCCCGTTGGTTCAGCAATCTGGTTTTGTGGCATAGTATTTCGTCGTGGTGAGGCGCAAGCCGTATTGTTGTATGTGCAGGTCGGGTGAGAGGCACTCTTTGTGAGCCCTTCGGTATCGTTTGGGGGGTTCGGTGTCTGAGCAAGAAAGTGCAGTAAAACAAATGCTGTGAAGTTCTCAGCCTCATGTGTGTGAGCCTGTTGTGTTTGCCTACAGAGCCACAACCTTGCACACGCTGTTCGCCGTTTTGGTCCGAGGGATCCCTTTAGCCATTTGGTCACTGTACATTTGCTCAGGGCACCTGAGCTTGCAATGGAGTGAAAAAAGAGCGGCAAGGCCACTTGCTGGTTGATTGGGGGTTGCACTAAACCCCCGGGAGCTCTTAGGCTCCAACGTTGGTAGCGGAGCCCGGCGAACCGGGCAGGAAGATCAGGGAAACACCACACCACCCAGAACATGGCCGCCATGCAGGCAAAGGAGTTCTACGTGACGTGGGACGGAGACCCGGCCACTTGGGCCGACTACACGCGCAAGGTGCGACTGCAATGGGAAAAAACCCCCTCCTGGAAGCGACGCCATCTCGGACCCGAACTGGCATCCCGCCTGACTGGAAGAGCATAGGCCGTGACCTACGAGCTTTCGCACGAGAAGCTGAGCAAGAAGAACGGCACGAAGTACTTGCTTCGCTATCTGCAAGATCGACTGTGTCGAACTCCGGTGCCAGATGCCGGAGCGCGGTTGGAGGACCTTCTCATCAGGCTGAGAAGACCGCTGGGAATGACCATGAGCCAATGGTCGAACGAGGTGCAGGAGGCGTACCGCAAGGTTCAACGAGCCTTGGTCAGGGCTCGCAAGATGGAGCCGAAGAAGGACCTCACCAAGGCGATCTTGGACAAGAGCACCTCATCCAAGTCAGAACCACATGGAGAACCACAAGGTGGCGCTGGATCTCAAGGAGTTCGGACGCCCTCGGTGATTTCAGCATCAGGAACCGCCGCAAGAACACGAACGCCAGTTCAAGAAGGAGAAGCGGTGGCTGAAGAAGAAGTCGTGCGTGACCTTCATGAAGTTGAACATGGTGAAGACTGGAAGGAAGAAGAATGGGAAGATTGGAGAAAGTTCAAGAAGTGGAAGCAGACTGGGCGTGCGAAGAGTCATCAAGAAGATAGCGGAGAAGATCTATCCTCTGGGGAGGATCTGCCGTGGGATGAGCTTGAGGTGGAGGATGTGCAGGTGCTCCCGGACGAGGTTCTCGGGTGGCTCCTGCTGAGGAGAGCCAACTTGAGCTCTTCATCCCGGTTGAGTGTGCAGGCATCAGTGCAGAACTCGCTCTCCTTCAGAGCCATCGAGCGAGCACTTCGAGATCAAGAAGAAGAACTACTTCATGTGGATGCTCATCGACCCCCTCAACAACAACGGACACGGACTTACTGGGTCGAGGAGGAAGGTGCGTGGGGCTTGCTTATGACCCCAGATGACGCGATGGAGGAGTTGAGTGGAGAAGTGCACTGGGTTGGAGATCGACTACCCGCTGAAGTATATCCTCAAGCGGCGGAGGAGCACCTCAACGACGAGGTCTACTGGTCCTGGGATGATTCCGGGTGGCGCGGCTACCTGCAGGACGACTGTGGGTACTGGGTGGAGACGGACGGCTATGGCACATTCTGGGCATCCGAGGGAGACATCTCTTCGGACCTCAACCCGGAGTTGCTGAAGGAGCAGAAGGATCTGGACGACGCCTACGCGGCCTTCGAGGACAAGGCCCGGACCTTCGCGCAGAGCATGGGGATCTTCACGTTGGACGTTGGCCAGATCCCCATCCTCATCGGAGTGAAGACGCTGACCAAGTTGGGCGCGATCTTGGATGTGGCAGGCCAGTGGATGGTTTTGAGTCGTGTGTGCCCAGGACTGAAAGTCAGGTCATTTGCTTGTAGATTTGACAAATGACTGGATGGTGAGCGGCAAACCCTTGCCTGATGTACAGACACCCGAACCTGTTTTGCACCTTACGGATCCGACCGAGACCGCATACATGGTGCATGGGGAGGGTGAAGGTGTGACAGATCTGTATGCCTCTGAAGTCATGGTCTGTGGCCTTGAAGGTGAAGGGCAAGTTCCGGTCTTGGATGATGGCGGAAACCAGGTGTTGTGGGCTGGAACGCAATTGAACGACCCGAACAGCAATTCGGATCAGGACCGCATCCTACAAGCCCTAGCTTCCCCTAGCTCACCTGCGAGCGAATCCCATGGCCGCGGAGAAGAACTATGGTAAGAGCAAGGGCAAGGGGAAGAAGAAGATGACGAACGTGGTGCCGCCGGAGGAGAAGTACGATTCGGCAAGGATGCAAGGTCCCGATCCTCGGGACGAGAGATGCGTGGGGGCACCATGCTTCGGAGCTCACATCCCAGCCAGGCCGGGGCCGGGCAGCATCAGCGGGGCCAACAAGTTCGCGATTTGGACGGGGTGCTGCCAGTGCGGAATCAGGCTGTCGTACACTCCCGCATTCGGAGCACATGGATTGACGAGAAAGGCCGGACCATTGTCAAAAGACGTCGAAACAGCCCTAGCCAAGAAGGATCCGGAGAAGCTCAAGGGCACGGTCAAGCTGAAGGATGCGCACATTGGGCTGGACGGAGCCGAGCAGAGCTTGCTGAACCAGCTGATGAAGATCAAGGAGAGGAAGGCCAATCTGGTCAAGCAGGCGGAGAGCTCGGAGAAGCACAACTTGGAGAAGCCGAAGAAAGAGAGGATGGCTCGGGGGCAATCCAGCTCGGAGCCAAGCCCAAATGTGCCCCCAGAGACGCGGGAGTACATCGTGTTCTCCAGCGACCCGGAGGACGCGGATCACGAGGCAACGATCGTGCGCGAGAAGAAGATTCCGGTGAAGAAGGAGCCGGACCAGATGTCAGCTACGCCGGGCCGCAAAGCCCGGAAGGCGGAGGAGACGGCGGAGGACCTGGAGTATCAGGAGCGCTCGGAGTGATGAAAGATGAGGAAGAGACCTCGGTTGAGGTAGAAGATGAGGAACAGACCTCAGTGGACTTCGAGGATGTCGACGAGCCACCGGACGCGAACTACCACGACGTGATGGTGAACATGACGGCAGAGGACAAGACGATGGTCAACGAGCAGTACAGCCACTACCTCAGCGCCATCAACGAGGCCTGGTCCATGATGGGCATCGGCGAGAACAAGGGTGGCATGAAGGTGATGGAGCTGTGCTGCGAAGAGAACAGTGGCCTTGGTCAGGCCGTGGAAGCCGTCGGTGGGACCATCATTCGTTGTGGCCTCTTCAACAACTGCGACATTATGAAGAGGGCAGGCTACGCGAAGGTGGAGCAGCTCATTGAGAAGGAGCGACCGGACATCCTGTGGTTGTCTCTTCCATGCGGAGCGACCTCGACCATCCAGGCCCTGAACCGGCTGACTCCGGAATCCCGCGCGAAGATCGACAAGAAGATCACGCTGGCGAGACGCCGAGCTACTCGTGGAATTTCTCTTGTGGAGAAGCAGATTGAGCTGGGAGGAGAAGTTCTTCAAGAATGGCCCAAGGAAAATTGGGGCTGGGGATTTGCGAGCATCCGGCATTTCTGGAAGCGGCGACATCGTGAACGCCGGTACTTTGAGGCCCAGGTGGATGGATGCGCGTACGGCCTCGTCATGGAGGGCGAGATCATCAAGAAGCCGTGGATCATCAGGGGAACCTCACAATGGGTTTGGAAGTTGGAGAGGAAATGTCCGGGAAACCACGTCCATGGAAAATGTGAAGGTGGACTACGGACGAGGAATTCAGCACTGTACCCAGTGAGGTTGTGTCAGCGGATCGCGCATGATGATGGGCATCCACCGGGACAGGAACAAGGAGGCGGACGCGGTGATGGCTGCAACGGCAGCAGAACTCGACAGGTCTTGCTTGCAAGGGATGACGGATCAGGAACTGGCGAAGATGGGCCAGGACCTGATGAGACTACATCGACGACTTGGTCATCCCAGTCGACAAGCCTTGATGCGGATGCTACAGGACCGAGGAGCTTCCCAACAGCTGCTGGTGATCGCCAAGAACATGGTCTGCGAAGACTGTCAAGAAGCTCACATGCCATCTGCAAAGCGGCCGACCACGATAGAGACGGCCAACAAGCTGTGGCAGGTGGTGCAGACGGACAACCTCATGATCACCGTGGGAGAGGAGGTCTACCACTTCCAGCTGATGATGGACGAGGCGAGCTCCTTTGCGGTGGTTGTCTACTTGTTCAAGCACAAGGCGACAGAGGGACGGAATGCCACCTCAGAGGAGATCTTGGAGTCTGTCCAGAGCAGATGGATTCAGTACTTTGGGTACCCGGAGAAGATCAAGCTCGATAAAGAAGGAGCACACCGGGGTACCCTACTTGCTGAATGAGCAGATCAGCATGGAGTGGAGATGGACTTCATCCCTGCGGAGTCTCATGGCATGATCGGACAGGTGGAGCGTGGCATTGGCGTGCTGAAAGACCGGATGATCAGACATCTGCGTTCTAGTGAAGGAGATCCACGCGAAGCAGCCTGGGCAATGGTGACCGCCCACAATGGACTGGCCCGGGTCGGAGGATACTCTCCACAGCAGTGGGTGTTTGGACGAAACTTCACTGACGCAGACCGACTCCATGATGGACAGGACCTACCTTTCTGGTCCTCGGTGAGTTCAGATCAACGGATGCGGAAGACCTTGGAGATCAGAATGCAGGCTGAGACCAGCTACCGGAAGGCAACGGTGGAGGACAAGATCTCACGGCTCGGAATTCACAGTCTCGACCTGTGGTGAAGTACTACCCCGGGGACCTGGTCTTCTAGAGGTACCAACAACCTGCAGATGCACGAAGCCATGCTCGACTCGATGTTCCTCGGCTGCGTTTGGCGAGGTGGTATGGACCTGCGAGGATCCTGGCGTTGGAGACGAAGGGATCCGGCAACCACATCAGCTGGCATGGATCATCAGCCAGGGGAGACTGAAGAGAGTGCATGTCCTTCAACTCAGACATGCCTCCGAACGAAAAGGTCATTGCTGAAGATGGTCAGGTGATCACGACCCCCTGGACCTTCGGTGATGTAGCAGCCGGACTCAACAAGGGGGCCTTCGAGGATCTCGTAGAAGACCGAGCTCTACGCCGGGAGCAGGAAGTTTGGCTTCGCGGATGGCGAGCGTGCGAGAAGGTGGAAACGACAGAGCGGTGAGATCGGCGGGGATGAGTCTCAAGTCGACGAACCTGCGAGAAAGGAGAGAGAGCCTCCAGCTTTTCGGAGAGAGCGAGAACGGCAGAGGACTGAGGAGGAAGAATTCTTCCGGGAGATCTTTGGAGAAGAAAAAGATGTTGATGGCAGCCGCCTGCGGATTACTTGCTGATGAACGCGATCCCCGCATCGACCGGAAGACCGTCCTCGTCATCAGGCCAGCCTGACCCCATGCAAGATGGAGGTGAGCTGTTGCGGAATGAGCTCTTTCAGCGTGCGAAAAGGAGACATGAGCTGGAGGACCGCCCTCAGCATGTGATAAAGGAGCAACCTGAAGCAGAGCGTGATGTCCTGGGCTTTGTGTCGGAGCTCCAGGAGTTTGAGAACATTGTGTTTGCGGTGATCCTGCCAGAACCCAAAGATGAGACAGAGTGGAAGGCCATCGTGAAGGACCCTCAGAAATTCATGGCGAAGAAGGTCGCAAAAGGTGTGGAGGTGTCCTGGCAGAGGCTTTCACTGGAGCAGAGAGCCGCGATGAAGGAGGCGAAAGGGGCCGAAATCAATGAGTGGTTGAGCAACAAGGTGGTGCGGGCTGCGATCGGTGACGTCCCGCCACATCGGCTGATGAAGATGAGATGGGTGTTGACCTTCAATAACGGACCCGAAGATGGAACCGTGAAGGCGAAAGCTCGTCTGATGGTGCTCGGCTACTCGGACCCCGACGCCGGTTACCTCAACACGAAGAGCCCAACGATGACACGGAGAAGCAGACAGCTGCTACTTCAAATGGCAGCACACCGAGGTTGGCGAGTGACCAAGGCCGACGCCCGCGCTGCTTTTCTTCAAGGTGGAGAGACCCAACTTCAACGACAAGTTTTGGACTACCGGTGGAGGAGCTGGCCACGGCAATGAATCTCCCAAAGGGGCGTGCGGTGCAGTTTCTCAAGGCTACCTATGGACTCACGGTGGCACCTCGAGAATGGTTCCTGAAGGTGGACGCCATCCTGGCGGAGGTTGGTTTGAGCAGACTGAAGACGGAGCCGTGCGTGTGGAGTCTGAAGGTGCCGGACATGAACCGGGAGGACGGCAAGCAGCGGGTACTCGGGCTGATTTCTGCCCATGTGGATGACTTCCTCATCACTGGAGATGAAAGTGATGAGCGATGGAATTTGGCGGTGAAGAAGTTCCACGCGGCACTCAAATGGAGCCCGTGGGAAGAAGCGCCGATGATGCACTGTGGAGTTCAACTGCAGCAACTACCTGATGGTGGATGGCTGCTGGATCAGGAGGAGTATTGCTCGGGACTTTCACAAGTCACCCGAGATGGCACAGGCAAGGAGCTCACTGAGAATGAACGATCTCAGGCTCGTGCGGTGCTGGGTGCAGTGCAGTGGCGAGTTTATCAGAGTGGACCTCAGCATGCCGCAAAGCTGAGCCACCTCCAGAGTGTGCTCCCGAGAGGAGACAGCACCGTCTTGGGCGAGATCAACAAGCTTGTCCGCGAGGTCTATGGCCAGAAAGACACCGCCCTGCGGATCTTTTAGCCTGAATGCGAAAAAGGAGGACGACCTGGTGGTTGTTGGATGGTCAGACGCGGCGCTTGCCAACCGAGTGGATCTGGGATCAACGGGAGGCTACATGATCGGCATGTGTCATGCAAGCATGCTTGATGGAGTTCGTGGACCGGTGAGCCTGATCAGCTGGTCCTCAACGAGACTCAAGCGAGTTTGTCGGTCGAGCCTCAGCGCTGAGACCGAAGCATTGGCGGAGACTGAGCAGGAGGTGATGTTCATCCGGACTCAGTGGAGCGAGATGAGTGGGTTCCCCGTGGACCGCGCCAAGCCGGAGGAGTGCACGAAGAAGACAAAAGGGGTGCTGGTCGTGGATGCGAAGGCACTGTATGACGCGGCCAGCAACGGCGAGATCCAGACATCAGCCTTCAGCATGCGGGAGAAGTAACACCGCGCTCGAGCTACTGGGACTGGTGGAGAACATGGGCCGCCAGGGCACACAGATGAGGTGGTGCGACAGCGACGCCCAATTGGCAGATGGGCTGACCAAGCTGAGCGCAGAGGACAGAGTGCGGAAGTTTCTCCAGGCTGGGCAGCTGTGGAATCTGGTGCATGACGAGAAGTTCGTCAGCGCCAAGAAGAAGAAGCAAGCACTTCTTCGAGGCGAAGGAGAAGAAGATGGAGCGGAACTCAGAGACCGCTCATGGCGAGAACTCGTGAGACGCTAGCTCATGTCTCTTTCGGCAACCGCCTTTGGGGCATGTGAAGTTCTCAGCCTCATGTGTGTGAGCCTGTTGTGTTTGCCTACAGAGCCACAACCTTGCACACGCTGTTCGCTGTTTTGGTCCGAGGGATTCCTTTAGCCATTTGGTCACTGTACATTTGCTCAGGGCACCTGAGCTTGCAACGGCTTGCAATGGAGTGAGAAAAGAGCGGCAAGGCCACTTGCTGGTTGATTGGGGTTGCACTAAACCCCCGGGAGCTCTTAGGCTCCAACGAATGCGAACATATCTTAGTTTGGGTGCGGGGCCTGTGGTAAAAAAACAATTCCAGGGATTTCGACCTCAAGGGGGGGTTGTCAAAGGGTGGTTGTAGTTCTTTATGTTTATTTTGCCCGCGGCAGCATGCAAAGCACACCGGTTTATGGTCCAACGGCACCCCGCCTTGTGGTCGTGCCCGGTGATGCCCCTGTAAAAAAAATAGGGTTTGGGCTGGTTTGGGGTAGATTTCAGTTGGTTCGGAGATGTCCAGGAGTTGGCTTCATATTCTCAGATGGGTGTGTGTCAATGGTACACCCACTTATGGCCTTTCAAGGAGGCCGGTGACGAGTCTCACTTGTTGAATACCGCCTGCAGATTTCGCCTGGGTTCAGCATGTGAGCTCAGGTGAATCCATCTTCATTCTGGGGAGGTCCACCCTGGGAGCCAGGCGGGCGGATTCGCGCTTGCCAGTCACACCACCAAGCTGCAAGGGTTTGCTTATGGCCAGATACACCGCGAAGAAACCCAGGAGATGCAGACATTTGCATAGCATCCATATACCACTTCCTACAAGGGCTCAAGCAACTAGCATGGCTGTGGTTTGCTGCGGTTTATTTTTCATCCAAGTTACACCATGACCATAGAACTAAAACAGCACATGCGCCATGGCCCGGACCACGGCAACCTTTGGATCTGCCTGCTCAGCCTGCCCAGGAACCCTCGGTAGCATTCTCAAAGTCAGCCCCACTCGATATATTCAAGAAATTTGGACCTCAGTTTCGAGATGGTATCCAACCTTAGTTCCATTTTCCATACCATACTGTGGATGGACCAAATCCTTCACCATCTGACAAACCTTTGAGAGATAATTCCCCTGCAAACACCCACAAACAATGGTTTCCCATGCTTTCAACGTGGTGGAGGATTTCGTCCATCCACAGTATCTCTGGTGGGTTCCATGGCAATGTGGACAGGAGGGTGCTCAAGCTCCGTCAGGCTGTACCGCTTCAGCATGCCCCGCTCAGTCCAGGCGCGCGCACCAGGCACCAGCTATGAAACCCTGAACTCATGATTCTCCTGTTCATACCCACGGAAACGTGGTTTCCCATGGTTTCGATTTTGTTCATCCACAGTATGTATGAATCTATCAGGTTGATTGACAGGAAGAGACTATGTGTTTGGTAACCTCTGAAATTAGTTGACTACATACCTCCGCGAAGGGGTCGCGAGAGTGACTTGCGGAGATCTGCAAGCGCGAAGCAACGTTTGCATTGCCCATAGTATTGAAATTGCACGACTCACAATCGCAATGGGGAAGTGCAATTCCGTATGTTGGTGCTGAGAGGACGCCAAAACATTTTGCAACAAACATCTTTAAACAGATGCTTGGGATTCCATTCGGCTCGGCTCACGCTGCTAGAGCATGTGGGTTCACCACAGATCACACAAAAACGATTCCCACTAAAAGCGGAACACCGGCACACCCATAATTTTCAGTTCTGTCGGCCCCAGACGTCGTGGGCAAATGCCATCGCATGCAGGAGAGACGAAGTCCGAGCTGCTGTAGTGGCAGCCTATGCTGTCTAGAATTTAACTTGAGTCTGGACAGTCTGATGCGTTTTTTGGCCGTGTGCAACAAAGAATTGCTATTGTTGATGGAGTGCTGGCTAGATTGCTCGATTTCACAAAGTCATTAACATTACTTTGCGGAAAGGCGGGTCAATGAACATCCGCCCATCATGCCACACGTTTGTATGTCTCATGTTGTTTGTCGCTAGTTGTTTGTGTTGCTGCTGAGGCGGCTGCATGCATCCTGTTCGATTGCATGACACAAACTTCCAAGCACAACCATGAACCGGGCCAGAGTGCAAGCTAGCAATCAAGCAAGCCACAAATATGGAGGAGCCAAGCAGGAACCAAGCAGACTCCCAACCGCTCAACCTACAAACCAGGCGCATGCCCATTCCCTTGGGAAGACATGGGCGGTTTCCCCGCTAAAAACCGGTCGGGAAAATGGGAAAGGGACAAGTGCTTCGGAGCAAGGCTGCCTGCCATTCTGGAGCCGCGGTTGCACGTTCTAAGCGTCTTTGCGAACTTGGTTTGGTGGGGCGTCCAGGTATGGTGCCCCGTTAAGCTTACTTCCCAATAACTCCAACTCCCAAAACCCTTCCCGACGGTGAACTCCTAAAAGGTCCTTTTTCCTGCCTTTCCGGCCACCGAACTGCGCTCAACGAAGCGCCAAGAGCCGCCCTCCTTCGTGCCAGGCTTGGGAGGCGGGGGCTCCATGGAGCGCTCGACATGGGCGAGTCCTCTTGTCGCAGTGGGTTCTTTTGGGGGGGGGGCAACCATTCCCCAGACAATCCATGTAGTTTTTTTTTTGTTTTTCCCTGTGATATCTTGCCTGCATGGATTGTCCGGGTTTCAATGAAACCAATGCGGAAACCACAAGGGGACCAACGATTGTGGTAGGCCGCCAATTTTTGAGATTTGTGGCGTGGCTGTGGGCATGTTGGGATTTGGCATTTGCTGCACGTTTGGAGGGGGCAGTTGTACTCTCCACGGTCTGTTTCAGCGCCTCTCAGTTTTTGCGTGGCAGACGGTCAAGTGCTTGCCGTGCCATGCTTCGGCCTTAAGCCTCGGTCGTCGCGAATTGGTTTCTGAATTGCCAAGCAGCCAATACCTCATTCCCAAAAACGGCGGTTTGGCTTAGCGTGCTTGCCTCATTGGCTCATGGGATTGATCTTATCTCCGTGGCCCCCGCGCCAGGCTCCACCTGAGGACACCCTAAACACCCTGCAGACCTGACGTGCGCGTGGGGACGAGGGGGAGAGAGAGGTCGGGGGATCCGTTCCATTTGCCATGGGAGGCGAGGGATTTGTGTGAACCCCCCGCTTGGCTGAAAGGCGCACTAGTGAGAAGTCGTTCCTTTTGGCTGGACTCTTCACCAGTGATCTGCTTGATATGCTCTAGCCGATTGCTTCCAGTTGTTTAAGCTATTTTTTTATCGGCCCCTTGGTTTCACATGGGATCTATCACTACTGGATATTTAGAAAATTGAAGATTGAGTTTCCTCGCGTGCATGGTGCAGCCTTATGCGCTTGAGGTTCCTACCTGAAAACGCCGATCTGCGCGAGGGTCATTTTGTTTCACCATCGCAGCCAAAGTGTGGCCGGGGTCCGTTCTCACTTGCCCCAGCCTTCCGTTGCGAAGCAAAACCGGTTGGCCTGGCGGAACCTTCGCTCAAGCGAAGCTACCAGGAGCCAGCCCAGTGGCAAGGTGCACGTAATATGACAAGAACACTGCCAAGTGCCAGCCGAGAAAAATGACACAAGATAAAAAAGAAAAAACAGAAAAAGAAGTTTGACTGCATATCGCAGGGGATGTCCATGTGCAGCTTGGTTCTTGCAAGTTTGACATGTTTGCTTTGCCTTGCTGCTCAAGCCCCCCAAGGCCTTATGATCCATGGGCTGTACCTTTGGCATCCTTTGGCCTTACAGCGCTTTAGCCTTACTGGCTGCACGATCAAATCGGGCCTTATCCACATTCTCTGGGCCCCTTCCTTTGAAAAAAATGCAAATTTGTGTAGCAGCAGCTTGCCAGGGGGACAGGTAGCTTGCCCGTGGCAAAGGCAGTCGTGTCAGTCAGAATCAGCTCCCATGGCAAAGAAAAGAGCCGCCAACCAGAGATGGGGCATCAACAGGTTCGTGCTGAATGTTGTAGATGGAGGACTCCCACACACAAATAATATATATATATATATATGTATATATATATATGTATAATTTGAGTCCATCCATCTTGCGTAGCCAGCCGCTCTTGCAACGCCGTGCAGCATGCCAGAGCAGGCAGGGGTGACGCTGAAGTGTTGTCAGTCGTTGACTTGCCAGCTTGCCGTTACCCTCCCGTCCGCTAGCATGGAACCTACCAGAGGGCCCCTTTCAAAGGAACATAGTCCTCCAAGACCCTTCAGTCAGGTTCCAAGTTAGTGCACAGGAGGCTAGCTTTATGCAACATAATAGAAGCCGGCAACTAGCTGGCGCTTGGAAGGGGGTATCCAGATTTGCCTTTAACGAGGGAGCCTTTCGGAGCTACCAGGAGTTCGGTAAGGTAGGCAAATTGTGAAAATAGTTTGTTTCAAAGGGTTTGGTTACAGAAAAATCTACAGAGATGTCCCCAATACATTCAAATAGTTGAGCTGTTTGCTTGTAGAATGTTCTGTAACCCAACTTTTGATCGCTGGGTTTCCCCGTACATCTGCCCCCGTGCCGCTTCCACATGGTCGACCGATGCTCGACCGAAGCCAAGCCCCTTCTTCAGGCTGAAGCGCAAGCGCGGGTGTCTGCCTGAGCAAAAGGGTCCACGCTCGCTCGGTTCAAAGAGGTTCTTCATGTAGTATATATATATATATACGGGTGCCTTTCTAAGGTGCCCGAATCATACCTCGAATCATACCCGCGAATCATACATCTAAACTTCCCGGTCCGAGCGCCTTATGTTGGCACAGACCCATGTAGGGTAAAATGCATGGATGGTCTTGGAGAACAGCCCCGGACACAGTGTCTTTGTTTGAGTGAGGGTGGGTGTTCCTGAGCATTCCGTGCCATGGTGTCCGGCTGTTCGCTTGCAGCCTCCAGGAAATCCGAGTTAGGGGTGCCGACTTGTGGCAGGGGAGCATTTTTTGTTGTCAAGGGACAGTGTATGGAATCTAGATTCCCTATACTGTCAAACTAGGTGGTCTGAGTTTCCACGTTTGGTGACGGATGCCATCCAACTGGAAGTGTTTCATTTGGCACAACGGTGAATTTTAAGACTAATAATGTATAAGAATTGTAGCATAATTTCCAGACCCTGCGAAGAATCCAGGTCCGGGAATACTAAATTTAGAATAGGCGAATTCTAAACCAATGCTAAAGTCGCGATTTTCCTTCGTGACCCCAACTCGAGGCGCATTGTGGGTCCCCCCCCAATCCTTTCCTTCCAGAAGCGAAAACCACAGAATCCGAAACTGGCTAGATTGCATTTAGAAAAGTTATAGAATTGTATTTCGGAAGCTTTTTGGGCGTTCGAAATGGAAAGGCACCGTCAAACCCTGCCTGCCTGCGTACCTAAGTACTCGAGCCAGTTTGTTTAGAAGATGAGTTTGAACCGCTTAAATCCCTTAACTGCATTCTGTGAGCTTTTTTGACCCGGGAAGGGAATGTGAACTTGTGCTACAACTCAAACTACTCCCTGCCGCGGAAAAACACAGCAAAAACCGCTTAAAACGATTTCGTTGTGAAAGGCGGGGTCGCGTTTAGTAGGGGGGAAGGGATTACCTTTCATTTGGTGAGGCTTTTGATGCCATCTTGGACAAGCTGGAGGTGGTTCTGCGCAAGGCTGGTGGGGGGTCGGAAGCGTTGATGAGGTCGGTGGTTTCAACCCACATCTGAGGGTGGACCGTTCCTGGTCCATGTTGTGTTTTTTGTTTTTGTTTGTTTGTTTTTGTTTTTGCGTGTTTGGTGGGGGGAGGCATTTTCCATGGTAGGGCCGGGGGGAGGGGGGGTGGATTTGGGGGGGGGGGGTGGGGGCATCTTCCATGGTAGGGCGTTACAGGCTCCCTCTCAAGGAGCTCCGAGTCGCTTTGCGTCAGGCGGATGCCGCATCGTTGCCGAGCACGGGGAGCACGGTGCGGTTGCAACGCCGAACGCCTAACCAATCCCTGGCTGGTTCATGCTCATGATTCTCCTTTTTTTGGGGGGTGCCGTGGATTTACAACATGTCGCAGCTTAACCGACCACATGTATATATATATATACATGTACGTATGTATGTATAGCCATGCTGACATGCACGCCATTCTTGTCTTTAGCGCTGGTGTACGGCTCTGAGCGTATTTTGTCCAGAGTATCTTTAAAGGGAGTGAACATACAGGCAACTCTTCATTTGTTGGCTTGGATTGGGATGGAGGGGGGGGGGGGGTAGCAACTCCTGTTTGTCGTGGGAGCCAATTAGGAAGGTCGGAAGGCCCCCCTTAGCCTCAAAACCACAAACCTAAACAGCCAATGAGCAAAATGTGAAGCCAGGATTGGTAAACCCTGCTGTGGGGCCTGCCTGTAAACGTTCAGCGTTGTGGGGGTGAGCACCACCCCGCTAATCATGTGCTTGATCAATCTATCCGACCTTGCTCCAAGCGTTGAGTCGTGCCTTCTGAGAGATGCCTATGAGCGCGCAAACACGTTATGGCTATTTGGTTGGATCTTTGGTCTGTAACTTTCGGGAGACAGAATGGATTTCCCATCTCACAGAGAGTTGAACACTTTTTGCAGAGGGGCCGTTACAGCAACTAGGTCCCCCCAGTAGTGCCCTTTCACCCTTTTTTGGGGAGGGTTGCCCTATTAAAATAAACTGCAGAAAGGCAGGTACCCTTATTCTGGAGGACCTAGGCAACCAAGAAAACCCTTCAAAAATGGGATCCTGTTGGCCATAGCCGGTGGTTCTAGATCGCGCATTTGAGGTCTCGAGCTGGACCTCTTGTCCCACTTGGAGGCAGCTGCTGCGATAGGGAATGGCCGTTCCGGGTTTTTGGAAATGGACCGGGGATTCCCATAGAGAAAGCCATAAGGGATGGTTTAGGAGGGTCATTCTCATTTGTTGGTGAGAACCAGCGAGAAAGGTAGGCTCCTGTTTGCGTGGCCCAAGATGGGTTTCCCCCAACAAGGGTGCCCTCAAACAACAGGCCCACATGAGGCTTTTGTTGGCTTTGCTAGAAGGTAGGCATGCTGGCATTGTTTTGTTTTTTTACCCACGCCCAGCGGCCGCTCTGAAAAATGATCAATGTGGGCGGATCTGCCATGCAGGCAGCCAGATCACTCATGATGGCAGTTCTCCAAAGCGGGCGGCTTGGAAATCTACGCTCGCCGACAGCATCGCCACCCCCACCCCCGCCCCCACCGCCGAGGCGAGAACGCGCAGCGCATCGTCTTGCAGCATGTCTTCGGCGGCGTCAGGGGCTTACGTCCCAGCGCAAGTTAGAGCCGCCCAGAGCCTGTGTCGTTTTTTTTCCCCTCGATGTCTCGAATAGGGCTTGATAAGTTTCAATTTGTGGCGGTGCATGGGGCAACCTGGTACCATTTGGTTCTAAGTGTCTTTAGCGGGGGCACGCAGCCTAGTATGCTGGTTTTAGTCGGCAGCTCATTGGAAGAAGGGATGAAGGGGGCAGTGCTTCCTTCAGCGGCTAACGAAGGTTCGGATAAGGGCAGCCTAATGCGAGGAAAGCCTGCTGTGAAGACCCTGGGATTCCAAAGGCGGTATTTAGTACCGTGTTTTATGGAAAGACGATTTCTTCTAAGAGGATGTGTTTTATGGTTCAAAGCTTGCAGCAATAGCACAACTGCCAAATTCAGGTGGAGGCGTGGACCTTGCCATTGCCCAATATTAAGTTTGGGTTCGGCTAGGCCACTTAATCTTTTGCACGATTGCATGCAACAAATCATAAATCACGCCTCGACCTTGGACCAAATTGCTTAACGCCAACATGACAGAACAAACCAGCCACGCGAGTAAGCTTGATTTTTTTTTAGCTAGGCAAACAACAAGCTATGAGGTGCAGAAGCTAAGAAGGGCGCCCTGCTGCACAGAGTTGGAGCCTACACAAAACATGCACATCGGCTGTTTGCTTTGTAGGGGCGCGCGTAATTGATACGCCAATAATCAAAACTACTTTGCCTGCGGCCACCGCCAAAATGTGTAGGAACCAAAATCAAAACTATCAACACAAAAGTTATATACTTGTTGTTGTGTGTTGCGTCTACTCGGCATGTCATTTTTGGGGCCAACACCACAAACAGTCTTTCACGGCCAAAAACGGTGTTTCACGGTAGTTTCACGGCAATTTCACGATAGTTTCACGCTAAATTAATTTTCAGGACTGTTCACACAAGAACCCACAAGGTTTTTCAAACACGAGTTATTGTCGCAATATGTTCAGAAGAATAGCTTCTGCAGTCGTCAAATGACTCTTTGATTATCCGTCGCAAATTGCTTCGGGCTTTTACGCTCAATACACTACTGTGCAATCGTTCACTTGGCACCTATTTTGCAATGCAAACTTGGGCATGCTCAGTTACGCGATGCCCTTCCAGATATTGGAGTTCAAAGGTCGGTTCAGCTGCGATTCAGCTGTGATTCTGTCACAAATGCGCATCAGAGCAAACGGCACTAATTGCCCTATAAACTTGGATATTGCCCTGAGATTCGGCAGGTTGCACTACTATTTTGCAAGTGAATAGGGGGCGCGGTGGAGGCCCTTGAGCTGATGTTGTAGCTCAGGGTCGAAGCACTGAGGATTGCGTCCGCATTTCTAGGGCTCGAGCTGCCCGGCACTCGGTCGACCGTCGAACTCGCTGTCCGGCAAGCCTTTTTCTCCAGCGAAAGCCGCCGCGCACGCCCAAAGCCACCCAAACTACGGGAAGCCCTCAGTCAAACCACTACTCGAGCGAGCCGTTGACCGAGCCAGCCCGACCCGGTCCCAACCCTACCGCATGCCTTTTCTCTCCAGGTCGTAGAATCTGCAGCCCAGCTTGGCCTTTGCGGGAGGCTGGTTGTGGCGAAGTTCGCTTCGGCTGCAGAGGGGCAGGACTTGCTTTCCATGTCAGGCCAACCCGCACAAGATGTGAAGTTTAAAAAACTCAGTTGCCCAGAGCCGACCTCTTAACCCTTTGGTTTTTCCATTTTGGTCCATAATTTGTAGAGGTACCAAAAGGTTAACCTTCTATTTCCAAGTCCTTTGGACACATGAGTTAAACATGCACCTTGCAGTCCAGGCATTCGTCCAGCGTGCGTCAGAGGGGCAAGGTGTCCTTGACTCTGAGCACGAGCTGGTTGCCAATCCTAAGTGGATGTCCATCAGGTAAGGGTCGTGTTGCAAGGGGACATATTACCCTTGTTTAACCGGGGCAATGCCCTTTGCAGGCCGTTGGGCAATTGAAATTCTCAGCTGCCATACTCTCACTACACTCTCAATGCAGGTTGCGGCGTTGGTTCCACCTGTATAACTGTTCTCAAAGCTTTAAGTTGTTCAAAAGGTGCCTGGGATCATTATTTTGAGTTTGCAGTACGGGATGCCCCGAACAGAGCGCCCCGCTTGGGTTTGCACATTCGCGTACCAAGTAACACATAATGCTGGATCTCCCCCTCCCCCCCCCAAAAAAAAAGAACAAGAGAGAAACAACAAAAAAGCACTAAAGGCAGATTTCTCCCATGTCTCCCCCCAAAAAAGCATAAATCTGTGCTAGGAAGTTCCAGACCAAACTTGTCCTCATGGATCTTCCAGGCACAGGCGGGCGGCTGACTGCCTGCGGGCCTGCGAGTCCGTCGAGCCCCGGCCTCGGAAGCTTTTCTCGGCCGCGGCCTCGAAGGTTTTGGTTCCTGACGTTCGGGACCCGGTCACCGGTCCCTTTAAAAGGAAAATGGTCCAAATTAGGACCCCCTGCAATTTTTTTGAGGTTCCATGTCAGTTGGGAGGGTATTCTTTTGCACCAGGGTTGTGGGATCACTCGAAATTGATCCCCACTTTTGTGATACTTTTGTGGAATCTCCCCCGTATGGGGGGTTAGGCTTTGGGAAGCCCTGTGTGTTGTATCACAGAAGTGCTCGTTTCCCACAGTCCTGCCGCTTTTGGTTTTGGTGTCACAGGTCTTGGACTAGTCGCACTGGCCTTTGAGTGCCACAACAGTTTGTTTGTGGAGCCACTATTGTTGACACGGGTGACTTTTTTCCCGGGGTTTGGTGGGTTTGGCGGCCTTTTAGTTTTGCCCTTAGGGCCTTAGTTTTTGTTCATTTGTCCCCCAATTGTCATTGATTGAAAGCATCACGGTCTTCAACTCATGTTTAATACTGTGGATGGACGAACTCCTGCGCCACCTATGAAACTCTGGAAGGAATTCCTTGTAAATACCAACAAAATAGTTTCCCATGGTTTCAAGGTAGTGCGAAATGGATTTCGTCCACCCACAGTATTGCGCCATATTGCGCCATATTTTTGCTTGTGAATTTCATTTTACGTTTGTCCAACCAACATGTAGGGAGCTGTGCCTGGCAAAAGGCTGCCGGCTGCCGGGCAATGTCTCTGCTGTTTCTGGGGCGCCTTTTCAAGAAGTGTTTGCCAACTGGGGACTCCTGCAGCTCTCTTGGCAGGAGTATGCGTTTCTTTCTGTGTGTCTTTTCTTAGGGAGCCAGGGGTTCATTCATCCCGGTCCCCGTCTCATGTCGCATCACCTTGGGTCGCAACATCTAAGCCAGGATCAACTTATGCGCAGGTGCAAAGGCGAGCAAACCAGGTTGGTGTCTTATCTACTCTGTTGCCCAAAGCCAACCTGTTGACCTTTTGGTTTCTCCTTTTTGGTCATGGCCCCAAAAGGTGATCAGCTTTTATTTCTGGGTCCCTAAGGGGCAAGTGAGTCTAGGTTCCATGCCTTGGGGTCTCGAATTTGCTCAAAATGAGTGCCCCGCATATTGGACCAAAGGATGGCTCCCCCAGCTTCCCCGTTTCGGAGCGCAGGCAGGTTTTGGGCGACTTGGGTCTTGGCTTCTCTTTGTGCGGGGCACCCTGGAAGAGGGGAAGCGCAGGGGGTGGATGGCGATTTGCTGTTGGCTTTTGTCGAGGTTCCCTTGAAGCATCTCAAAATCGCGTTCTGGGCTGCGGGGCTTTTGTTGGGATGGCTGTTTCATGGAGTTATTTTTGTTTGGCGTTTACTTCATACTGTGGATGGACGAAATCCTGCACCACCTAAGAAACCCTAGAATAATATGACCCCCTGTAAATACCAACAAACAATGGTTTCCCATGGTGTCTTGGGTGGTGCGAACGGATTTTGTCCATCCACAGTGCAGACACCTTCTTCCGGTTCATTGGCTTGATTCTGTCCTTGTGTTGCAAGCTGAATGTCTGGAGACCGCCTCGCTTCCGAATCCGAAGCGCGGAAGCAAGGCAAGCGCGGCACAATGCCGAAAAGGAATCCACTGTCCACCCACCCTACTTCTCAGACTTGGGGGTTCTCTAAGCACAAGGTGCCAGCAGCATCCACTGAAAGAGGCAAGGTTCGGATATGCCTTTTTTGGAGCTTGGATTGCTGCTGCCGGATTGTCAGGTCTCGGCAGCCATTGGTATTTTGCACAGGTCCCCCGGCGAAAAAACATACGAAGACCTATCGCCCTGTGGTCTCAGTTCAGGTCCTTCGACGGAGAGGTTAGGAAGCTTTGATTCAATCGTGTACCGGCTTGCTTTACAGCCCCTCATGTACCCCTGCAGCTGAAGCAAGATCAGCAGCCTTGTTGATGCACGCAAGCCCTTGAGTCAAATTAATCCAAAGTGGCCAGCTACCAATACTTGATGCCAACGTGCTGATTGTTCGATGCGAGTTTCCAGGGTAACGCGGCGGCACAGCTGCACCCGGAAGCACCTGGAGTCTCCAGGACCCGTAAAGATGGGTCCATGACCCTTGTATTTTGGGTAATGACCCCATTTTTTAGATCTGATTTTTTAAGAGTCATGGAGACTCCAGGCAGATCTTTATCTCGCAAAAGTGAAGCGCTGGGCCGCCCCTGTCTGGGCGTCAAACCAAGTGATCAAAGTCGCTGCATAACCCACCGTGGTTTTGATGCAAGCTGTAGTCTAGGCAAGCCACTGCAGAACACCTGCAGAACAACGTTTGCTCACTTGCCCAAATCGCATCTGCTGACCTTTCAATATGTATGACCTTTCAATATTTTATTATTTCCGTGACTTAACGAAGGGCTAGCCTGCCATCCACCCTGAGACCTGCAGCACTCGAGACATCACTTGCAGCTGTCAGTTTGGCCTTTGGGCAAGTGAGTTGAGGTGCATCTTGCCGCCTTGATCCGATGGACCTCTGGGCTAGTGTCAAGCACCAGCCTTGAAGATGCGCAGCCGAAGATGGCTAGATATTCTGCTGCCCCTCGCTTGCCAAGCGCCAAACTGAACAAATCAGAACCTCCGGCCCTTCGTGCATCCTTGAAAACCCACCTGGCCCACTGGCAACTGCAATTTGTCCAGGGATGTCTATATAAGGGAAGTCATGGAAACTTTCCTACCATTGCACACCTAGTTCCCAATTACACCAGGCAGACTCACGAATTTCCCCCACACTATACAACACTTTACTCACGGAGTCTCCCACAAAATCCAGATCAACATCACACATTCTCGCCCCCAAACCAAAAGAGAAATAAACAAACAAACAATGTTTCTCCCCCCCCCCCAAAAAAAAGAAAGAACGAAAAACAAAAAAAGAAACACACACACACACACCCACACACACACACAAACAATGTTCTCCCCCCCCCCCCCACCCAAAAAAAAAGAAGGCGAGAAACCCTATGGCTCTCTGAGGTACGTAGTCGCCTCAGTCCAGGCGGAGGTCCTAGTGGTCCAGGCGGACACGGACATCGCCTTCTACGTCAACGGCGCCGAGATCTTCGCAGACACCTCTTCCCCGGTGCTGCCCATGTGCCTTGGTGCGGCGGGGGAGTGGGATTTGGGGGGGATTCGGGGGGGGGGGGGTGTTTGGGTGGGGGAGGGGATTCGTGGGGGGATTGGTGGGGGGATGGGGGGGTGGATACCCACCGGGTCTTCCTTGTTTCTGTGGGGGGTTTTCTGGGTCCTAATCCGTTCCCTGGGCCGCCTGTAGGGGCTTCCCTGGGTTTTCTGGGTCCCGTGGTTGAAACCATGTTTGTTTGGTATTTAGGTTGGGGAATCCTCATTCCCTTGGGTTTCTTAGGTGGTTGGTGCAAAAATTGCGGGCGTTTTTGGTTTCAGCGGGTTGGCCGCAGCCTGGGTAAATTTTGGTCCCCCTTGGCGGCTTGCCATGATGGCGGGTTCATGTTGCTGAAGGCTGGAGGAAGAATTTGCCGTGGCAAGTCTTGGTGGACTCCAATATTAGTATCGTCCATTTGGGTTTCTTGGGAGGGATCCAGGGTTTGGTGAACGAGAGGCCCCAAAACATGTGGGCCCCAGTCATTTGCTCCAAAAAAAGGAAGGCCTCAGGCAATGGGCTGTTGTCAGTATGTTCAACTCAGCCCGCAAAAGCTTTGTCCGCTTGCACAGCTCCACGCAGTTGAGCCCTTTGGCAACATCAGGGCCAGTCAAAGGCTCTGAGAGCTCATACGGGCGTTTCTCAAAAATAGGGAGCCCTAGGTGGTTGGTTTCTGTTGGGTTTCCATGTGAATGGCAACCGAGAGGGGGTCCGGCATGGCATTTTGAGACCCCCCCCCCCACCCCCCGCATGTGGCGGGGGGTTCCCGGAGGAACGGGGTGCGCCGTGTGAATGCGTGGGAGACCTCGGCGGTGGCATACCGCACCAGCCGCACGCTGGAGGTGGGGGACTTGATCGCGATGCAGGCGGGGCTCGGAACTCGGAAGCGGGGCTCGGGATCGGCGATCGCGAGCCTGGCGGGTTTTTGGCCGGTCCGAAGTTGCTTGGCCTGGGTGTTGTTGTGACAGATGGTGAGGTAACCACGCCACATATGGGGTAACAATGCTGAAAAAGGGTAACAACGCCAAGAATGTGTAGTAGGAATGCTGAGTCGCAGCCCCCAAAGAGTGATCAACTGGCGATGGGTGGTCGTATCGCCCCAAGAGACGCACACCTTGGAAGGTCAGCAGCCGTTACGGCTCCTTGGTGAACGTCACCGACGCGCTGGGCAGGAGCCGGGCCTGAAGTGAGAAATGCCCTTTAAAGGGCTTCAGGGTTGGGCGGGTTTCAAGGGGCAGCCGGCCTGCTCCGGCAGCCATACTTCTATTTGGTGAAATGTTGTTTTTGTTTGTTTAATGTTCCCCTGTTGGCTTTAAAGGGAATCTGTCACTACTGGAAATACTTTTTTTCCAGAGCAAATGGAGGCATACGGACACCAAGCGTTTGGGAGAGCCAAATGAAAGCCACAGAGACAGCACAGGGCAAACACAGGGCCCCTGGAACAGGCTCGAGGACCAGACGAAAACAAGCAATATGCACGCCCAAAGCAGGAACACAAGCAACATCACTTTGCTGCTGTTCTAGGGCTGTGTTTGCGCTTAGTTCAGATGTAAGTGCGGCAAAGCAGAGGAGCACAGAGTATCCAGCCTACGTGGGTGTGATCTTGGTCAGCGAATTCGGCACGATGAGCTCTTCAGCCTTCAAGTGCTTCACCCAGAAGGAGAGCACGGAGGCGCTTTGTTCGGCCGGGTTCGGCTGGACGCCGGTCCGATATTTTTTTTTTGTTTTAATTATTTTTTTCTTTGGGGGGCGGGGTTCCCCAAACCTGGAAAGCACAGGGGCGCCGAAGTTCGCCGCTCATTGAAATTGACTAAACGCGTTTGGCCCCCAAAACTGCCTTTCGAGCCAATTTGTGAATTTTGAAGAGCTGAAGAAGCAGTTTTCCTTCAAAAGATGGACATTTTACACATGCACTTTGGGATATGCAGGCAGGTATGTCCGCTTTTGTCACTGCTTGGGCCAATTTGAAGTGAGCTTCCTTTGGCGGTGATGTACCCTGGAATATGGTTGTTGAGAAATTGGCTTGAGCTTGCAAGTTTCACTCACCTCCTTGAGAATAGAATTGCGCGAGAGCTGGAGATCTTGTTCATTTGTCTGATTGTGGTGAGAACAACAAACGGACTTGGGGAAACCCCCACCCCCCGCCCCTGAAGCATGCCCCGACTGTCCTGGAATGGGCATGCTTGTTTTTTGAAGGCATGCCTTTCTGTGAGCTCCTACTGCTCCGGTGCGATTCCATACTTCAAGGCTCACAACATATGGAACATACTCTGAACATGTTTGTTTGGTATAGCCCGGCTGGTAGGACCACGATTTCGTGTTCTTTTCAATAAAGAGGAACAAAGAGGATATCACCAATTTGTTTGTTGCCGCGCGTTTATTTTCTCGCGCGTGCTAATTATTCTCATTTCTTTTTTGTCAGAGAGCCGGCTTTTAATTTTATTGTAGTGTCCGTACCACGGTTCCTTCTAAGCTTCCTTTGACTAGGGGCAAACCCAAGTTTCCAGGGCCATGGCAGTTCGGCATTTCATTTGAGCATGTGGTGACACAACCATAATGCCGCTTTTAATACGCTTATAGTCACCTGTATGAAGCCAGCATTGCGCCTCACACCCACACTCGGCCGGTTTTCTTGCAGGGAAAGGAGACACCATTTATCTAAACCACGCACATCCACAAAAAATGAGGACATGCAGTAAGACGCCAGCATTGCCATACCGCGGCGGAAACCAAGGTGAAAAGGGTCTCCAACGCGCGCCCATGCCTGCCATCAGGGGGAGATCACGCCGTTCCAGTCCGTGAACTTCAATGACTCTCACTGGCCCAGGGCGCTGGAGCAGGCGGAGAACTGCTGCCCATGGCGGGATTACAAAGCCCCTCTGGCAGCATTCGCGCCACGCTATGCTTGCCACGTTGCGCAAGCAGTTCTCTTGGGCAACTGGTCTGTCTCGACACAGGGAACTCCTTTTCGGATGGCTCTAAAGGGAAACCAAAAGAAACCAAGTACCTGGAAAAAATCTAATTTGATGGATGGGGTGGGCATGGGATGTCGATTGCTTGGCAGGCTTGCGATCAGCGTGATGAATTTCGTCTGATTTGTAGGGGCCTGGCTGTTGCCAGAGGTGGGGTGCCCCAACAATCACCTGCACCATGGTTTTGGGAGGGTTCAGAAACCCCTCCATGGTGCAAGAGGAGCCAGCGAAGGCCGGCGAGTGAAGCTTGCTGAGTAAAGCAAGTAGTGGCACTGCAACGGTTTTCTCCTCGTCACTATCTTCAAAGCCTTTCCTTGGGTTCTTTTCAGGTGTCGACCATGTTTTGACAGATGCACGCGCACCGGCTTTGACAACAACTTAAAAGAACGCTTTGGGGTTGTCCGTCCAAAACATGCTCAACCACCTGAAAACAACAGACCGCCTGCAAAGTAAAGGTGCACAAGCCGGGCTCAGGAGTTTTCCTGTTTCTCGGGGTTACCAAAGTCAGAAACCGGGGTGGCTGCCCTTTAACCTACTTAGGGGGGTGACTTTAGTGGGTGAAAAACGGGGGGCCGGACCAGCCACCCCCCTGCCAACCAGCATGAAACCTGACGTCTCGGGTGGCTCTGGCTTGGACCATTCTCCAAATTTGTTGGGTTCCTGTTAGTTGGTGGGCGGGTATTTCGCATCTTCCTATTTTTGAACGAGCTCACCATCATGAAGCTCCTTCATTTGGCAGATCCCTTTCTTTCAGCTGTCGGAATTATTTTTGAGATTTGCTTCGGCTTTCAGCTTTTGAATTCAGCTTGAGTTTCCCCCAACGGTCATGCCATATATCAACCCCCATATATCTTGGTGGCTCCCAGCCATCCCCTTAGCCTTTTGCCTTTTAGCCTTTAGTGTTTAGTGGTAGTTTCCATTCAACCCACTAAAAGTTAAACTGTTAGCTCAGGGCAGCCCAGATACTGTGGATGGACGAAATCCTGCCTTATTTGAGAAACCATAGAATGATGATTCCCCTGTAAACACCAACAGATGGTTTGCCATGGTTTTAAAGTGTTGCAGGATTTCGTCCATCCACAGTATGACTGGGGCCGGTTGGGGTTTTCCGGCGATACGGCGATATCTGAGGTGATGGCCTGGGAGCGCTTAGGGGCGACCTGGGTGGGTCTGCCCACATCGACCTTTGGGCAAAATGTCTCGGGGCCTCGGGAGATGTTCTGCAGGCGGGATGGGGGGGAATGGGGGGGTGGTGGAGGGGGGGTGATGGGGGGTGGTGGTGGTGTGGTGGTGGTGTGGTGGGGGGGGTTGATTAGGGGGGTGGTGCGGTGGGGGGGGGGGGGGAGATAGCAAGGATAGAGCATCCCAAGCCGCAATCGACTTTGGTCACAGAACTCCTTCCTTGGACACCCACAGCACTACCCCCCTCCAACCCAAGCGGATCCAAGATCCAAGCGGATCTTTGGAGACGGGTGGCTGGATTAAAACTGGTCTAGTTTGGCTTTTATCTTTATATTCATGTACCAGGGAAACCCATCTATTTTCCCAAAAGCCAGGTAGAAAAGGACACTCATGGGTTTTTGGGAAGCCTATGGGCCATCAAGTTTAAACCAAATGGACCCCTTCTGAATCAGCCCAAGTTTATCAATAGGGGTATCCCGTTTCGTGGGGAATCGGACGGCCCCCACCCCCCGTATGAATCAACGGGGTTGATGAATGCTGGGTGAACATCGCCAGCCTTTCCCTCCCCCCCCCCCAACCTTTTTCTTTTACATGGAAACCCATCCCCCGCTAAAAAAGAAAATGGAAACCCATTTAGCAGGGAGCCCATCCATTGTTCCATTCTTCCCCAAAGGTGCGACGCTTTTGGCAGCCAGGTACACCATTCGCGGCACAGACCTCCGAAGCCGGCTGCCGGACACGGAGACTGTGAAGGCCTCCGCCTTCGCGCCGGAGGTGACCATTGTGAACCTTGGCAAGCCCAGCCATCCGGTCCCGGAGCTTTTTCGCCGTTTAGTGTTTAGTGTTAGTCATGGTTGTTGTTGGGCATTTTTGCTTATTGTGGTTTAGTGGGAAATCCCCACTTAAGTGCTAAAATTTAAATTGTGGCTCCCCTTCCAACGTCAACCAAGTAGTTTCCATGTAACCACTAAAACTCAAACTGTTTAAACTTTGAGCGAGGGATCTGAGGGCAGCCCAGGAGCGTGGAGCTGTCGGTGTCCATCTCCAAAATGGATGTGATGGTGGCCCAGCGGCAAGTGGTATGGTGGATGCCGTGTTTTTGTTTGTTTTTCTTTTCCCCCTTTGCTGGGGGGAAAATGTCCACTTGAAGGAAAACGCCCCCTTTTACTCAACCAGCTAAACAAGGAGTCTTTCTCATGGAAATCCACTGGGCAGCTGAGGTGGATAGACCGGCCAACATCTATTGCGCCCCTGGCTGGGTTTAAGGGACGGATCGCAAGGGTCGGGACGATCATGTACCCACTTGCCAGCGAAAGGCTTCCTTGGAAGGGAATCACAGCAACGTCTTGATCCCCTATGGGACGACACAAGTCTAGTTGCGATTGGTTGTTCAATCCGGTTGAGGTGTTGTTTCAATAGGGACTCCGATTGCCAGAGGCAATCTGCTAACCGAAAAGGAGCTGTGATATCCGAGATGTGCAGCTGCGCAGTTCTGAGTTTTTGTCTTGGCTTCTTTATGCGGAAAGGGGCGTTGCCCAGCGCCCTTTTCGAGAAATCCTTACCTTCCGGGGCTGTTTTGCTTGCATGCGCGTGACGCAAGAACGAAGTGGCAACGAAGCGTGGCTTGGTTTCTGTGTGACAGCGGTTGAGCTTTAATCTTGTTGAGCTTAGGATTCCACTCCCCCATGCCTCCCCGAATTTCCGCTCGGCACCAGGCGGAGTAATTGACGTGAGATACGAGCTGCGGGTGCCGACGCACAACGAGCTCAGAGACTGGGGGGTCCCAGCTTTGGAACTGCCGGGCTCGACCTATGGCTACCAGAGGTTGGGAGACTCCGAGTTCACGAATCAGGAACTCGACTATCCCGCCATCATGCGGATTTCTGTGGATGAGCTAGCGGACTGTGAGCAGGCACGTGCGGATAGCTTTGAGGGGAGCATATCCAGATACAAAATGAAGGGTCTTGTATTGGGAAGCTGGGTTTGTGGTTGACGTGTGAGGCCAATCGCGCGTGCCATGTTTTTTTGGGGGAGGTTGGCGTAGTTGTGTTTTCCCTTTCTGTGTTTGCAGGGTGTGCTCCATGTGCCACAGGAGTGCTCCATCATCCCAGAGTGCGCCGCCTTGGTGTATTGGGTGCAGGGCTTTGACTTTGCCACCGGCACGAATTGCAGCTTGGAAGCTGGAGGCTATCACTAAGTCAAGGGTCAAAAATAGGTACCCAAAATGGAGCCCTGGCAAATGGAAACATGGACTACATACCAGGTGTTGACTCAGTTGGTCAAAATTTGCACCTGATAGCTCCAAGAACCGCGGCAAGTGATTCACACTGGCCTGCTGAGAATCAACACGCCGATTGAACCTCTATATGTTTTTTAAAGCGGGGCCACGAACATGGAAAGGCCCGAGCAGCCCACCCAAACAAGGGTCCCTTTTGAAACTTCTGGGGTGACTGAACAAGTGGGTCTGATTGTCGGACAAAAGTGCTGCTCACACATGCGCGATCATGCGCGCGCGAAGGTAAGCTGGTGAATAACAGCTACAACATCTCAGAGCGAATGGACCCTAATGACTTCTCCTCAATGCAGCTGAGGGAGAGGACGCACTGCCAGATCTATTCAGGTTCAAAGTGAGCAGTTTGACAGTTTCTCAAAAATACTTCGGGTTGGTTCTTTCATCCCCACCCCACCCTAAATGGGGTGGGGATGTTCTTTCTACCAGGCTAATTTGGAGGATGTGACTTTGATGGACCCTGATTTTTTTGGATTCCCTTGGTGGGCTTGCTGCAAAGAGAAGCCGCCGGAAAACCGGAGAAAACCTCAGCTTGGTTGTGGGCACCGGCGTTGCCGCCGAGAAGAGGATGCACCAGAAGCTGTTGACGAGGTTCAAGCCTGAATTCCTATGCCGGATTCGAGTAACTTCTTTTCGTTGGTGCATTTTGCTTGGACGTTAGGACTTTAACTTTTTGCCAACTCATGAATTTCCATATTCAACCACTAGAAGTTAAACTTGGCAGGGGAGCTGAAAGCAACCGAGTTTTGTGGTGCTGTCCGCAATGGATTTCAGATTGGATCCCCATTTCAACAACCCAGTTTTTCGGACCATCTTACATGATATAGCCACTCGGGAAGTGAGAAACCCGATTCGCCCTTTTGCTCCTCGTGTGGGGTCGACGTGCCAGACGTTTTTTCAAGATACTGTAGTGGGCACCTAGAACAGCTGGTTTCCTTTGAGAGGGGTACGCTGTGGGCCCTAGTGTTTGCATATGAAATGGTTGTTTTTGCAGACGTGCCTTCGTTTCCTTTTAGCTTGCCTACTAGCGAAAAGGAGGCCCACCATTTTGAGAAACCTCCAGAAAGACAACATCTCCGACTCGTCGCCTGTCTTGCTGCGTTGCCAGGATCGTGGTGCCGGTGATTTACACCTTGACCTACTCGGGCATGTTGCTCCCGGGCACGCTGTACAACGTGTACTGCCACTGCGATGAGACAAAGGGTTGGATTCGCGGTTGTTGCAGGTCTATGGCTCTTCCCCTGGACCCTTGGATAAGTAATTTGTTTTGTGTTCTCGAATGTGCAGCGAGGCACGTGTTCGCACGTGCTGCCCTGGAAACGAGCGTTTCATGGTCTCCACTGCAGGATTTGCATTGACTATTTTTGTTGTTTCCTGCGATGATGCTTCTACATGCTTTTGCTGCCTTTTTGTTTCTTAATTAGCTTGGATCTTCGCTCGTTCTGGCGCCGTTGGGCCCCCTCGACTCGTTGGATTCAATAGATCTGGCATGTCTTAAGGCTTGGCAATCTGATAGGTTGTCGCAGGCTTGACTTGCTGTTTCAAGATGTGGCCAGTGCCACCTTCAGTAGGGGGGTTCGTGCAGCCGGGATTCCTTTGCACAACCTCCACAGTGGGGGAGGAGCAACGAGCAACGCAAGACTCTTTGGGCGTGGCCGATGGGCCCCGGCCATCGGATCGAATCAGGTTCCGCAGAGGACTTCTCCAACGGCTTGCACTCGAACATGTCCTTCATCACCAGCACCCGCATCACACAAAGGACCGACGGCTGCATCGACTGCTGCTTGCCGGAAAGGTCCTTTTTCTTCTTCTTTTTTGGCGGCGAATGCCGGAACTCACTTTTGTTTTTTCTTCGGGGGGCCTCCTGAAAAATACACCCATGTGCCTTAAGTTGTGAGCGTGTGTGTTTGTTTGCGGATTATCGTGTGCCATCCGGGAACTTGGCTTTCAGTTTGTTTGACTCGATTGGTCTATGCAAATGGTTGCTGAAGACTACGGTAGGCGCTGCACAATATGAAGGAGAAACGCTCAATGGAAAGAAACTGGCCTTCCCTGAATTCAAAGGACACCATATCAAGGCCGAGGTTTATCTACGGTTGCCTAGGCTGCCAGGCCAATAGAGCAATTAGTTTTGAGGTTTGCTTGTTTGTGTTCTATCATGTTCTCGGGTCCCCTATAAGTCAAGATTGATGGCACCCCCCCAGACCTAGTCAAAACTGTGTAAACTAGCTAGCCTGAGTCCACGCAAAGTCTAAAGTACGCAAATGCGTAACGTGTTTGCTTCTGGCAGGTTGACGTTTTACTTTCTCCGCTTGCATCCATGAAACGAAGTAGACGCTCACAAAGCCGGCTCGCCAGCTTCCAACATACCAATGCAAGGCACCAGCCAACTCAACCCCACAACACCACCCCAACCCCCCTCTCCTTCCCTCCTCCCCCCCCACCCCAACCCCCCCCCTCCTTCCCCCTCCTTCTCCCCACACCCTCCTCCCCTCCCTCACACCCTCCCCCCCCTCCCAGAGCCCAGGCTTCACCTTGCCCCCAGCTGAGGCGGCAGCACGGATCCCCCAGCGGTGGCGATCCTCGGGGGCTGGGTGGAGGAGAACTCCGTGGGCGTGGCGGCCGCCTCCAGCCGCTCCGGGCGGATCTTCTGCCACGCCAGGCGCCGGCGATTCGGTCATCCGCGGGGCCAGGGTGGGGGAAGGAGGGGGGGGGAGGCTGGGGGGCCGGCGATTTGCTTTGCGCCAGCGGCCTCGGGGGGAGGGGCGGGGGGGAAGGAGAGGGGGTGGGTTGGGTGGGGGGGAAGAAAAGGGAAATGTTTGGATTTAAGTCTACCCTGCCAGGGGCGCGTAGCTTATAGGGATCGAGGAGACCAGCTGCCGGGTGGAAAAAAACACATATGTGGATGCTGGCTGAGTTGGATTTTGGAACGGTGGTATGTGGGGGTCACGTGCCCTTACATCACATTGCAGGTCAAACCCCGGCAGGGCGTGAACGAGAGGTAAACGCGGGGTAAAGCCCTCGTTGGCGAAGCCGTGGTTGAGTTGCTTTCTTCGCACCTGGCAGGAACACCTCCAGCCTGGTACAGGTCACCGCCGCGGAGGCGGTCTGCCCGCGCGAGCCGTCGAGAGCTTGAAAGGGATGCTTGCCTAGCAGCGCTTACCTAGAAGCCAAAGTGGAGGTGCCTTGCTGATAGATTAGTGTGTCTTTTTTAAGGGTAATTACCCCCCAGAAAAAATATGGTTGTTTTCCTGTTGGTTCCCGTTCCCCCAAAACAGGCGCACCCAAATGTTCATAGGCGGCTCTGCAATATGCACTGAGTGGGGTGTCTTTCACGAAGCATGTGAAGACAAGCAAGCAAGCCGACCTTCACCCCACTGCCTCCCCAACTAACCCCAACCAATCCTACCATCAAACAACCTTTAACCCATCTTAAGCCGACCTTAAACCCACATCCGGCCAACCCAAAATAGACCCCAGCACCAAACTCTAAGCCCACCCTTCACGACCCTCGTCCACCGCACCCCAACCCTAAACACGCGCGAAGCTGGCCCTACATCACCAACCCTTTTTAACCCATCTTAGACCAGCCCTGAGCCGACGCTATACCCCACCCCTGACCTACCCTCACCAACCCCAAAGCAATCCTAAAACAACGGATGCCAAGATTGAGCTTAAACCTACCCCTGAACCAACTTAGCTTGAGCCAGGTCCAAACGCACCCTAACCAGGGCTCCCATCCATTCTTTTATATAAAAGAGAGGGGTTCCCAAATCATGTTCCATTTCTGCATGGCTTAGATGTTTTACCAAGAAGTGTATTGACCAGTTTCCTGCTACATCATCAGCATGACAAGGTCTCATCGCGTCCTTTTGCCTTCCGGGTTGATCTGATTCCTCCAGGATGGTTCGCGACCATAGGCGAGAGAGCATGTGGTCCCCGGAGAAATGCACCTGGCACATTGGATCCGGGCCACTCTGGGCATGGAAAAATGGCTCGTCGTTGCTCGGGCCGCGTTTGTGAATCCGGGCTACCCTTTCTGCCTAAGCTATGCTTAGCTGGGGAGGAGGAGCTTGCCCGTGATGACATGTGATAACCGTCTTGACTGGAACCCCCAGCCAAATCAAGCTAAACCAGGCAAAGCCCTGCACCTACATTTACGCTATCCTCAGCCAATGCCCAGTGCCCCTACCCTCCCGAGCCAACCCTCGCAAGACTTCGGCTCCGAGCCTCTGGCCGCCAGGTGCAGGACACGGGCTTCTCCAACTTGGCCACCGTGGGGGGCCAGACGGTGGCCATCATCATCACCGGCCTCGAGGCCTCGACGCAGCACCAGGCGTGGGGGGTGAAAAAGGGCGCTGTGGCCCGGTGGCGTGTGGAGTTCTGGTAGGGAGGCTCTTCGAAGGGTTGGGGGGGTCAGTGAATTCATGACGTGCTCATACTTGTTGCACGGCTGTTGGTTGCTTTGGCTGCGCTGCCAAGAACCATCCCGAATCCCGTGGATGCACATTACATGCCATTGCATTCCAGTTACGTCCTTCCCACACTCACCAAAAAGCAAAGGTTGCCTCCTGGAAGAGAGGGAGCTCAGGTCTCGGCCTTATCAGGCAGTCCCCTGAGACCACACCCTACCAACAGGACACAATCAACAATGGCCTGACATGTGATGTGTAGATTGCGCAAACGTGGCAACACGGGCACCCCGACAGATTTTGCCATCAGCTTCCCTGGTTGCGAGGAGCGCAGCGCACAGACCACGTGGGACAACCTGATGTGAAAGTCGGGGGTGGGGATAGTCGAGTCTGTCCTTTCCTAAGGTCAACATAGGAACAACGACTTGCTTCTTTGGGGGGAGGCTCCTTATTTTGAGACAAACCCGTTCTTTTGGCTTGCAATTTGAGCCCATCCACATGTTTTGGGTGGGTCAGCCGGCTGACCGCCGGCTGATCGCCCGCTGACCGGCTGACCGCCGTGAGGTGGCCTGTGTCGCGGAGGCGGACGGAGGCCTGCTGAGTGTGCAGGAGCAGATTGACGTGACCAGGCGCTTGCTGAACACCTCGTCTACGGAGGTAACCATCAACAGCATGGAGGTCGGCTCAACATCCTTTTTGCTTCTTTGGTTTTTCTTTGGCTTGGGTGGATGGGTTGTGCTCTTTGTGATGAGTGTGTTGTTTGCGTTGTGATGGTTTGGTTTGGGTAGTTTCTTTACTTCCTTGCTTCCTTCCTTCCTTCCTTCCTTGCTTGCTTGCTTGCTTGCTTGCTTGCTTGCTTGCTTGCTTGCTTGCTTGCTTGCTTGCTTGCTTGCTTGCTTGCTTGCTTGGTGTATGTATCCTGTTGCTTGCGGATGTTTGGTAGCCTGTCTGGATGTTACTCACTTATGCGGTTACTCATTCCGTACGTTGCTGTTGCCGATCCTGGACGTGAGCAGAGATGATCAGACTCAGACCCTCAGGTGACCCGGGAAGAGAGCCCCACTGATACACTCTTCAACGTGATGACGACGACGCTGCGGGTGGATAAGCTGGGCTATGCGTATTGCCAGGTCTTTCCTTCGGATAACCTCATGAACACTGGCGTCCCCGACACCCCACTCCTGGAGGAGCTTGGGGATCGCGCGAAGGTGACGGACCTTACAACTGACGTGATGGCAGAGTTTGACCAACTCGACAAGAATCCCAGTTGTTCAGTGACATCCGTTTTCCCTTTGGGCTCATTTGTGCTCCCCACTCACCTGTAGTCCCGCCAAAAGGGATCGTCTTGGGGCTCAGGAATTTCTCGTATGAGATTTGGTGCACCTCGAAGTTCGATGATTTCTCCAACGAGACGGACGCAGACCTCATCACCACGCCCTACCCGGTGGCGAGCATCAAGGCAGAAGACGTGGGCTACCAATCGGCGCCCCAGCCTCGTGGCAACCTTTCGCCCTCTTTTTGTGTGCTTCGCTGGCTGGGAGCGATCGACACAAAAGTTGTTCGGTCCTAAGTTGTTCAGCCATCCTCTGCACAAGGGAGGTCACTTTTTGTATGCGTAGCTGTTTCAATGTGAGTGTCTTAGCCAAAAGTGAAGGCTCCAGCAGCTCTTGGCCATATTTATGTTTTTTTTGGAAACAACCTAAGGTCTCAGTGACCTAAGGCCTTCGTGACCTAGGGCCTCCCATCACTTGGGTCATCCAAGCTCTAAGAAATGCCCCCCTTTGAGCCGGGATCAACCCGGGTCTCCGTGGATCATCCCCAGGTCTCTGTAAAACATGGCCCCCTTTGGTAACTCCAAATCGGTGGTTTGGGGATTTGAACCCTTAATTCTTGTAGAGGGTAGATGGGACACACCACCAATTAAAGAGGATAGCTGACAACTTTGACCCCCAACCAAACCAGGCTCCAAGCCACCACAAACCCAGGGCAGCTGAGAAACGGCCAAGCCATGCCTTCCTTTGACCACTTCACCTCGATGGATCGACCGGCAGAAATCGGCGAAAATCGGCGCCCTCGGCGCCCCTGGGCGCCCAGGTGGCCGTCACGGTGAGCCTCAGCAAGACGCCGGCCCACGTCTTCTGCGACGCCTTTCCCTGGGCCCTGCGCCCCAGCACCAGCCGCCCGGAGGCGCCCAAGCTGGACCAGATGGCCAGGCGCGGGATGCGAGCGGGGGATGCGGCGGTGGGGGGGATGTGGCGGTTGGGGGGGTTGGCGTTTTTTTTTTTTTTTTTCCTTCTCGGGGTTGAGGCGTTGGGTTTTGCTGTTTGTTGGTTTGGGTGTTTCGTGTTGTCGTGGTTTTGTTGAAGTACAGTAGGTGGCTTGATTTGTATTTTGTGTTTCTTTCTTCTTTTCTTTTTTTTTGGGTGGGGGGGTGCGAAACGGGTCGAAAGAGGAGCCGTTTGGCTTTGTTTTATGTTTCTTGGATTTGGCTGTTGAAGATGTTGGTTCTGGTTCTGGTTTGGTCCCCTTGTCCAATTTTTATCCACTCTTTTCCGGTTGTTCGGACAGGGAAGGAAAGATGGGGCTAGGGACTTTCTGGACGTTGAAGTTATACCCTGGAGGATCAGTTTCCCATTTCAGGGAGCCCCTGCCAGGTGCCAAGAGGGCATCTGCTGTGGTTAAATGTCTTTTTGGCTTGCGCACTGGTTCTCTGAGCAACTCGAACGGCACATTGGGCCTAGGTCCCCCTTCAATACCGTGCTGGACTTGGTGGGGGTCAGCGGTACCGTGGTCATCGACATTGGGCCTTTGACCTCAGGCGGGGCAAGAACTCACAGATGCAACGCATGGATTTGCCTGGGATGGGCAACCAATGTCGGGGAAATTGGTTCGAAGTTACCATGCTCATCCAATGCCCATGCAAAGCGCCGGTTGACAAGGCCTTCCCTGGGATGGGCAACCAAAGTCGAGTAAGTAAGTTCTAAGTTATGACATAAGTTATGACCATGGAGGCATAACTGAGGCTACTGAAAGTTTCCAAGCGCGTTGAACATGGTACAACTTTCAAGCTGACATTGCCGGAAGGTTTCACAGGTGTCAAACTCGACGCCACCCCAAAAGCAAAAGGGGCACCTGGGAAATTCAGATTGAACCAAGGTCCAGTTCTCAATTGTTCCTTCAATCGAAACTCGCCAACCTGAAGCGGCGAGGTGCCTGATTCTTTCTGAACTCAGCCCGAAACAAATTCAACTTAAGATGAAACCTGCTGTTCAAAGCATTTGCCGAACCCGAAGCTCCAACATGCTCGTGTCGGTCTCAAACATGGGCCCCGTTCTTGGCAACACAAGCCTTTGGGGCATCAGATGTCGGCTGTGAGTCAGAAATCGGTACCCCAAATCGAGCCCTGGTATGTGGAAACATGGACCAAAACCTGCAGTCCAATTCCTGATGGCTGAATTTTGACCCATGTGAGGCACCTACTACGACCTCTACTGCTACTCGGAGTTCTACCGCCCGCCGCCGCCGCCCGGTGCCATCCAACCGCCACGGCAGGGCATGGACAACGAGGGGATCTTGGCGACACGGCGCCAGATCCGCGTCAAGGGCCCCCAGTTCGACGAGCTCGGATGGGCGCCTCGGCCCTCTAAATTCAGGCAGGGCGCGTTGATAGTTTTTTTTTGGTGTGTTGTGTGTGTGTGTGTGTTACTTTAAATCAAAAACAAAAGGAAACAACACGTATAACTGCATGTTGTGTTTTTCCTTTTTGCCGTTTTTGTTCTAAATATGTTTGTTGTTGTCGTTTTGCGTTGTTTTGTTAATGTGGTTTTCTCTTCCAATGGCGACCAGGTCGGCTGCAAGTGCACGCCTTTCTTTTTTCACGCGAAAATACGATTCTTGTGGGGGGTCGTGCTTCCTCTTTGGTGTCTTTGACTAAGGAGTGCGTGTCGGGCCGGAATTGCTCCATCGACAACATCCTGGGACAGGGGCTGTCGATGCAGGATCAGGCGGAGCGGTGTTAGATTTGGCACTCTTTGCGGGGCTTGAATCTCATCCTCGGCAATGTACCGGAGTACCCGAATTGTGTTGTGATGGCCGGTGTCCCCTTTTTGTTGTATCGAATAGTCTGTGCCGGGCACTCATTCAGAATTGATCCATTCCCTTGCGCAAGGTTGTACCTTTTCCCGTTCAGAGTGCGAGTGTTTTTGTTGGCTGTCCGGCGAATAAGTTCGCTTGGAACACGACAAGGTGCACCAGCCATGGAGCTAAACCGTGTGCTGGCTTGTTCTACGTGCCCTTGCCAAGGCCCCGACAACAATTGCCCTTCCCCGGCCTGAGATGTTTGTTTCCCTCTGCTTCCCATCCGACTGAAAGCTTGAGTCATCTTGAGTCACTCCATTTGGGGCCATTTTTATCCAAGGCACTTGCCTCGGAGCCCCTCCCCTGCCCCCTCCCCCTGTCCCCCCCTGCCTCCCCTCTCCTTCCCTTCCCTCCCCTCTCCTTCCCTTCCCTCCCCTCTCCTTCCCTCCCCTCCCCTCTCCCCCCTGGCTTCCTCCCTCCCTCGCAGGTCATGGTACGGGAGGATGACTGCCCCGGGCGGTGCCAATGCCTCGGGGTGGTGGACAGCGCTCGCAAGGGTGGGTCCTGCTCCCCCATCTCCCAGCGCCTCGCACGGAGATTAACCAAAAAGAAAAACGCCTGAGATCCAGGCCCTCGTTGCCTCTCAAGGGAAACCCGCCGCTGGTTGAAACACCTATTAAAACGAACGGGTTGATGTTTTGTTTGCATGTGGTTGCCCTTACTGAGGGGGGTCATGGCCAGTAGGGATGGGTTCATATCGGCACGGGGTTGTCGCTTAGCCCTGCGTTTCCTTGAAAACCAAGCGCAGGATCGTTGAAGAAGGATTTTCCAATGCGCGCGGGGGAATGGAAGAACCCCCTCCCAATGCTCCAGGGTCATGCGTAGCCACTGAGGTAGTGGTTTCAAGGTGCTCAGGCGCCCGCAGCCCATCTTTTCACCTTTTGGCTGTCCCAGGTGCGTCCATGTTTAGTAAGAAGTTCCAACAGCTAACACCTTGATTGTCAGGTCCTGTGGGCAGCGAGAATGAAGAAGTACCATGTTGCAGTGCTTGGCGTCTCGCGAAATAGGGTACTTCCCCCTAGATTAGATGGTTGATGATGGTTGTTTCTAGACCGCCGAAAGAGGTGCATACCCGTTTGGAGTGGCGCCAACGATGCGCCTCCGATTCGAATCAGAGGAGCGAGCTGGTGGTGAGTGGCGTGGGCGTGGACGACAAGCAGGATCCCCGCGGAGCCTGGTGCTATGCTGCTCGGCTATGAGTTGTCCTGCTTGGCCAAGGCTTGCTGGCCTGCCTAGGTCCCCCAGTAGTGCCCGTTTTACCCTTTTTTGGGGGAGGGTTCCCCGACTAAAGTAAATTACAGAAAGAAGGGTACCCTTATTCTAACCTCTCTACTGGAGGACCTAGTTGCATTCTTGGACGGTAGTCATGCCTTCTGGCGTGCTTGTTGGACGCTCGGTTGTGTGCTTGTTTGCTTGCTCGCTTTCTCGATCGTACTTGCTGGCTGCATTGTTTGTGTTTGCGTGTTTTGTGTTTATTGGTTTGGTCGGTTTGTTTGTTTGGTTGGTTGGTTTCTTTGCGTTTTTGCTTTCTGCATGTTTGTTGCCTGCATAGGCAAGCAGGCAGGCAGGGCAGGCAAGCAGGCAGGCAGCAGGCAGGCAGGCAAGGGCTTCAAATTCTCAAATTATTGTTTCCAAATAAAGCAAAACCACCATGTTGAGAAGTCCAGTGGTTTTGTCCCTGGGACCCATGATGTGGACTGCTTGCAGTTGCAAAGACTGTCATCACCGTCAGCAAATCCAGCAGTTGAAATCGGCTGTTGTTGGTTGTTTGACGCACTCCACTATCAGTCCTTTCCAGCTGTATGCCCTAAACTTGTCCAACCGCAAACCCTAAACTGAGTTAAACCAAACCCCACCCCTCGTAGTCAATTCTGGACAAGCCTGGGCCCGAAGAGGGCATTATGTTGGACCCTGCCCCCAAACACTAACAGTCACCACAATTTGGAAGATCATTTTGGTGGTGGTTGATCTAAATGTCCATCATCCACTGTTTGTGGGTGGGGGGCAGGGTACAAGCATTATGTCTGTGTGCGTTTTTTTTTTTCTTTCCGCCGCACTGACTTGAAGCTGGTGGCCGTCCGCTGACGCAGCCGTTTGCTGGTCTCTGTTTTTGGGTGTGTGAGTATGGGCTTGATCCAAACGCTGCCCCAGACGCAGTTGTTTTCTTCTTGTCTTATTGTTACTTGAGTTCCTGGACTTGGGTCACTTTTCGGGAAGACCATTTTGGTGGGAAACAAAGAGTCTGCTGGCTAATCCACTCTGGAAGTGCGGTTTCCATCGTTTTCTCCCATTCCGGGCGGCTTCCTGGCGGGTTCCGGGTGATCGCCCAGGTGACCCCTGGCACCTGCCCGGACGAGGAGGCTTCGGTGTTGTTTCCCTCCATGACCTTGTCCTACAAGGAGCGGCCCGGAGACCTGCAAACCCGGAGATGGGGGGGGGTGAGTTGAGCTACGCGAGGTTGTTTCGAAAGGCCTCCTGCAGTTGAAGAGCGGAGGGTCACGAGACAGACTCGCGGCATGGCGGGCCGAGAGCCAAATCTGAGCCAAGCGGATGATGCCAAGATGTGTTTTGGTCTTCTAAATCCTGGAGCGCAACAAGGGTTTCAGAGTTTTCAGTTCCCACCACGAAAGGCAAAGAAGGGTATATAGTGGCGTATGACACGCTCGCGCGGGCAGGTGTGCACCTACAACGAGCAGCTGGGCAGCTTGCCAACTGCCCCGCCAGGCTTCCCGAATCGTGGCCTGGTGGCGTCCCCAGGAAGCGGCGGCCGGGCCTACGTCGTCAGCGCGGAGGCGCGTCACATTCCGTAGCACGTGTTAGTCACCTGATGTCACCTGGCCGGGAAGCACTTCACCCACTGAAGAGTTGATCATCATAGTGGTCAATTGGCTTCGGGATGTGGGTGCTAGGGCCATCAATCGGAGATGCGTGCTGTGTCTCGTGGGGGGCCTTTCTCCCAAAGGGCCTTGCATCATGTAGGCATCAGGGGGGATCGTTAATGTATAGAAGGGGCTTAACTCACATTTGTTTGTATCCGTAGTTGGGGGGTGGGGCTTTACCATCCACCAGTGAAGTTGCATTTTTGCACATCCTGGGTTCATTGAAGTTGCATCCTCAAAAGTACCCTCCTAGTGGTTTTCAAGTGGAACTACCGGCCCCCCCCAAGAACAAAAAGAAAGAACGACCGCTTGAACGGACCCAGTTGTGCCTTTGCGCCAGGCCATGGTGGCGCCTGGAGCCATCTACAGCCTCTGCTGGTGCAACGGCACGGAGTCGAGCTGCGCCTTCGAGACAGACTTCCGTGTGCGGCTGGGGGCGATGCATATGGCAGGGCCTTCGGCCCTTCAGCAGGCCAGACCGCGGAAGGGAGCGGCCGGGATTGCCAAAGTGCGGTTTCAGACGATTGTTTGCGATGCCAAGGGAACCACAACGTGAAAGTGGCGAAGTACTCAGGAATTGGCCATATTGGCTATTTTGAACATGAGAAAGGGGGAGGGCAGGATGAAAATGTGGAAGATGTTAGTCTTTAGTCTTTAGGCATCATACTAGTGTCATGTAGCATTTGCAGCCATGGTCCACATGTTCTATGAACTCCTGGGCGCAGGTTGCTTGGGCTGCGCGTTCCGTGTTCGGTCATCCAGCACTGGGCTGTGTGGCATTAAGCACTACGTGTTGGATATGTTGTTGATTTGACATGGTTTCGTGATTGAGCGTGACGTCCCGCAAGATGCCTAGCGACAGACATCCCTGGAGGGTCCTTTTGTCCAAAAACACAACGACACACATCTGTGGGGTGTCTGGGGGGGGGCGGGTCCTTTTTCCTCAAAAAACACCGACATCTCTGTTGTTTTTTCTTTCAGGAGTACATCCCTGAAAATTTGGAGAGACATGTTTTCCGGGGAAAAAAGAAAGGAATAAAGGAAGAAAGAAAGACAGAAAGAAGGAAAGACAGAAAGAAAAAAAGACAGACAGACAGACAGACAGACAACAACAGGCATCCTTGGGGCCCAGGGGTCCTTTTTTCTCCCAACAAAAACATGGGAGACATCCCCATGTTTCCATCCAGGAGTTGAACATGAGCTGCCGGGTGGGTTTGCCCTGCACGGTGGGCCACTTTGGCGGCCACGCGCTGGAGCCGGGCTCGCGCCTCGTGGCGCTGCCCTTGGACCCTGCTGGGTGCTTGTGGCGCCGGGCCTCGCTGGCGGACCCACAGGGCATTCCCAACTTCCCGAATTTGGGGGTGTCCGAACCCTACGACAAGGCGGGGTTTCCGGCGAAAACAGGGGGGACAAACCGGGAGAGAGCGATTTTGGAAGGGGAAGGAGGCGGGAGCATTAGACCATGCGCTGAAGGGGGATTTGAAAGGTTTTGGGCCTGAAAAGCCTTTTCGAACCCCAGAAATGCCTGGGACGGGGGTGGTAAATTCACAACTGCGTTCCCACTAGCTGCCTTGAGCTTGAGAAGCCGAAAACCCCGGAAGCACGACTTTGAGTTGACACCATATTTTGTTTAATGGCTATGTTTGCACTTTAGCTTGACTTTCTGAATTGGACCCGAAAAAATAAACCTTTTTGCAAAGGGGTCAATGGCAACCAAGAAGCCCTTTTTGCTATTCAATGCAAAATCCTGACAGCCAGCAAGAAGTCTACTTGCAGGGAATCGAAGTCCGGCGCAGGGACAGGCGGCCGTGAATGCGTCAAACGTTGGTGGGAAACTTGTTTCGACGCCTTTGTGTTCTGCCAAGGGCTCGGAGCCGTGTCTGTCTCCGCACCCCCCAAAAAAAAAAAAAAAAAACATGGTTCAACACCAATGGTACCATTTTGGGATAGGTGCACCACCCGCTTCTGTCTGTTTTCGTGGGGATTGGGGATGTTCACTGGGGGCTCACCGATTTGGGTTTTGACCCATGGCCAAGTCACACAGCCTAGCCTTGGAGCACGACTTTTCGGCCGCCCGGAAGCTGAAGCCGAAACCCCAACTTCCGTGCTGCCGAAAGGAACTCAGGGAGTACGACTTCCAAGGGGAGCCCTTGCGGATTCCTGGCGGCAGGCCTGTTGGTTTTGAGGGGAATCTATGACTACTAGAAATATGTTTGTTATTGTTTCCAGGGGGAGGAAAAGCAACTGGCAGTTTTCCGGTACCTGGCATCAAGGGGCCAGGCTTGGCAATGGGTGGCCTTCATGGAACTGGGATCCATCGCGCTTTCATGATCAGATCCAGGTTGCGTTTACGTTTTTTTCTTCTTCTTCTTTTTCTGAGGGAACCCCCTTTTGGTTTTAAAGGGAAACCAGGAGGAATCCGCAATTTTCGGCGGATTCCTGAAACAAACAAAAAGACACGGCCATACATCAACGGCGGTGGGAAAGCCCTTTTCGTGCGCGGGCGACGGTAAGTAATTCCGGATCCGGCCAATGGATTGCCCTGGGCTCCTTAGAGCCACTTCCGAGCAAGTGGACGCCAACCAAAGGAACTGATGGGGGCCATGGGCAGACAGGCAGAAAACGTGGGACTCGGCGGGGCAACGACTATAAAGACACCTGCAGCATTCGGCAAAAAGCCGAGACAATGCAGTTCCTGGCAGACACCTCTTCGCAGATTGCAATTAATTTTGCTGCACATGATTTGTCGAACAAGGGTGCGCTAGATTGTGAGCCGTCACCCTCTTCTTGTCAGCTAGCATGTGCGATGAACTTTCACAGGTTCGTTCGGAGGTCGAGTGAATTGACCAGCATCCCAAAGTGCAAGGGGAGCATGTTGGTTCTGTTGCTGCTCTTCCAGGGCCTCTCGCTCCATCTTGCCTTTTTGTATCATTGAGATCCTCGACCTGTCTGCCGATGACGGGCAGGTGTACCGTGTGACAGGCAACGAACTGATTGAACAAGCAAGTGAAAACTTTCCAGAATCAGAGTCGACTGGCTCGCCAATCTTTGTCCGCGCCGAGCTGAATGAGCACAAGAGCTCTGTCGTAATGCAAACTTTTCCGGGAAACCCCCAAACCCTACACGCAAAACCCCAAAACTCCCAAACCCTCAACCCTAAACCCTAAAACCCCCAAGTCCTAAACGCTAAAACCCCGACTCAGTGGGGCCAGGTACACCCTGTGCTGGTGCGGCCCCAAGGCGAAGACTTGGCACATCGCCCCGGGCCAGGCGTCGAAGCGTTGGGATTTCCCGCCCTATGGAAGCTGACGGGAGGGGGTTGGAAGACGAGTTTTGTTTTGGGAAGCCCTTGCTTGTCCACTTTCTGACTGGAAATGGGTATCAGATTTAAGTATATAGGGCCTTGCGAAAGCCTCTTGGCAGGGTGCACCAGCAGCCTGACATCAAAAAAAGCCACGGTGCCGTGCGGCCAGGCTTACCGCATCCCTGACGGCATCACGCCTGAGCCTTGCCCTCCAGATCGGCCCGACGACGGGGGCAAGTTCCTGTCGCCGGCGGGGTCGCTGGTGGTCATTGGGCCTACGCCCATCGGCATGATCTCTTGCAGGCGCAGCGTGCAGGAGTCATCCCTACCGCGCCCCTTTTGCCATTCATCGCACTTTCTGGGTAATCACCAAGAAAATGTATGGATTGGTGCGCACCCACGTATTTCTCGATCAAGAGGGGCTTTGTTGGTCGGTCAGCTCTTTGGATCAAAAGCACTTTGTGATGGCGTGTCCAGAGCCCCAAGGCCATGTCCAGAGTCAGACCCAGTTTGCCGCTGTAGGCCCAGATTCCAGGAACCCTTAGACAGTGGATATGCATCACACATGCTGGTGAGACTTTTGTGTTTTGGAGGTGCGCAATTCGCTTTTAGTGATCAGGCACACGAGGCGTGCTTTCTGAGACAGCGATTTTATGGACATATTCAGCAGCAGGCTGACCGGCTGACCACACAAATGGTATGAGGGGGTTACTTGAATTCGCCCTTTTGGCCCTATCCCTTGCATCCCCATCGGTAGATAACTCTTCTTTCCAGCTCCCAATTCACAAGCCCAACCCACCAACCCAAAATTTGTCTCCAAACTGCTTCCCCAGCACGAGCAGCTTCTTGTTGATTGCTTTTCCAAAAAAAAGAAACTCAAACAGGAAAGGCAGCCCACTCCACAAATGACACCAATCAATTCACAGGCACAATGTTGATGTCAACCATTTTTACAACAGACGCCCCCCAGCGCCGGACGCCCCCCGGCTAGGCTGGGCGCCTTGTGCTCTCTGCAGCTGCAGGGCTTGGGCCTGCAGGGCAGCGATCGCCTGATGGCGCTCAGCCAGTGCGGCCAAGGCGCCTTGCCCCCCGTGGGCTGGACGGACGGGGCCCAGAGCCTCCAGGATCCGGGCGAGACGAGGGAAGTCGGATTGTTGTTTAGTTTTTCGTTCTTTTTTTTGGGGAGTGGGCCCCACTCCCTGAGTGTCTGGACCCACTCAAGAAGTGGGGGGGGATGGAGTTGGTGATGGTCGGCGGAACATTTGGTTGGGTGGGTTTTTTCGTATTTTGCAATTCCTGCCGTGCCTTCAATACTAGAGCGCATCAACCCCCCAACGCTGGACAATACCCGACATTCTGAGACCGCACACCACACAGCACCATCCACACCCCAGCCAAGCCCACAATTATGCATCCGTCCTCTGCGAGACTCGTCCCTCTTTTCGGGGTTTTCTTGTGAATCGTTTTTCTTTTTCTTTTTTCTCAACGCATAAAGTAAGACAAGAAATTAAATGGACGTTTTCCTTTGAGTTTCCATGGTAACACCTCAGGAGCCGTGGGTGGACGCGGGCTGGGTGAAGTCTGTGGCCTTCTCCACGGAGGAGCTCTTCGCCATGGGCGTCCCGGTCTCCGACGCCGCGGCGGCGGCGCAGGCGGCGGCCGCGGCGGACGCGGACGGGGGCCTCTCCAACGTGTCGAGGCGGGGATGGTTCAACCTTCGTGGCTCCCAGCCATCCGGTTCCTGAGCTTTTTCACCTTGTGTTTAGTGGGGAGTTCCATTTAACCCACGAAAAGTATGTTTTTAGCAGGGCATCTGAGGGCAACCCAGGTTTGGAGCGGCAGTTTGGCTTGTTTTACGGGACCACGCTCTCCCAACCCCCCCCCCCCCCCCCCCCCCCCCCCCCCCCCAAGGTAAGTCTGATGGACACGTTGGGTCTATTTTGCAACCAGCTTCGTCTAGGGTATATATTTTTTTAGGGTTGAGTCTGCAAAGTTGGCTTCATGGCACGCACACACACGCACACCCTGCAAAAGAAAGCGAAGGACACGTGTTTTTCCCTGTTGGTTTCCCCTAAAAACGCAAAGAACCGGTACCCTTACAAAAGCCACACCCAAGTGGCTCTTGCGGCAATTTCGGGGAGGCACGCCCAAACATGGATTTCGCTGCCATGGTTGCAACCTAATGACACAGCGACTTGGAGCCCAAGCACGGAGCTTGAAGTGGGCTCTTTTGGAACTGTTGCCTCGATATTTGCATGATGGAATCCGGAAAATGGTAACCGGAGAGGATGTCCTTGAAGTGCTTGGTGTTGGGTATGAAGTCAGCACTCCCACATGGATATCAGGTGAACAAAAATATGCGGGAGCCAATGGGGTATCACGGATCCTATTGTATGCCTGTTTTTTGTTTCCGAGGCGGGGCGCCTATGGCTTCCCCAACTTCGGGGTCACCTTGCCTCATGCCCAAGCGGGGTACCACCACTGGGGCGGCCCAGTCTGGGCCTTCGCCGGCACCTACGTGCTGTGTTGGTGTGGGGCGGACGCCACGGTGGACGGGTGCCGACGTCCCGAGGACGGGCTGGGTCGCTGGTCGCTGGGTCGGGGACTCCGCACGCATGGCAGTCTACCATCCAAAAGGCGGAGAACAGGGGCTAAGCCCCTTTTGTGAGCAGCCTGACGTTCAACCTGGTTTCTCCTTGTTGTTGTGAGCAACCTTGTTTTCAATCTTTTGTCCCGCTTTTTTTTGTGAGCAGCCTTGTTTTCCAGACCAGCGTGCGTATGTTTGAGGGTCCCTTCGGCCGGCTGACCGGATGTCAACAGGACTTCTTGATGCCCGTAGCGCGGCTGGAGATTACCGGGCCGGGGACCTTGCCAAATGCGGCGCAGATGTTCACCTGCATGAGGCGTGAGGGTTGGCTTCCAAATTTGTCCACCGGCTTCGGGACACCAGGGGCCAGGCAAAATTGTTTGCCTTAAGAGGCTGGGATTGGCTTGCTGGCAAGTTGGCATATGTTCCCAGATGTTGTTCTCTCAAAGCAGGGGTGTTCCTCGGAACCAGGTTTCTGGTCTTGGTTGTTGGAATGCTGTGGAACAACATGCTCAACACCACCAGGAACCAAAAGGAGGTTGCTTAAACAAGAGTGGATTCAGCAAGGGTTTGGCCAGCTCTGGAAGGGCGGGCCAAGCCTCTTGACAGCATCTTGAACTCATTGGGGCACCTTGTCTCATGCAAAGGGCCAGTGCAGTTCGTTGCATGGGCCCAGGACAAAACCCAGCATTTAAAAACTCAGAGAGGCACAGGAACAGGAACAAGTTTAGCGAATTTCCTCGCCTTGAGGGTTTCCTCCATTTCCCTTTTCGGAACCTCCAAGAGTTGCAGTTGTGCTGGAAACTGCCCGTAAAGTGATCAACATTCGGCTTGGGGAAATCTAGTGACCCTTTCTTGATTGCTGTTAACTAGGTTGGATCTATAGACTTTAACTTTTTGGGAAATCAGGGGTCTTGCGTATTAACCCCCCCAAAACTGATTCACTGTTTGCAAAGGGTTCGTTCCAGCACCCAAGCCTTCTTGTTCTTCTTCTTCTTGCTGGTTCTCAGGGGATGAGGGAATGCCCCCCAAAACCGGTTCATTCCCATTCCTTACCCTACCGCACCAGCAAGTCTTTCTCCCCAATGGGTTTTCCCTTGGTTCAACCCACAAAAGTGATTCACTTTTTACAGGGGTCGTTCCAGCGAGCAAAGCTTCTTCTTTCTCCTTCCATTTGCTGAAGCTTATTCTAAAAAAAGAAGAAACAAACACCTGGTTCAACCATTGCAGGGACTGGTTATTTCACCGGAGATTTTTCAGATCTCATTTTCTCCAGGGGACCCTACTGCACATGGAGGTCTCGACCCCCCCCCCCCCACCCCCGAAAATTTTGTTGCGTCGCGCCGCACTTCGGAGCTCCGAAGCTCCGAAGCTCGCAGGCGCCGGGGATGTGAGCTCAGCCCTTTGGCGGGCACCCAGCCGCCGGCGAGCAAGCTGCTCAGCCGAGTGAGGAAAGAAAGATCCTATCCCTTGGGCGTAGTTTTTTTTTTCCTCCTGGGGGTGTTATAAAAAAGCAACTTCAGAAGAACATAGGGTTTGTTCGTAATATATTTGTTGTTTCTTCTTTTTTAGTTTTGCTTTTAGGGTATCAACTCCACAAAAAAGACAAGCCAATTTGAATGTCTTGTTTTTCCGGTGCCTTTTCTCAGGTTCCTCTCAATTGGTTCGGATTGGTTTGGATTTGGAATAGAACCCCTGGTTTTTGTCGATGGTAAGTGGGAAATCACCCCCGAAGCTCCAAACCACCAAACCACATCATTGAGGGCTGATTTCAAAGGCTGATTGAAAGGGGACACATGGGCAAAACCACAATTTGAGGCCACCGCGTTTGGACCCGCCAATTTCTGGGATCTCTTTCGATGTGTGTTTTGCATTTTAAGGTTTATTGAATGTAGACCAGACTCAAGCATGAGGTTTCTGGTTCGGAGAGCCGGGGTGGATTTGAGCAGCTTAACTTGCTGGTGCGATAGGCAGGGAAAGAGAAAGCTCCTGACCCCGAGAAAAGCCATCCAACTGCTGGTTTCCTTAAGGGAACTGTTGGGTTCATTCCAACATCCCCTACTGAGCACCAGCAAGGAAAGTAAATGTATTCCATCTCCGGCGGTTCCCAAAAAGTGCCGCATGTCCGGATTTGGCCAAATGCGAGACGTCCGCCCCGCTGGACACGGAGGCCGGAGATCTCAAGCCGGCGCCACGAAATGCCCACCCAAATGCTGGTGATAGATGGGGGTGGCCCCTGGAGCCTTGTGTAATTTCAGAGTTCCATGCTTCTTGCTTCTTCTTTCCTACGTGTTGTCCTCCCCCTTTTGCAATGTAGCGCATGGTTCTTTCCCCCAAACAGCGTGGAGTTGGAAGACCTCTAGGTCCCCCAGTGGCGCCCTTTGACCCTTATTTTGGGGTCCCCTACTAACATAGACTACTACCCTTTTTCTGACCTCTCTACTGGAGGACCTAGACCTTGACCCTCCCTGAAGATGTTAGGCTCCTGGTTGCTGCGGGGGCCTGTGGTGGCTATCCCCTTCGGGGCATGCCGCGCTCGGGGCAATCCTTCCCCTCGCTGGATGGCCGCGCCTACTCCTGGGGCGGCGACCGGGTGATGGCGCACCCGGGGCGCTACAACCTCTGCTGGTGCCCCGAGGTGTCCGACTGCGAACCTCGGCGACCAAGTTTCCATTTCCCCAGTAGTGCCCTTTTACCTTTTTTTTGGGGGAGGGTTCCCCTACTGGAATAGACTTCAGAAAAAAGGGTACACAAAGGGTACCCTTACTCTAACCTCTCTGCTGGAGGAGCTAGCCATAGCCAAGGAGTCACCCTTCACCCACCGCTCGAAACGAGAAGCCTCCCGAGCTTGCTTTTTTGGTGTAACCCGAATTGTCTGAAGGGAAGGATCGCTGCACAGAATGAAGAGGGTGCAGCTAGAAGGTTCCCGGCAGTTGATGAGACCAAGTTGGTCTTGAAAGGCTGGTAGCATGACTGTCTTTTGGGGTTGTTTATGTTAGCCTGTGGCTGGTGAAGCTGTTGGTTGGGTTGGCGTTCCTGGTTCCTGGACGGTTGCCTGTCCAATGCTTACATCCAGCAAATGAACCAAGTTGGCTGATGTGTTGCGCTGGAAGCACAAGCCAGCGGTCTGAAAGCGAAACCCCCGAGCTCAGGATCGCTACGAGAACTTCATCTCTTACGCTGGCATCCTGCGGGTCAAGGCGCCCGAAGAGACGCCCTCACTGTTTGTGTGCCCGCTGGCGAAGATGCTCAGGCAAAGTTACGGGTAGACTCTGTGGGATGTTTGCTCAGCAAGTGGTTTTCGCTGGGAGGCAAATGAACGAGGGGGCGGGACGCCAGGAATTGATGAAGAGGCTCGGGGATTGAGAAGGCCCTGATTCGCCAGTCCTGCTATTCCCAAGTTGTGCAGGTGGGTTCTCAAATTCATGCTACCGTCGGGTTGGTGACCAAAACAGGTTGCTGAGCAGGCAAAGTTGTAGTACATCCTATTTCCGAGATTTTTATGTGTCACATCTGGCAGAATAAGGACCTGCAACATCACAGGCATCGCTGGCCAGGGCCTGAACAACGACGATCAGGCCCCAGCCACGTTGAAAGAGAGTTTTATGTGTGGCCGTCAGCATTCAGGGCAGTTCGGTTGTTTGTGTCAAAGCCGGGAAGTGGTGTTGAGCTTCCCTTTCAATTGGGCCAAGCCTTTTGGTTTCACGGTGGTTCCTTCAGACAACGCTGGTGTTCCGAACTCGTGGTAGTTTTTGCTTGTTACAGGGAGGTAACTAAACCTGAGGCCCCCCTCAAACCAACATGGCGCTGTTTTATCACTGATCTCTACACTTTTTAAGCATGGCCCAACCATTTCCATGAACTTTTGACGACGTCAAAACTCTTGAAACAGCAACTTAGTTACTATAGAACTGAAGCCAACCCTCTTGAACAAACAGCTTGAGTTTCTGAGGTTTAAAGTCAAACCTCCTGGTTTAAAGCAAAAAACAAGGTCTTGGCCCGGGCCCGTCCCTGAGGTCATGGTGTTGACGAAGTGCGGGGAGGCTGTGGTGGACGCCGAGACCTTCGAGCAGGGCTCCGTGTCGCTGGCCACCTTCGACGAGGGCGGGAGCTTCACGCTGCCGCCGGGGTCCCGCGCCGGCACCTTCCAGGCGGAGGGGGTGGGTGGGGGGGGTGTCCGGGGGGGGTGGGGGGTGGGGGATGACAGATGGGCTTGGATCGAATTGGGGAGGTTGATGTTATGAAGAGAATGGGCTGTGGGAAGAAAGGTGGAAGATGGCGTTTCGATGTTTCGACCCTCAGTGCAGTCTGGAAAGGGGGGCTGCTGCTGGATGGGACGGGCATAGCACGATATGTGGTCGTTGGGGCCATGCTTGCAGAACTCGTTCAACGCCACTTCTAAGAAGGCTTGCCTGCAGGGCGTTTAGTTTTGCTTTGTGTAGGCTTGCTCGATACATGTCCGATCGTTTTTGTTTGCCCGGCACTTAGCTACACTGCAGCATGCAATGGACAACTAGCCATGAGGATCTTGACAGACACGACCTGTTCAATTAGCAAAGGGGTTTTTATTACCTCCAGGTCCTGTGAGGTGCCATATGGGTGCAAGGACGCACGATTTCACGGCCCTGGTCAGGTCTGCTGGTGCCCGGGCGAGCAACTTTGCTTGAACGCGGTGGACTTCAGCATCACCTTGGGCAGAGTCATCATCGGAGGCCCTTTTCAAAAGACACTTTTAACATTAATCCGACAAGACCATACCTCGAGAAAACGACAAGGTCCAAAGAAGCTTCTCCATTTTGTTTGAACCATAAGGTTACAGTCACCTTTTTGCCGGGGGTCGGAGTCTGCAGCTGGGCGCGCCGGAAGCAGAGATGCCACTTGCGTGCCTGCTCTGAGGATGCGTTCTGGGCCGCTTTCTGGGCATCTCTGCGCGCTTTCGGGTCGAAAAATCTGGGGCTTCCAAAGATTTCCGTGGTTTCTCTCCGCGAGGCCCCCAAGACTCGGTGACCTACCGCTGCTTCGAGTGGGAGGCCTGCACCATTTCAGACCTGGAGGGGGCGAACTTAGCGGAAGGCGACCGCCTGGTGGTGGTCCCGGATGGCACCGACTGCCTCACCTCCGGTGGCAACCCCACACGCCAGGATGGAGCTGAAAGAACGCGCCAAAAAAGGGCCGGACCAAGAAAATGGCGACATGGCAATGGGGCGTTTTGTTGGGGGAAGGAGTTGTCCCTGTGCAATTTGTGGCTCTGGATTTTGAGGTGCATTGAAGTGAAACTGATTTTTGTAGGTGTTCTTTCCCAAATTTCAGCCGGGTATTCGCGGGGTATAGGTAAGGGAGGCTGACCCTCGCCTTCCAGCCATGACCTGGCAACAAAAATCGTTTGTCACCCTCGGTTTGGAGCACTTTGTTGGATGGTTTTCTACATTGGGATCAGAGGGCAGCCCAAGGCTGAACTCTGGAGACTACTGACTACTCACGACTTGTTTCAGGGGCCCAAGAGTAATAATATCAGTGATTTTCTGATTCAAGTCGGCATGGGCGTCATGAAGCTCCATGCTGGCAAGGTTCTGATTTCCACACTGGCCAGGTGCTCCCCAAAGCAACGGGCACCAAATCATCACTTGGACGCCGGGCTTTGGGACCACAGAGATGGTGAGCCAGCTTCCAAGAATGAAGCAGAATGCCCGCATCAGCTCTGCTGTCTTGTTTAAACGGTCTTTTCCGGGCAGCGTTGCACTTGCAGAATTCTTTTTCGGCGTTTAGCACAAGCGATTGCAATTCCGCAGCCCTGGTTGAATGTTCTCACTGCCCTACGATCTGCTTCGCAGGTGGGGGAATCAGGGAGAGGCTTTGAAGGCAAGACCTGTGTTGCCGGAAATGCCGATCAGTTCTAGGGGGGGTAAATGTAGGTTCCCTATAAGGGTTCTTGACTCAGCCCAAAGCGGATCGAGCTTTTGACCATGGTTTCCAATGTTGGTCCATGTTTAATAAAGGCCCCAAAGGGTTAAGCTTTTATTTCCATGTTCTTTGGCAGCCATTCGAGGGGAACATGTCAAGCCGGAAGGACTCTGCCCTGGCAGGGAAAGGGGGGCCTTGGCAGAAGCCAAGCCCTAAACCACCAATGCAGACCGCCCATCAAGGGAGCTAACTTCAGACCGCTGAAGCTGCATTGCGGTTTTTTAGGGGTCCAAATTTGAGGCGGTGCCTGAAATGAAAGCTGAAACCTGGGGCCCTGGGGTTCAGACGCAACCACCATTGTTCTCAGGATTGTCATCCTCCAAATCGGCTCAACCTTTCTTTTGCTCAGGGTTGAACCCTATGAACCGGAGAGACAGTCAGGAGAACTTCCCCAACAACGCGGTGTCCTTCCCGGCCACCGCTGAGGGCAAGGACTTCTCCTGGGGCCCCGGCCTCGTGCGTGCGGCGCCGGGCTACTACGCGCTTTGCTGGTGCCACGCGCCCTACAACGGGGGCGCCTCGTGATCGAAGTGCGGGGTTGGCCAGGCAAACCTGCACCAATCGTAGTGGTATGTCAGTTCAATGCGCATATGTAGGTATGTATATGCAAATTATATATATGTATACTAATATATATATATATACCTGGACCAACCAAGGGCACTTTTTTGCAGACTCTCTGCAAAAATCCGTGCATTTCCTTGAAATCCATACATTTGAGCAAAAACTGTACTTTTCTTGCAGGCTCAACATAAGACACAGGAGCATTTTGCTACCTTTTTTATACAAGAATCTCACTTTCAGCTCCGGCCATGGCACTGGAGATTGTCATGCTCATACCATTTGAAGGTGTGCAATTCACCAAGGACAAAAGGTGCCCATTTCCTCAAGAAAATGTTCCGCTGATTTCCGTGCATTTTCCGCAGATTTCCGTACTTTTCCCGCCGATTTCCGTGCATTTCCCGCCGATTTCCGTGCATTTGCGGTTTCTGCATTTTGGCTGAGAAAACTGCAAACTCGCAAAAGCGGCAAGGAAGCTGTCACACATTGCCCCACAGCAATTGGAGACGAAAGACCTGAAACGGAATTAAGTATGACGGGCCGTGTAAATTGCAAACTGTGTTCATGTGCATCCAAGTGCACCACAAACGCTCACAGCCTGCTAAAAGCGATGTCCGTCAAATTTCCTCAAAAGTGTACATTGACACTTTTTCTCTGTATGTATGGAAATTTCAGTACTTTTGGAGGGTGCAGGTATATATTTGTATTTATTTATTTACTTATGCATAAACGCAGTTGTGCATATGCATATATACTTATATATATATATATTTATATATACATATTATATACATCCGCATTGTCAGAGGCACCCTTCACAGACTATGGCAAGGATGACCGGAGGTTTTTGTCATTGCCAGAGGTTCCCCTTCTTGTCAGTTTGGAGGCAGAACGCAACGAATGCTCCCCCCCCCACCCTTGCACTTCCGAAATAATGTAAGCCACCCCCTAGCCCTAGCTTATTGTGACTTGAGTGATTGGTTTTACTCTCACTCGAGTAGAAATTGGGTGCTTTCAAGTAAAGTGCGGGCCATTTGCGAAATATGTGCTTTCATGTGATATGACGGATCTGGCATCGATTGAAAAAGTATCTCGAATAATCCTGAGAAATGCAGGGGCCTTTGAATTTGAAGTATTTGCGTCTTTGTGGCGGGCTGAATTGGGGACAACATGATAGTGAGATCTGAGGCGTGTGCACAGAGGAGGGTCCCTTCAACATCCCTGGCGGGGCTCTCCGAATCGGCGACAGCCGGGAGTTCCAATATGTCACCCGCCCGGAGGACGGGAGTATGTCGCTCCGTGTAAAACTGCCAAGCGCTGGCTCGGAGGAGCCTGGAGGCCATGGGCTTTCAGGGAAAACGAAAGGGTTTGTTTTCTACAAAAGGCACTGCCGTGTCGAGAGTTTGAAGCCTTTCAAGAAAGCATGGAGGTGCTAGATACCGAGTTTTACCACTTGACGAATTTGAAAAAGGCAAATGGAGGCAAACCATGCTTGACATAGTTGGAAAGCATTTGAGGTTCCCTGCCAAGAGTCTCAACGCCCATAAGCTGTGAATCAACTTTCTCTGCACCAACTCCCCGAGCTGTGTGTGGGAGGGTGGCCGTCGTGCGGCTATCGGCGCGCCAGAGGCAGCCCAACCCACAACCCCCCGCCCCCCCCGCCTTCGATGGGGCGCCCTCCGCCTGAAGGCGCGCGTGCCATTGCTTTGCCTTCCGGCGCCCCTGCCTCTTTCATTGGGCGTGCTCGCCTTTGGTCTTTCTTCGGTTGGCGTGCTCTCCGTTGGTCTTATGTCATTTGGCGTGCTCGCCCGTGGTCTTTCGTCATTGGGCGTGCTCGCCTCTGGTCGTTCTTCATTTAGCGTGCTCGCCCATGTGTTTCAGGTTCTCCCCCAACCTGAGCCCAACCTGGGCTTGTTTGTCGAATTTTGCTCGACTGGATGCCTCGATCTGATGATTGATGTTTTTATTTTATTTGTGTGTTTGCTTGTCCTTTTTGTTTTGCATGCTTCTTTTCCTGAATTAGGCCAGCCCGTCAGGGCTGCCGGTTTTCTACTTATCTCCTTTTTTGTGTGTTTTGTGTTTCTTGTTGTTCGTCTTCTTTTCTTCTCTTACTCTCCTTTTTCCTTTCCTGCTTCCTCTACTGGGCTAAAGTGCGGCCGGCAGGGGCAGGCCCATCAGGGCTGGCGGTTTTTGCTTGCCCCTGCCGTTTCCTTTTCGTTTTTTGTTTGTTTTGTTTTCTCTTTTCTGTTCCTGTTTTGATCCTCTCTCTCTCTCTCTCTCTCTTTCTTCGCTTCCTCTTTCTTTCTTGCTTCCCTTCTTGGGCTAAGGTACTGCCAGCGAGGGCAGGCCCGTCAGGACTGGCGGTCTTTGCCTACCTACCCCTGCCGTTTTCCCTTCTCCTTTTCCTTTCTTTTTCCCTATCTAGTTTTTTGTGTTTCCTCTTCTTTTTTTTGGTTCCTCTTCTTTTCTCTGCCTTTCCTCTTGGTTCCTTACTAAGGCGCGGCCGGCGGGGGCGGCGGGCGGGCCCGCCAGGGCTTCGGCCTTTGCCCGCCCCTGCCGGTTTTTAGTTTGTTGTTTTTTCTCGGTTCTTTCCTTCTTTTTTTTGCTTTTACATTTTTTCTTTCCCCTCCCTGTTGGTTGCTTCCTTTCCTGCCCCGTTCCCTTGCGAAGGTTCGGACTGAGGTGCGTTCTGGCGGAGCGAGCGCGCCTTTTCTTTCGTTTCCCTCCTTTCTTGGCCGTCTCCGCCAACGTGCAGATGCATGCGCAAAAAATATGTAAACACATGCGTGCGTGCTGGGGCGCGCGTGTGGGTATGTGCTTGCATATTTGTGTCGCCGTATTTGTTTTTCTTCTTTGGTGTGTTGTGACACAGATGTGCACACGACCCACACATCATTTTTGGATTGACATGGCCCTTCTGCTGGTCCCGCGCGTGGTTGGCAAGGACAACCCGCCACGGGACTCTGATGCCCTGGTGGCATTGCTTTTGGCGCTGCCGCTGCCACTGCTCTTCTTTGGGGCCATCTTTCTGGGGGTGACGCCCGGCGGGTGGCAGACTGTGGCTTCGTGGTTTTGGTGGCTGGGGGGGTTGGAGGTCAAGTTTCGCATTTGGAGCCGGGGCCTGTTTGATTTTCCGCTAAGATGGATCAGGAGAGGTCGAAAGACAGTCCCCCCTAAGGTGGCCTCATGTTGCATTGTAGTTAAGCTAAGGTTGAGCCTGGGCAAGTTCTTAGAGCAGCGTCCTGGGTGAGGGGCAGCAGCGTACTTTTGTGTTTGGTGCTGGATAAGCCTCCTCCAAATCCAATACCTGGACGGCCTGGACGTATCCTCAAAGAGTCCCCTTCTTGACGAAGCACGCAGCTTTGACAGCCGATTTGCTCTTGAACATGATGCGATTGTTGGATGCATCTTTTGGAGATTATGTTCCGTGGCCTTCTTTTCGGCAATGGACAATCCCAACCATAAAAGTATTTAATTACGCCGCCCTGTTGAGTGTCTGCTGACATCGTTCCATGTCTCAGGAAGCGGCTCATCGGACGGAAGAAAGCCCAGCAGGACGAGACAAACAATCCTTGGGCGGAGAGGATGCGGGTGGACCACCTGCAGGCCCTTGGGCATGCGGGTGACGGGTGGGGCCGTTTAGGCTTCCGTTTGGCGATTGCCATGTCCTACACTATAGCCATGGTTACCTAACGTTAAATTACAGTCCAATTGGGGATGCAGCCGGATGAGTGCATGTTTGTTAGACGTAAGGCTTCCGCTTCGGCCGATTCTTGAACGCTATATGGTCCGATCCTTTACTCTGTTTGACTTTTTGAGGGAGACGACTTTCATCACTTTTGGGTTTAGGCCATTCCAATTACGTATACGTAAAAAGTCCGGCCCAATCCACGGATTTGTTTGTCGAATGTCGGTTTCCCACGGTGGCCCACGGAACAGAGTGCGCGAGTGGGTCGCGAGTCTCAGGAGAGGTCCAAGCTGCAGGGTGATGTGGTGGAGGTGGCGGAGACCAGGAATAAGAGCCTAAGCTTGGTGACGTCGGCCGGTGTTTTTCCTTGGGCTGTCAAGCATGTGTCTCTGTGTGTGTTTTTTTCGCTCATCTTATGGTGAGAACAATTATTTGGTGCAACGTGTTTGTGTCGTGTTTGCTTTTCTTGTGTATTCATGTATTTTGATGTATTTGCATTATTGCTATTCGTTGGCTACTTGTCGTGTTTATTTTGTTTGCTGAGAGAAGTCCAATTTGGTTGTTGATTTACGTCTTGAGTTTTTACTAGTTGGTTTACTAACTTGTGTGCTTGTTGATGTATTGATTGGGTCACGTGTTATTCATTCACGTGAAATTCATTAATATGGTTGTTTTTTGTCTGTTTGGTTGTCTGTCTCTCTGTCTGTTTGTTTGTTTTGTTTGTTTGTTTGTTTGTTTGTTTGTTTGTTCGTTCGTTTGTTTGTCTGTTTGGTTGTCGTGTTTGTTTGTTTGATTGTGCATTCATGTGTTGGTCATTATTTTGTTTGTTTGCGTCTTGTCAGTAGTATGTAGTTCCCTAGGTTTCTAATATGTTTTGAAAAGTTGTTTGGTCATTAGTTATACGGTTGGTTGTTTATATGTTTGAAGACTTGGTTATTGTTTCCCTTTATCTCGTGTTTGTGAATTTGTTTATGTGGTTGTTGGTTGATGTAGTTACGCACTTTACTTATGCATGTGTGTTGTTTCATCTGTGTACTGTGTAGAGGCGTGTGTGTGTGTGTGTGCGCGCGTGCGGCTGTGTTTTTTGTTGTTTCTTTTCTTTCTTTCTTTTTTTTTTTGGGGGGGAATACTTTTTTTGTACATGGTTTTAGCTTACGTGCTATGACGCGTTTGCTGATTCCAGGTGTTTAGCTATCAAGTACAAGTTATGTTATATATGTATGTTATGTATTTGCCAAGGCGAGTAGCTGGTTGCTGGTCTCGTTGGCTTCCTTCCCCTCGTCCTGTCCTGCAACCACATTCGATGTATATATCGAGTTCCTGGACTTTAGTCACTTTTGGAAAGGCCATTTTAGTGGCCAACAAAAGTTCAGGCTGTTTTTGGGACCATCCACTCGGGAAGTGAGCAATGATGTGTTTACGGGGGACGTTCCCCACTTTGAACACACATGCATGTATGTATGCGTGCATCCATGTCTGCATGCGAGCGCAAACGGTTGAACATGAATGTGTTGTGAGTTTTTCTTTTCATGATTCCTTGCGAACAAGCAGCACGGTTGCGCCAGAAAGAGAGAAGCTAGTCGGAGAGATTGGCACAACAGCGGGCCCTCTTCCTTCAGAGGACCCTCCAAGGCTCATGAAGCATGTTTTCCCGTCATTCCCAGCTTTCTGCAAACCAGTCAGGGTCTGCACTGATTTGCAAGCCTTTCCTCTGAATTATTGTAGCGCTTCGATGGGCTGAACTGAATGGGTGCTATTTTGCTGGCTGGTTTTCAATGGACAACCAAAACATAGTTTGGAGGGGTTCATATTTCGGAGTGCCTGCCAAAAAGGAGACCCCAGAACCTCAAAATGGTAGTTGCCCTTTTGGCTCCCAGTCAAGCCAACCTAGACATTGTAGCCTTGAAAGACCACACGCAAAAAGCACAAACAACCACACACCAACACACTTCCCGACTTTTCTCCATGCCAAGGATCTCGCAGCTGGCGGACGCGAGGGCGCGGGACCAGGTGACGGGCTCGAAGGACGGGCTGATGGCGCTCTATGGGATGTTGCGGAACTTCGCCCGGGACATCGTCGCCCCGAAAAAGGCGCTCGATGGATCGGGGTGTTTGATCCTGATCCCTGCTCCGTTGCCCAGTGGCGCCTTGCTTTTCCTTGTTTTGGGTGAGGGTTCCCCTTTAAACTCCACCAACAAAAGAAGGGTCGGCCTGATTTTTGGCTTCGGCCAGGATGTGGGCTCCACTCACTCCAATTGGGCTCCACTCACTCCAATTGGGGGGGGGGGGGTGGTTTTTTTCTTCCCCATGGCCACTGGGTATCTGAGCCGCCGAGCCTGGGATGCATGTCGGATGTGTCTCCTATGAATCAAGCCCGGTTCATTCATAGGGGTCGGGTGAGGAGTCCCGAAACCCCAGGGACAGCCTCCTATTGACAAACTGGGGTTGGTTAATAGGGGGTCGCCATTAGCCTTCCCCCCCTCCACTTTATTTTAGCATGCACCCTGACGAATTGAGGGGGGTCCTGGTTTGGACTATTGTCCTTTTTCCTCTTTAAGGCCATTTCCCAAACGTCAGGGTTCACGTTAGTGGCGAGAGGTTAGATCCTGTGAAATCCCCATCATATCCAACGCAAGGTCTCAAGCACCCCTAATCACGGCCGCCAATTATCCGCACGCCGCCTGACTTCACCCAAAGCCAATTCCTTAACCTACCCTGACCCCTCCACTCTGAACCAATTTCATCAGCAACACCCATGCAATCTTCGCCAACCCTGAACCAACTGAATTACATTTCCATCAATCTCAGCCCGAGCAAACTGCGCCTTGAGCCGCCAGGTGGCCATGGTTCAAAACTAATGCTCCCATTTGGGATAGGTGCACCACCCATTTTAGAACCTATGTTAGTGGTTGGACTGAATCGGATGTTCACTGGGGGCTAACCGATTTGGATTTTGACTTAGAGCCAGGTGGGTTGCCCCCCCACCATCCCACGCGTCCTTTCCTCCTTCGGAGGTCTTGAAGCGCGCGGGGCCGCTGCGGCCTGCCCCGCTGCGCCCAGCGCCCAAGCGGGGCATGTCGGACCATTCCCTGCGCTCCGCCGCGCAGAGTACCACCGACAGCATCTCCGAGGACTTCTCCTTCGACAAGAAGGCGCCCTTCGATCATAGCCGTGGGATGGTTGCGAAATCCATTTGGCACCAGCTAAGAAACCCTGGAATGGTCTGATTCTCCTGTACATGGCAACAAATTATGGTTTGCCATGGTTTGAAAGTGGTCACTGTGTTTTCATGAGAAACCCATGGTTCCCTGGTATTTACAAGGGACTCAGCATTCCAGGGCTTCTTAGGCAGTGCAGGATTTCGTCCATCCAGATGCCATATGCCATGGGATGCAGAGCGAGCCGAGTCCCGAAATTTCAGCCAGTGAGGAAGCTTCAGCCAGACTGCTCCTGGATTCATTTTGGGCCCATGAGTGAGGGTAAAGCAAAGTGGACGGCCATCACTGAGGGGTTCTTCCGAAGGGGCCATGAAAGTAGTCCACAAGAGTGTTGATCATGAAACGCGCGTAGATTCTGTTCCCTCCCTGGCCCATGTACTTGTTGGCGAGCATGGGGGCTCCCAGAACTCATGCCTCAATGAGTTTTTGGAGGGCTTGCTAATTCCGCAACATATGGCAGGTCGACCAGCACAGACTGTGACTTCAAGTTCATCTCACAAAAATGAGCAAATGTCAAGTATACTTTGTTGGCTTCTGTCGAAACTCAGTTGCGCCTGAGTACAACCCTTTCAAAGTAAGTGGGTGTCACCCACCCGCAGCAAGCCGTCTAACAGAACAGACCAAGCAAGCCATTGAGGTCAATGGCTCAGTCCTTTTCCAAGCAAAGCACGTTGAAACTGGGACTTCCAGGGCTGGACATCAAACAGCAGTCCTTTGATTCGGCGCCAGAAGATTTGAATGGGCCGAGTCTCAGGTGGAGGAGAGCTCCGACGACGAGGTCTTCACCAAGAAGCCGAAGGCGCTCGAGGGGCTGGCGGGCTTGGTGGGCCTCACAGCTCCGGGGTGTCATCCGGGACTTGTTTCAAAACCAATCCTCACCAGGGCCCAAAGTGAATCGACCTTTTGACCTGTTGGTTTGTCCATGTCCATTTTTAGTAAAGGTGCTGGTTGGTTGGTTGGTTGGTTGGTACTTGGCCTTGGGGGTGCTCTGATCGGGTGGCAGTTGAGGCTGGTTTTGGTGGTTTGGATTGGTGGTTGGTACGTTTGAACCGCTGGCTTGTAGGAGTTATTTCGGTGGGGTCTTCCACGGACCTTTTTAGCTCAAAGAAAAACAATGGGAGAGAGCACATGTGGGCGAACGGCAAACGATAGCGACTTGGCATTCATGGGGGGGGCAGAAGGGCTCTCCTATTGGGATCGATGTTGGCTGAAGCCCAAGACAAAATATAAGTGAGCGGTGGCTTCCTTGGCGAATCGCAGGTCAGCACGAAGCGCAAACACATGATTCAGTCAAGGTCTTGGTGTTTCTTCCTGCGAGCATTTGCATTTTCGTCCTTCCCGCTGTTCACATCCTTGAGGGGGTCCCATTTGCGCCCCACCCAGCCATGCCTCTCGAGCTGAGCTCGCTCGCGAGGCGCCGCCCAAGAGCATCCCAAAGCCCCCGAGCTTGGAGTTCTTCAGCGTCGCGGACCGACGCATCCTGCACATGCTGGAGGAGATTTCCCCGCCTCACAGCATCCCGGCGGACCTGCGCTGAGGCTTCAGATGTCAGGGATCCCCCGAGCCGAGAGAGAAGCGTCCCCACCTGGCGATTCCTCCGGCCATGGAATGTGTCCAATGTTTTGCGAGCCAGGGCTTGTCCCAGTACAGCAGTGGACAGAACTTGAGGGGATCCCTGTCCATTCACGAGGCTCTTCAGCCCTGCATGCCTGCATGATAACGTTGCGCCTTGGTTTACTTGCGGTCCTTCACCGAAGGAAGCTCCCAGATTGCCGGGCGCGAGCAGCGACGCGACCGCTCGAGTTGCACTGCACGGGACGCCGAGGCGCTAAGAAAGTTCGGATATTCTGAGAAAGGACGGGCGCGCATCACGAAGTGATGCGCTCCCTCGTGGAAGTTTTCAATGCCAGCGCGTAGAGCCGCCCTGGTACCAAGAAGAAAACGAAGTCGCGGGCGGGGGCGGGCTCAAATTACCCAGCGGCGGATTTGTTAAGTGCGCTTGTCATGTGAGGCCTGTTTCGAACACATTCTGTACTCTGGTGCTATAGCGTGCGATCATGGCTTCCGGCATAGGTTTCTCAGCATAGCCACAGACTTTCGCTTGAGCTCGTCGCATTTTAGGATTTTGGGATGAGGTGCCTTCCATTCAGAGCGCCAGGCTGGCAGAACATACCCCAGCACGTTCTATGGGGGACACCCTGGTCCTTTGCTTTGGTTCTTTGTCTTTTTCCAAATCCGAACACCTCCATGTTGCAACCCGGGGAAGGGTAGAGAGCCGGAGGAGCCAACACGTCCCGGACAAGCCAATCCTGACCGAATCCTAAATCAATCCTATGCGAATTCTTGGCACAGCGGCGCAAAAATCTCAACCCCGCGCAGAGATCGCTTGCCGAGACGGCATGGCGGACAGAAATCCCATCACCCGGCGCTGAAGGGGCCTCCGGGGCCCCGAAGAGAACAAAAAACCTGAACCCCTCGGATGGTTTTGGCCTAGTTGGGAATCCGGGCCCTCGTTATATATTTTTTGGGGGGGTCGGCAACCAGTCCTAAAAAGAAAGCCCCCCGAGCTTGGACCTCTAGACTCTTGGTGGTTACTCTGCGAAGGGTTTGCAACCAACAAGTTGTTGGAAGGTCTCAAGGCGGAATTCAGCCGGCCTTTTGGGCCCCCCCCTTTTTTTTTTTGGTAGCTCTTGAGACTTCCAACTGCCGGCCCCGGGAAATGGCTGCACTTTGAGGTCAAGCTCAAGCCAGCCAGCCCCGCTCCCGGATTTTCCGGGATTCGCGCTTCCGGGCGCCCAAGAGGACTCTTCCTTGGCCTGAAGCCCTACAAACCTGCATTTGGGCGTGTCTCGAAAAGTTGGGCACCCTCCTTTGAAAACCCATCCACAAAGGGGTCCGATGAGAACCCGAGGCAACTTGCATTGAAAAAGGCGTGACACAGCGCCGAGAAGGCGTGTCATTCAGAGTCTGAATCCGACGAGCTATGTTGGAGAGAAGTGACCGGGTCTCATGTCCAAAAAAGGTGGTGTTCACTGGTTTTACGGAGGCTGCTGGTGCGTGTGTTCATCTTATGCCAGCTATCCTACCCCGTGAATGTGTCACAGGTTGTTGATGCAACCCCAACCTGCAATTGCCAATTGTCAGCTTTTCCTCAAACAGCTTGGCAGTCCGACTGGCCGGCCCATTCCCAGTAAAAACGCCTTGCCAGCAACTGAACAACTTACCAGCTCAAAAGCCACTTGCGGATTCTGGTAAAAAGGGCAGCCCCCTCTACCGATTCCTCGCTCGCTCCCCCCGATGTGTGGCCCGGGTCGAGGCGCGAGTTGCTGAAGCAGAGGAGGGCAAGCGGTGCACAAAAGCCGGAGGACGCCGCGGGGGGAAGCGCGCGCAGAGGGCTCCCCATGTCTGTTTGGTGATGTGCAGGTTTGTGTCTCTGTTTGTGTGTGTGTTTTTCTGTGTGTGTGTGTGTGCTTTTGTTGAGGGTACATGTTTTGGGTGGTTTTGTTATAAGGGGATCTGGATATGTTTTGGGTGTTTTGTTGAGGGTACATGTTCCTCTAGCTTGGGCGACGGTTTGCTGCTGGTGGTTTTTCAATGTACATCAATTGTTTGGCTTTCACGAGCGGTTCCTCCATTGTAGGAGGTGGGGGGGATGTTTAAACGCGGAATCTAGGGAGCTCTGAGTGCAGCTGATGCAGACATGAAATGCCAGCTGCGAGGCGTCGAATGTTGAGAGAATTGTCTCTGTTGAATGTTTGTCGGCTAGAGCCGTGAGTCCTCGCGCAGGCAAGTATTTGGGAAGGAAACGTCCAAATCAAACCTGCTTCAAATACAAAAACCTCCACATCGGCCTGTTCGGGCAAAAGTGATTTGTCAAGCTGACCACAACTAAGCATAGTGCTAGCGCTTCTTTAAGGGGCGCTTGTGCGTGAGAGCGTTGCTTTGGTCGTTGGGAGTCGGTGGGTTTTCAAATCTTGTGGGATCCAGGTGGTGCCACTTGCCTAGGGATGGGGTGTGCAATGGGCGGAGCCCGTTGACAGTGAGACTCTTCGCATGCGTGTTCGCTGGTTGTACATTTGTTTCGTCAATGACAGGATGCCCCCACTTCAGAGCCGCAGCGGCTTGTCTTAATCCGCGACTTTCTGGCTGGATCTTTGGACTTGAACTTTGTGATTGAACCAGGTGGGATTCTCCGAATTGGATCCACGCAAAGTGTTCCAACTGTTGCAGAGGGGTCATTCCAGCCACCAAGAGTCGTCATTCTGCTTGGCCGTTCCCAGGTCGGACTCTTGCACCCCCGACCAGGGCGACGAGCCGCAAGAGGAAGTGGAAGAGGAAGCTCCAGCGGAGTCAGGAGGTGATTTGGGTGAAGTGCAACCGGAGGCAGCGGAATCGGAGAAAGACGCCCGTGAACCCCAACTCCCAGAACCTGCAGACCTACAGGCTGCAGGGGAGGCACAGGGAGTCAGAGATGCGGGAGCGGAACAGGCGGAAGCTGAAGACCTGGAAAAGACAAATGTTGCTGAACACCCCGAGGGAGCTGAAAACAAAGAGGACACCGAAGACCCACAGGAACCCCAAGCTCAGGAGGGAGCTGAAGACGCGCAGGACATCGACCAAGTGGGAATGGAAGGCCAGGTGGAGGTCGCGCCGCCAAACACAACGCCAGAAGCGCCCAAGCCAGAAGCGCTCAGATTCGCGCCGGTGGACCAGGTGGACGTGGTGAGCGACCAGGAAGGTCCCGATGCCGAGGACGCCGAGGCCATGTAGAATGCTTGCGCAACTTTTCAAACATGCTGTTTCTTTTCTCACTCCCTGAGTTCCGTTTCATTTTGGTGTTAAAACATGAAAAGTTCAGTCAGTTACTACTATGATGACGACTACTGCCACCACCACCACCACCACCACCACCACTACTACTCCTGCTACTACTACTACTACTACTACTACTACTACTACTACTACAACTACTACTACTACAACAACAACTACTACTACAACAACAACAACAACTACTACTACTACTACAACAACTACTACTACTACTACAACAACAACAACAACAACAACAACAACAACAACAACAACAACAACAACAACAACAACAACAACAACAACAACAACAACAACAACGTGTTGGTCCCATCCACGCTTGCCAGTGCGTTTCAAGCCACGTGTTTGGCTTGTCATTTTCAGGCGTGCGGTGGAGCTCCCTGGGCATCGGCTGATGCGCCGGCGGAGGAGAAGGACTGTAAGGTCGCCGCGGTCAAGAGCTGAGGCCTCAGGATTGGCTCGGACATGAAGCTAGAAGTGCTCCCTGAAAGCTGTGAAGCTGTACAGGGCTCCTTAAAATAAATTCATTTTGCAACCATTTGAAACATGTTGCTTTTTCCACCAAAATACAGGTTTAAACCACCATTTACAAGGCAATGTTCAGGTGTATAATGTAAGGATCCCTGCATTTGATCAGCAAACGCAAGAGAACAACTCTGGGCAACTCCTTCGCTTGTTACTTTCTCGGTTCGGGACCAGAGAGTGTATGCCTTGGCCACGGGCTCTTCCAGGTCCGGAGGATCTGATCCAAATTCAGCGCTGCCGGCGTGTGCTTGGGGGGGGGGGAGTGAGGGGGGGGGGTTGTTCCGAGGCTGGAAGTGAACACGTGGCCGAGGGTGGCCTGTGGAACATGTGACCGATGCACTGGTTGGCTACCGCAGCCACTGGATTGCCAGCTGGCACAAGCTTGTTCCAACATACTTTCCCGGGTGAATGCCGCGTTGTGCAGAATTTGAAAAACAGCCTCCTGGTCCCCCTTCAGAGGGAACCCAAAAGAGGATGTTCACACAATACCGAAAATGGGAACCCAGGGACACAAGCCAATTTTAACTGAAATCAGGGGTCGTCAACGGGCGCCGGCGCCCATCTCGGCAGGCACTCAGAAGCGTCAGGCCCGGCGGTTGCGGGCTCTGTTTCCCTTTTGCCGTTGGTGGGACTTGGGTTCGGATGGAGGATTCCTGGGGTCAGCTCGGGTCAAGGAACCCTCCCGGCTCCGTCCTTAAAGGTCGTTGATGCCTCATGTCGGATACCTGCCCGCAACATCAGTCACGGTGCTGTTGTGTTTGCGGGGATCTGGCTCGCGCGCGTGCATGAAGGAATGTTAAGCAATGATGGCCAGCTTGATTTGTTGGAGGTGTCGGACATCAGGAATGCCGGCAAAGAGGTTACATCGAAATTATTAAATTGTATTTGTTTTATTATATTTGTATTGAAAATTATGATGTTCGAGTCGAAGTGGAATTTTTAAAATATATTTAATTTATTATAAATATTTTAAACATTGTGTTATTAAAAATAATAGATTATGAAATATAATAGATATAAGCAATTGCTAAAATTTCTTGTGTAGGAAAAGGATATTGGGTGGTGGATATATTTTTTATTTATTTCTTTTTTAATTTTATTGTTTTATAGGGTTTTGTGTATTTTCTATTTTATAAGAATATTTTAATGTAAATATAATAGAGGAAATATGTTTTATTAATTCCGGCTCGAACAATTGTATTTTTTTTAATATGAATATAATAAAGATTGTTTTGGAAATTCCGACAAGTGCGTGTTCA